CTTCCGGCGGAAATCCCCACAAAGTATGCAACGTTTTTTGTGAGCAAGAAAGAGGGGGACTTTCACGAGCGGTTATTTGTCATTAGCTTTTCTACTGAACAATAAATACAAAAATACTGTATATTAATATATTATTTTATTCTAATTAATAATTTAAATTATAATAATATAAACATATATACCTATAATTAATAATATAACTAACTAAAGCAGAATTTTTTTATTATTGTTGGAAAAATTTATCTAAACAACAATTTTAAATAATTTTTGTCTGTGCATAGTAAGTAATTAATTTCAATGGCCCCGAACTGTTTGGAGCACGCTCTCAACCGTTTGATAAGATGCCGTATTGAGTTTCGAACTCGTAGCAAACTCTTCAGTTAATTAAAGAACTTTTCTCGAATTAAATAAGATAATGTAGCTAATGCATAAAGAGTTTCAAAGTGTATTTTAGCATAGGCTTAAATTCAGCTCTTATAGGTGATATAACACTGAATTATTCGACCGTCCCCTTAAAGTAAATCTTTATTCCGGTATCTCTGAACATGGTTATTTTCATTTAACGATGTTCACCGTTAGATTCAAAGCCCCGATAGCCAAAGGAAATTATTTTTTATTCTCTTCTTCGAAGAACCTTTGTGTGTTGGGTAAATTGGGTTAAGCTCAGCCCACAGAATTAAGAGATTTTATTTTTTGTGGGCTTGTCCGCCTAATTGATACGTCTGTCTCATAAGAACAAACATTGGGTGTAATGCTCAAATCTGGAAATAAATCTTGGTTTTACAATCGATATAGCGAGTGTAGCATTCAGTTAGGAGAAATAACCAGTATTTGAGTTATTTATGAATCTTTTTTATATTAGATATATTAACACAAGGCAAGATCATTTTAGTTTTTAATAAGAAGTTTTAAATCATAAAAAACTAATTCATTTTAATCATATGATCATTTGAATAAGAAAAAGCTAGCAAAGAAATGCTTAATGTTTAATTTAAAAGTAAACCTAAACTTTTAAAGGTATTTAAATTTAATCGTCTTCTTTTCCAATGTGAAAGTAATTGTCCTACTATCTAATACCTAGTTGGGAAACTCGTTATGTTTACTTATGCCCAAGTCTCTAGGTTCGGCAACTTCTAGGGGCCGAAAAATAACACTTTAAGTCTTGTTGGGAACGCTTCAGCTGCGGCACATTTATGCAGATTTTGTACGGTTTAGGCAGACATATGGATGTACATATGTATGTACATATCTTATCTGACTGCACCACCCACCCACGCAGGGCCACACACCGCACACACCACACACCGTCCGCATAAGTTGTGGTACTTTACGGCCAAGCCTGTGTCAATATAGTTATGAAAAGATGCACAGAAAAAAGTAGGAACAAAATCTGTTATAAATTGGATAAAGAAAATGTTGAATATTTTATGAAAAAAATATATATTCAATTTATTATTTCTCAAATCAAATTTTAAGATACCTTTTCCAATTCTTTATTAATCAAGGCACAGACCTTAGTTATATTTCTAGGCTATATTTTTCTCTGTGCATAACGAAGATGTAAGCTTGAGTTTGGTGCCGATTTAGAGATGGCAAAATGCAATAATATAGTACGATTCGAAAATTGTGGCTCACCAGTACCCCGCCCATTTGAGATCTCGGCCAAAACCAGTTGGAGCTCACGTAAGAATCGACCGAGAACGACCCACGTCAAAAAAAGGGACATGGCCGCAATAAATGCAATTGGAGAGACATGGCAGTCGGTCGGATCCTATAGGATATGGGGGATATAGGATATGTGCCGTCTGTCACTCCTGACTGAATGGATGCGCGTCGAGTGCGCCGGGTCCATGACAACCTGCAATCAAGCGCCAGCAGGCATATCCAACGGATTGGACCACAGAATCAATGCACAGGAAAAATTTAAGACTAAAGTGTGTTGTATTGGTTTTACTTTTAATTAAGTTTTTCCTAAGTAATTCATATTTATTGAGAAAGGAAAGGCCAGGTTTTTAAACAGGAAATCCTATTCTATTATTCTGAAAAATAATATATATTTATAACAGTAACTCAGACAATGGCTATCTTTTTTCCAATATCATCAGATCAGATCCACATCTCATATAATTGGTTTTTTCTGTGCATCATCATCATCAACTGCATGCAACCAAACGCGTAGGCCAGCAACATCCAAGCAATGAGCAGGCCAGCAACTGGCAACAAGCAACATGCAACAGACAGCGAACAACTGCAACAATGCAGCGACATTTGCACGGGCTTTAACTTAAATTATGCGCCAAACAAATAAGGTCTCGCCCAGTACCAACTCTGGAGACCCAGCCCCCATAATGATGCCATGAGGCCATCTGCAAAGTTTTCTTACTGTTACAGCACTGAACAAAAAATATTTAAGAAGAGATTGAAGAGAGATGGGATACAAAACTAATAAATACATATAAGTGACATTACTTTTGTTTTATTAATTATTAATTAAACCTCTTTGAAAACCATTTAATTTATTTTTCTAAAACTTCTAAAACCTTTCATAATTTTCCTAAATTTTTTGCAAGTGTAAGACAGTGGCTGTGATGTCGCCAGTTGGCGCAAAGTCACGGTCGCCACAGTTGTCATTTCTTTTGGCTGCAGTGGGGTTCCCAAATGGATGGCAGAAAAATAAAAAAAACAAGAAACAACAATGCCAAGCAACCGCAAGAAACAATTAAGTTGGCCCCGACACAATGAGGAAAGCAACGATCAACAAGTCAGTTGGATCAGTGTGCTATATGCAGACAGCAGCCTATAGCTTTAGACTGCGATTGAGAGGAAGCAGCAGCATAAATAATTGCAGCCAATTGAAATGCATTTCAAGGTTTAGCCTGGAATTATTACAAAAAACTAAATTTCTTTTTACAAAAAATAAGTAATTATTGTGAAATTAATTAAATTCTTATGGAAGAGTACTTTAATTAGCCTGAAACAATGAATATTTCCCCCGATAAAATATCTTATCTGGGACATCTAACAGTGGGGAACCAGTCGCCGGACCTCTGGATCAAACATCTGCCCCGGCACGAGCCAAGAGTCATTAACAAACTTCTGGATGTGGCAGAGGGCAGCTTTTTCGATTAAGTGACAGGTTAAATGCTAAACCATAAGTTTTGGCCACAAGCAGCTGGCAATTGCCAAGCACGAGCCACAAAACTTTGCAGCCGGCCAAGAGCAGGAGCCAGGAGGCTGCAGAGGAAAAAATAAAGCAGCATCTTAATATTTAATTTTAATTTATGTAATAAGCATTTTTATACCCTTGCAGGGTATTATAATTTCAGTCAGAAGTTTGCAACGCAGTGAAGGAGACGTTTCCGACCCTATAAAGTATATATATTCTTGATCAGCATCAACAGCCGAGTCGATCTAGCCATGTCCGTCTGTCCGTCTGTCTGTCTGTCCGTCTGTCCGTCTGTCTGTCTGTCCGTCTGTCCGTCTGTCTGTCTGTCTGTTTCTACGCAAACTAGTCCCTCAGTTTTAAAGCTATCTGAATGAAACTTTGCATATAGTCTTCTATATGCTCTCACTGCTATATATGTCGGAACGGGCCGGATCGGACGACTATATCATATAGCTGCCATACAAATGTTTGATAAATTTTTAGAAAAAAAGTATAACTTGGCTGTTTTTCAATATTTTTGCATCATTTTTGAGATATAGCCATTTTATATTATTCCAGAATTTTGGTAAAAATTTTATGAAAATCGGACGACTATATGATATAGCTGCCATAGGAACGATCGAGAAATTAATAGAAATAAAATTATAGCTTCGTTGTTTTTCAACGCATTTTTATTTACTCTGAGATATACGTTTTTTTTATTATTCTAGAATTTTGGTATAAATTTCATAAAAATCGGACAACTATATCTTATAGCTGCCATAGAAGCGATCGGTAAATGTATAAAATATATAAAGCTGAGAATGTAAAACTGTAACTGTCAAACTGTAAACATAATAAGTATAGGTAAAATGTAATGAAACTCTGTTTTGTGAGTGTTTTCAGCATTTAAATCTATAAAATAAACATCAAAACCAATCTGCAAGGGTATACAAACTTCGGCGTGCCGAAGTTAGCTTCCTTTCTTGTTTCCTAATAACTTAAGTTATAATTAAAGGGAAAATGGCCACACTTTTTACTGAAATTTGTATTACACATATTTTGTATTTTTTTCGAAACATATTTTTAAATATGGATATTAAAAAATATCCCACTCTATATTCAATAAACTAAAAAACACTAATGATTTGGGTTATGGTGATATTTTTCCCGGTGCAATGACCGAAGAAGTCAAAAGACAGGAGACAGCACTCGAAACCGGTTGCAAAGCTCCCACAGGCACCTTCTGTCCGAGGCCTGACGACGTGCGTCGGGCAACCATTAGTCGCAATCTTTGGGCAATTGTCGCTGATTGTCGTCGTCCGTTCTGCCTTGGGCTCGTTCCCAGATGCAGATGCCGATGCAGATGCTTTTCGCAGTGGCCAGACACACTTGCGGTTGCAAATGTCGACCGACCTAGCTTGATTAGCTAAAAGTGCGTGCGAAAACCAAGTAGGGAAACTTCTGGGGCAATTGTCGGACTCATCAAATCATTGAAAGTTTATGGGATGGATCTAGGAGAACAAACGATAGCGCAGAAAGAAATCTATGGAAACTAAAATATCAAGAGCGCGATTTAAACCCTGACAAGTTGATATTATTATACTGAGATATGGTTTAATCTTAATCTGCAATTTTTTTTAGAATAATTTAGCAAAAAAGAACTAATGCAATAAGGCAAATCTCTTTGTATTCGTTTTCCTAAGATTTTAAATTACGCGCCAACCGGATATGGGGGTGCCACAACGATTCCAACCGAAGAACACCAGTGTCAAGAGCTGTTTGTTATCGTTTTTAGTGTGCCCAGAATCCGCTAAAGATCTTATAAGCTAAAAGCTAAATTTTCATCTGGTAACACTGACTCACTAAAACAACAACAAGTAAGATTATATTTACAACAGAACAAAAAATCTAGTAAAAGACAAGCTGGAGCGCCGAAATATGAGATCGCGATCCAATGGGGGGCCAGCCAGTGCCCCGGCAACAACGAGAAGTGCTCGAAGTAGCTTGAACACAGCAGGAACCCCAAGAAATGCGACTCGCAGCAGTGGACAGATAAAGGCCATAGCAGACTCTCGCCACAGTTCGCAGAAGCGCCCGCTCCCGCCAAAATCCGAGTACGAGAAGTTTTACGAAAACGTATTCCTGGGCAATGACGAGCCTACGGTGAGATTGTTATAAATAATATTTATATATATATTTAAATATATGTATATACTTCAGGCGGAGACACCGAGTGCGGGTACCAAGCGCCCACTGCACGCTCTGCTAAACGATGAGGACTCCCAGGCGGAATTGGGACGCCCCTCGAAGATTCCAGCCGGAAGAAAGACCTCCGAAGCGCTGATAAGTCCAAAGAAGCAAATAATTGCGGTGAAGGACGAGGTTATACGGCAGATCAATGGCCCCTCATCGCCGGTCAAGACGCCGGTCACCGTCGCGACGGCGAAAAGTATACACCAGAAGCGGTATGATAGATTCGATCAGCTGTACAATAAAACCGAACGTCACATCTGGAAGGACGACGCCATCCAAATGCTGCTGCAGTTGTGGGCGCAGCACATCAGGGGCTTGCGCGGCACAATGAAGAATACGGTTATCTACAAGGAAATGGAGAAGCAAATGAGCCGGTTCGGTCCTAGCCACTTTGAGATCAAAACCAAAATGGATAATATGTCTCGGAAATTCCGGTAATGAAGTTATAAACAAAATCATATAGAAAATATATAAACTTACATATATTTTACAGTTTGGAGGCTGAGAAATTCCGAGAAACCGGTGTGCCGTCCACGTGGGCGTATTTCCACAGACTTCAATCACTGCTAATTGGAACCAAGGGAGTCGATGTTTTTGAGGATATGATGTTTGACACCGGTAAATATACAAAATAATAAATTAATAAATAAATTAGTTCTAAAATGTAATTGCAATCCCTATAGGCTCAACACATTTTTACGATCAGGATGAATCTGAGGCTGACGATATGGAATCGCTGAGAGGGGAATATTTAGCAGAGGATTCCTCAGCAAATGATCGTCATTTCGAAGAAGAAAGAGAAGAAGAAGATGCAGACAATAAGCATAATATCGATTTTCTTGCTAATGAAAAATTCCAAGAGAGCCTGCGTTCCCCATCTCCAGCTGGACCAGAAGCGGACGAGTATGGGGAAGACGAGGAGGTGGAGGAGGAGGAGGTGGAAGCTGACGAGCAATTTAACGAGAGGGAGGAGACACCTGAAGCAGAGTCCACGGTAGAGGATCATGCAAAAAGGAAGAAGGAAACTAAACGACGCACAGACCGAATGCTTGAAATCGAAGAGGAGAAACTAGTTATCGAGCGGGAAAAGCTAAAGGTCATGAAGGAAGCACTGCAAGAGCTGTCCGCATTCCACAAAGATCTAATGAAGTTGATTAAAACTAGAAAGTAAAATGTTACGTAACATCTATGTATCTTTGTTTCTATAAATATATTTCTTGAATATGCTTAAGAGGTAATACATATTAGGATTGTTTTCAGGCTATAAACTAAGAAAAATTAAATTAAAATGCTGCGGCAAGTGCTGGATCTAAAAAAAATATATATAAATACAAAAAGGAAGCTACTGAATTATGTGTAAATATAGGATCTTACGAATAAGGATGTTTGATTTTGGCTTTGAACCATATATACATATTTATATAGGATATAATTTAAATTTCTGATGTAAACCCTATAAAGTATATATATTCCTGATCAGCATCAACAGACGAGCCCATCTACCCATAAAATAAAAATTGTAACTTCGCTGTTTTTTAACTTTTTTTTAAATATTTTTTCTATGACCGTTTGTATTATTTAAAAATTTCGGTTTAAATTTTGTGAAAATAGGGAAATCGGTTTAATATAATAGTGCACGATCGGGAAATAAAAAAAAAAAATTATTTTTTTGTTCATTAACTCTTAACAATTTAAAAATGATTTTAAAAATATTTTTTATTTTCATGAAAATTAAAATGAATGAAAATTGCCTTTGCTTTGTTTCTGTTCAGAATAGAAATATATACTAATAATTTATATTATACTATATATTTCAAATGTAAAGTATAATTTATTATACGATTTTAAAACTATGTTTGTGGAATTCCTTTTTGGCCCAGTGCTCGCCAACAGGTTAAGGGCTGCCCACTTGCTGAGGAAATGCTGCCCCACGAGGGCTGCATTGGCTTGTTATTGTTTTGTTATTATTATTAATTTCAAGATGAGCGGAATTGAGGCGGCTTCCCGACAGAACACCGAGTTTGATGAATCCACCAACGAGATTGTGCTGAAGATCCTTAGCCGCGAATACTGGCTGCTGCGGAGACAGGACAGTAGCAGCACAGTATGGCAAGTCTACCGACAGATCGTCCGTTCCGATGGAACCAAGCTGCGGGATTATTACTTCTGCACTGGCTGTAAGCGGCTGATTAAAAGCGGCGATATCTCCAGCCTGCGCTCCCACATCTGCCACGTGAAGTACTTGCAACAGAGAGCCAGCGCCACTGTGCCAGATTTGGAACCAAAGGTATGTCCGTCCCTGCTGCCACACACATGTGTTTGAAAAAGTCTCTTACCGGCAGGCAATCAACGATGATAGGAGGTAGGGATGTTAACCGGTCATCAAATCCATTGGTCCTACAAAGCAACCAAGATGCTGCTGGAGCTGTGGAAAAACAACATAAAACATTTCCGAAGTGAACGCAGCAGCCAGTACCGAATATTTCGGAAGATCGCAAAGGAGATGAATCACTTGGGCTTGAAGCCGTCTGACATTAAAACCCAAATGGATAATATGAGCAAACGTTATAGGTAAGGAACAGAATATCTTCTTGAGACATTCATCTTCTTAAAAAAGTTAATGTTCAATACATTTCAGCCAGGAGGCCGAAAGAGTGAAAGTTACAGGAAGACCATCCAAATGGTCGCATTTTCATGACCTCCAAAAGTTACTCAGTGCCTTGGAGGAAAGTAATTCTTCTCCTAATGGCAGAAATTCTTTCAATGAAGAAAATAGCTCCCCGGATATGGAAACCAATGGGATAATTAAGCAGAATGAAGAGGATGATAGCCAAAATGATATTAACATAGAGGCATTGCCTTCCCTGGAGACCTACGAAGAAGAGCTCGACCAACAGGATTTATCACCTAAGTATTTGCATGGAACTAAACCCTGTAAGGTTAAAAGGTTTATGGCCATCCAGGAGGAAAGGCTCGCTTTGGAAAAGGAAAATCTTAAGAGTTTTCAAACTGTTATGAAAGAGATTGTGTCGTATAATAAGAACCTTTGCCAGGTACTGTACGACAACGAATATAATAATACCTAATTTCAACGTAAGAATTGTTTAAGAAAATAAAGTTGGTTTAATAAAAGGATGTTCTACCTTTAAAGATAATTTTTTCGGATATTATTATTTTTAATATTATTAATATTCTTATTAATAATGTAAATACATACTTTTTTATTGTTTAATTTATTATTTTTAATAAATAAAATTGAAAACTTGAAATATCCTGGAAAAAACTTTCCCGTTCACTATAGGGTTAATGTTGTGTTTATGCAGCCCTGGCATTGCGGTGCTGCCAACTCGTTTACCGCCTAGCGGTTGGATTTGCCATGAGCGTCAACATCGGGAGCAGGAATAGGAATAAAATGTTTATAATAAACGCCCCCGACGAGGAGGAGAAGTGCACCGAAGCGCAACTGGATATTCTGCTGAAGATCAACACCGGCGAGTACCGGCTGGTGAAGAAGAACAAGCGGAGCTCCGTGTGGAATGTATATAGGGAAATCGCCCGCGCCGATGGCACTAAGCTGAAATGGAGATACTTCTGTCTGGGCTGCAAGCGGGTGATGCAGTCCTCTGGCGGCACCACTTCAAATCTTCGTATCCACAAGTGCCATGTGCGGTATATCAAGCAAGGTGGTAGTCATAGTCCATCTGGCGACGCCTCTAATGGCTCTCCTTCGCCGCGCGCAGCAGCAGCAGCATCACAGACGCCACGCAGCCAGCAGAGTAGCGAGCAGCGGGCTCCGGTCAAGAGAGTGCCAACCTATGCTTCACAATACGAGCAGCTCTACGAAGTCAGGACGAATCCCTTGGCCAAGTCCCCCGAAATGGAGGAAGACACGGAGGAAAACAATCTGGAGGAGGAAGCGGATGGCGTGGATCAGATTGTAAGTGCTTCCAGATGGAGCTCTCAAATCATCCAAATTATTTACGTATATTTCAAACCACAGATCGAATCTGAGCGCATCCTGGAAGAGCCCACGTCTGCGCCCAAGCCGCGTCCATTGTTAAAACTCTTCTCGGAGGACTCCTGGTCTTGTGAGCCGGAACTGGACCCAGACGAGCCAGAACCAGAGTCGGTGTTGGATGAGCAGACGCCGATTGAGTTGGATCACAACGACATCCAGCAGGAGCCAGTGGGCGACTACAAAGAGGAGATACTACAGCCGAAAGGACTAGAAAATAGCAACCAATTCAATGCCAGCGCCCTTTCCGAAGCGGAATCCTATGCCAAGTCCTGGGCTCATGCCTTTCTGCGTCTGAGCGATGAGCAAAAGTTCTACGCCAAGCGTTCCATCGACGAGCTGCTAGTCCTGGGCCGGCTGGAAAAACTAAGCATTTCCACGGTGACATCGTTAACAACTAACTTGTAGTAATAGTCAAGTGAATAGCGTAAATATCCTATATCCTATATATCCCTATATCCTTAGCCTAAGACGTCCTTATGTACTTTTTGCAGATTTAATTATTAACTTAATTATTTACTTTTATTTAGAGAGTAATTTTAAGTGAGCAAAGATATTTTATTATGTAAACTATCCAAAACCAAAAACAAAAAAAAAACATCTTGAGTTTTTTTAAATAAAGTCATCAAATTTGTTTAACAATTTAAATTCCTCAATTTTGATTTGTATTCGAAAATATGAGAGATTTTGCAAATCCGCATACTGAATTTTAAAATTAAATAAACTAAAAATTAAATAAATAAAAATCCACATATTTAATATGATTTGCTTTTGTCCTATGCTCAAAAAACGTAAACTCTTTTAACAAACCTCTTAAGAAAGCTACAATAAACCACGAAAAAATTGTTTTTCAATTTTTTTATTTTTTCCAATACGTTTTTAAAGTTTTTTTTTGTAATTTTTCTTTTGGTTGCCATCTTGCATTTGTTGTATTATATTTTTTGCTTTGCTTTTACAGTTTTTTTTTGTTTGTTTGTTTGTTTGCTGTGAATTACATTTCTTTTTCCATTCTTGTTCTTTTTTTCTGCTGTGTTTGATGCTTGATACATTAAGTCGCCTGTTCTGGTAGTGTTCTATCTTTCTTTCGACTGAAGATGATGTATAAATGGGAAAAGATGCGGTTTGTGTGTGGATATACAGTTTTAATCATATCTTTAATACGAGAAACTTAGATTTACAACGCTACAACGTTCGAGGATATCCAAAAATAAATTAAATTTTTAAATAAACAATAAGTTAAATTTGGGCTGAGAGCTGATTGTAAGGTAATTATCAAGACCAGGGCGTATTTAAATTTATTTTTTATCGCTGCTGTGTGTTTCATAGATGATAAAAATCGACAGACATGATAGAATTGTTTTTAGAATTTGATACGACATTTTAAAGTGACTGTGTGTGGTCACCCCATGAAACAAGACAAAAAGCATAAACAAACCGAAAAAAAAGACGCGGCGGCCCATATATAAGCGAACTCTGATGGTGTTTGTTGCTCTTCTTATAACTTGCAGCGGTCGTTGTTGTTCTTGTTGTTGATGACGATGTTGGGATGCTGCTACTACTGCTGATATTTCTGGGCGTTGCGAATTGTTCCTTCCTAAGCAGTGCTCTCTGTGGTTGTATTTTGCAGTTCTTGAGCGCCATTCTAGGGTTTTTCGTATTGTTGGATAAATTATAAGCATAAATGAAACAGACATACAAAATCAAACGTTTAAACTAAAACCAGAGATGAATGTTAGACCCAAAAAGCCTCTCAGTGTTAAGGTTTCCTTTTTCCCTCTTGTTAATGGTTTTGTTTAGAGTGCGACAGTGGTTGTTAGGTTGGTTAATTATGCATTTTTTAAGTTGTTATTTTCTTATAATTTCAAGTGTGACCGACACCCAGGTTGTTATTTGTAGATACTGTTGCTGTTGTTGTGGTTGTTAAGTTGCCGCAGATGCTGTGTTATCGTAGTATTTCATGTTCTTTTTTTTTTTTTTTTGCTTTGGCAAAGATGTTTCAAGTTGTTGTTCTGTCGTGTGATTAGTTCATTACCTGCTGTGGCGGCTGCTGCTCCAAACCACCGCCAGGGCCATTCGGTTTCCGATTCTGGCGACGTGGACGTGGCTGTTGAGGGCGTGGTGGTCCCTGCTGGCCTTGAACTAAAATAAAATAGAACAAGAAAAAGGTTACAAATATATAAAAATAAACCAGTTAAAAAAAACCTAAATAATAAATTCCTTAATTAAAAATATACTCACTATATTCGCCGCCATCGCGACGTGGTGGCGGTGGTCCATTATTATAATTGCGCCGGAAGAAGCGCCTCTGGGGTCCGCCCGGCGGGCCGCCTCCTCGACGCGGTCCATGTCCCTCGCCTCGCTGCAGACCCTCCGGATTCTGGTCCAGTCCGGGTTCGGCACTGCTACCATCACCGCCGCCCAGGCCGCGGCGTGGTTGGCGCGGATAGTAGTTGTTATACCGGCGAGGACCACCGGGAGGTCCTCCTGGTCCACCCGGACCACCGCGTGGGCCACCACGTGGTGGTCCACCTGGGGGTCCACCGCCGGGCGGGCCGCGACGGAAGTTCTGACGTGGTTGGCGCGGGCCAGACTGCTGCAGCTGCGGTTGCCCGTCAACGGACGGCGGCTGTTGCTGCTGCTGCTGTTGGACCGGCGACGCCAGCTCGTCGCCTTCGTCTCCCTGGCCGGGCTCCTTGCGGCGATTCTTCTTCATCCAGGGGCGGAAGTTTCGGCGCTTGTCCGCAGCAAACTGACTGCCCCGCACTGGCTCGCCCGATGGTCCGGTCACATTGGCTGCCTCGTTGCCCTTCTCGCCAATGACCACGTCGAACTCAACGACCTCACCATCGCCCACCGAACGGACCGCCTTCTTGGGATTGTTACGGGCAATAGCACTCTGGTGCACGAAGACGTCCTCTTTGGTGTCGTTGCGATTGATGAAACCGTAGCCGCTCTTCACGTTGAACCACTTGACGGTGCCGGTGACTTTGGTGGCTGCAAAAATGAATTAATAAGTTAATTAAGTTATTAATGTGACTTTTAAAAAGGTTTATTAACACTTAATAATAAAATGATTGATATTTGATGTAAGTAATATATCGGAACCCGGAAAGTCATGACCCTTGTATCATGTGATCAAAATACAACGATAATGACAACAAAAATACAGTAGTATAAGTGCTTAGCGAAACAGGTGTATCTTTTATATTTTTTAAATTCCTTTTAACAATTTTTCCAAACAACCAAAACATCTCAAAAAACATACTAAAATTATTGTAGGCAATGTAATGAAATACGTATATATCTACATACAATCCTCCTACCGAAAGATATTGCTAATCAAAAACATATATACAAGGATCTTATCGGATCGTCGCTTGCCTTAAAAAACGGCTTATAGCCCGAGCCACAAGCACATGCTGCCGTTGTGCGAGTGTGTGTACAAATAAGTGTACCAAAACAATGAACACACACACATGAAAGCGCCATCCCGCTCGCACCCACGCTGCGCGCGCACGAACAAATTGGGTTGCTCTAGCCGTGCGTGGGCGGGGGAGGTGCGCCGCAGCCCGCCGAAGGGGTGGGTGGAGATGGAAAAAGGCCAGACCGGCAAAAGGCAGAATTTTCATTTCGTTTGCCGGCGGCGTGAACACTCGTTCATACAGACATATGTATGCGCCTTTTGCCGCACAAAATGGCCGACGCGCGTATATTTTAAGACACAAACACACACACACACATGCTCTTGCAGGCATGTTTCTTCTTTTTTTTCGTTCCTTTCATTGCTATTTTGGTAGCACTAGCCGCCGCCATGTGTTCGCGTATGAATGAAAGGGGGACTGCGATTGGGATTGGGATTCGGATCGGGTGCACTGCACATCTGGCTGGGGCTTACCGATGACTTCCTTCGGCGGCGGAGCGGGCTTGCCCTGCTGTCCCTGCAGCTGCTGCTCGTCCTGCGGCTCCTGCTCCAGATCCTCCGGCAGATTCTGCTGCTGCTGCTCCGGCTGCTGCTGTTGCTGTTCAGCGGCCAGCGGCTTGTTCTCAGCATCGGCCATCGCTCACTCTCAGTTGTTGGTTAAAAACGAAAAGCGGGAAAAGCAAAAGGCTGTTGTTGTTGCTGCTGCTGGTGTTGTTGTGTGGATGCGAGTGCCGCAACAAATTGTCCGTTTCCCTGCTGTTCTTCGGGGTGTCTGCTGCGCTCGGTCGCAGTTGGTGGCGTTCACTCTCAACTGCCACTACCACTTCTGATGTTGTTTTTGAGTGTGATCTTAAAACACTCGCCACTCGCAGGGTTTTCTTTGCCTTAGCGATTTTATTTTGTTCGCTCCGGAAGTGAAACTTGACAGCCAGCGCCCAGGGCTGCTTGCAGGGGGCCTATCGATAGTGTACAGCCGATAACTATTTCGATCATTAAGCATATATCGGTACGATTGTCCATCTCTAAATTGTGGTTATTTTTTGAATATATTTTTAATTTTGTTTCAAAGTTGATTTGTTTTAAACATTACAAGAATTATTATCTTTATTAATAGGAGCAAAAGTATTTTAGTTATTTTTTAAAGTAAAATCAGATAAAAGGCAATAGAGGTAAGGAAACATGACAAGATACGGTTTACAATATTTGTTATATTTGTAGACATAGTTTATGCCAAACTACGATTGGTTCTTCGCTTCCAAAAATGATGAACCTGCTCCAAGGCGAATCCTACACAGCTAAGGCCAATACCCACGGACCAGAGATAAAAGGCCCCCTGAAGAATGTCCAGGGTTAGGACCACTCGCTTCTTGCGGCGCACGGCCGGCTCAGTTGCCGCTGGATCCAAGTCAGTCTGGTCGCCCAACTCCTCATAGAACTCCTCGGCATTCGGCGAAGTCCCATCTCGAGTAATCAGATCCATTTGGCGCCAGTGCTCGAAGAATCCATGTTCGTGGAAGCCGGTGAACAGCGTTTGAAAGCGGTGCAGAAAGGGCGATCCGCGGGGCAGGATATAGGTGCACAGCATGGATCGCAGGTACTCCTTGACAATATGGTAGGCCGGTCGCTCCGCCTGGGCATTGTAGGTACGAGCCAGGAAATCCCTGGCATGGAAATCGCGCAAGATAAAAGCCGACCGCCTGTCTCGCCGGCTCACGAGGAGTTGGTAGTAGGAGGTAGCCACTCCGAGCGGCAGCTGGCGACTCCGGCTCTCCAGGAGGCGGTACTGATCCTCGGATAGAGTGGACCGCACTGCATCGTACATGGTGGTCACAGCATAGATACGAACGTCCAACTGTCCGAGACCCGCCAACTGGTCCAGCTGCGCCTCATAGCTCGGACGCACGAATCCAGACTCCAGCTTGGCAAAGTAGATGGTGGTAAGGACATAGCTAAAGAGGATCCAACCCATGAGAAAGGTGCGCATCGAGCTAAACGAGGAAAATCGTTCCGCCGGCTCCCCGACGTGCGTCTTGCCGAACATTTCGAGGATCTCATACCAGGTGGCCTGGAACTGGATGACATTCTTTCGTGGCACCCGTTTCTGTAGACGCTGCATCAGCCAGAAGATCAGCACCACTGTCAGGAGGGTGGCAAGGAGCAGGTGCCACACGGAGCGCCGGAAGACGCGCACAAAGATCAAATACTCTGGCTGAATTCCAGAAGCAGGAACTACCAGGTACAGGATGCGGCGGGTTTGCGGATACAGCACCTCCACCTCTGGCCAGATGCAGTCCAACACGAACCGAGAGTTGGCTCCGAAGTGAGTGTGACCGCCGACCAGGTCCTTGACCGCACCCGTATAATTGCCACCGGGCAGGCAGCGTCCGTAGGATTCGTTGTCCGCTGGTATTACATAGGTTACCGAGGCATTCAGCATCCGGGCAGTCACCCGAGCAGCCACTCCATCCACTGCCTTGTAGCCAGCAGTCTCCACGGGCTCCCTGGGAACCGCTATCAGAGGATCTGCGAACATGGAGAAGCGCAGTGGATAGCCCCTCAAATTTCCCATCTTATCGGAATAGATTAAGTCATTTCCAGTTCGCTGTACAACCTGTAGACCCCCCAGGGCAAAGGGATCAAAGTCGAAGATGCCATTATCCCTGCTGGTGATGGCCAGCCCGTAAAGCATTTGCTTGTTCCAGCAGCTGCTGAAGAGATCCAGCAATTGATTCTGCCCAGCATCGGGCCAGATGAAAAGGTATTTGTGCAAGTGTTTCCTCGGCTGTCGAGGATTCAGCATGTCCACAATACGACGTACTAGGGAATCCCCCCTTTTGCCAGCTGGTATGTGAAAGATACTCAAGCTGTCCGTGTTGCGAAGCGGCTCTATCTCGTGGCTTTCAACATTCCGGGTGACCACGGGCAGCTGGCTGCCCACGCAGCGGTGCAGCTCCAACTCCAAAGCGGAGTGACTCGGATCCAAGGCAGCCGGACAGCTGGAACAGCGATACAAATAGGTAATCTGAACATTTTGCTTCACGGCCAGACGACAGGCAATCCCGGCCAGCGAACAAATCCCGGACAGAGAGCAGAGCTAAAGCAACAGGCAGAGCAGGAACGTAACCGAAGACTCCATTTCCTGAGAGGCAACTAACCCTGTTCTTTAGGCGGCGACCTGGACAACAACCTGTGGACCCCGTCCCAGGAGAGTCGTAATCCCCAATTATGACCCAAGGCATTGCGTGAGGGGCTTGTTACCAGACAAACGCTTGAGTTTACAAAGTTAATGAAATAATTAACTCAAGTTCAAATAAATATAATCGCAGTATCATCCCATATGCAGTATTGTATAGCAACTGAAACACCTGAACCAAGTTAGGGGTTTATTAATACGTAAGTTGATAAGGTTTAGTTTTTGTGCTGAATCTGCAAAGTCGTTGGTTTATTAGAACATTTAAAACATTTAAAGTCATTGTGAAAGACGCTGGAATATATACAAAATATATTATTATTGATACCCTAGAATAGATGATTGGGGTTGCAGGAAAACAGAAAAACTAGCACAGAAAAGCTTTACGAATTAAAATTATGCATTTTGGGAAAATTTACCATAGATTTCAAATGCAAAGGCTTTTCTAAATAATGTATTTTAATGATGCACTACAGCTATGGCTCTTGTCCCTTATTCTTTGTTGTCCACTCTAAATTTTTGTTTATGTCCCAAATATATGTTTTAGCTATATGTTTTGAAATTTTAAAATATTTTTAGCTTGGTTTTGATAATGTTGCGCCTGACTGGCGACCCGTCGATGCAAAAACAAAGGCAACTAAATGCAACCTGATAAGCAAGGTGCTGCCTAGTAACACCTTAATTTCCAGGTGGTTGTTCGGTCATTCGACTACAGAATTACAAGCAAATTGAGAAAAAAAAGGCCTGCCATTTGTAGATAGGTGACGATTCATTTAAAAAACAAACCATATAATATTTAAATCTGTTTTATTGTTGATTTAATATATTTATTTAGAAGCAACTGGAAAGTTAAAGAAATATAAATAATTGTGATAAACATTTGTTTAGGCTTTATTTATGAAATATTTCTGAAACTAAGAGATTTATCTAGAAATTGTATTAATTTAAATAATTTCAGGGAATGGCATTAATGGATTCTTCACAAAACCAACTTGGATTCCATTAAATCCAATAGATTCCCTAGCTCACATCATGTTTTTCTGATCGCTGGAAGCTCCAACATGAGGACAAAGAATTTAGATAATGATTTTAGCTATATGCAGCATACGGGGACAACATCTATTCGCTGGCTTATCACCTGCAATTCTGCAATCTGCAGTCAGAGGGTCGAGCAGATCCGGCGGAGTGTCAAGGCTGTGGCTGCGACCGGCCATTGCCCGGACTGCAATCTTCCGAGCTGCTCTGCCGATGGGTGCTGGCCGGGGGTATAAATACGGCTCGGCAGCAGTGCAGCAGTATGATTCGACATGATGAAGTCGTTGACGGCGATCGCAGTTGTTACGGTGGCTCTGCTGGCTGCTCTCGGTGTCCAGGCCAAACACCTGGGCTCCAAGGTGGCCGACAAGGACTTTCTGGTCAAGCAGAAGTTCGTCTTCGAGATTATGCAGCACATCTATCAGGATGATGTGTTCGTGACCCACTACCCGGCCACCTTTATGGAGTACAAGCCCTGGGAGCATGTGGGCGACTATGTCCACCCCGAGATGCTGGAACACTTCTTCGAGCTGTGGGAGCATCATCCCTTCACTGATTACCAGCCGTGGTCGGTGATGTACGAGAAGCACGAGGAGTATGTCGTTGGACTGGTGCGTCTCTTCTACTTCGCCAAGAACTGGGAGACCTTCCAGCACGCCGTCTTCTGGGCCCGTCAGCACGTCAACAAGCAGATGTTTGTGTATGCCTTCACCATTGCCGCCCTCTTCCGCGACGATATGCAAGGCGTGGTCATGCCAGCCCACTACGAAATCCACCCCTGGTCCTTCTTCGACAGCCAGGCTCTGGAGTGGGCCGAGCACTACAAGATGCACGGCTTCCATCACGTCAAGCAGATGGACAACATTTACAATGTGGTGATCAAGGCCAACTACTCGAATGTCCACGGAGCCCTGAACTACGATCACGATCTTGCCTACTACCTGGAGGATGTTGGCTTCAATGCCTTCTATTACTACTTCAACCTGGACTATCCCTTCTGGACCAAGGGCGGCGAGGAGCATGTCCTGAACAAGGATCGTCGCGGTGAGCTCTACCTGTACGTCCACTGGCAGCTCCTGGCCCGCTGGTACATGGAGCGTCTGTCCCACGATCTTGGCGAGGTGCCTGCCTTCAACATGTACGTGCCCACCGAGTCCGGCTATGCTAGCAATCTGCGTAGCTACCACGGAGCGCCCCAGTGGCACCGGGAGAACCACCATAACTTCTACCATGGCCACAACTATGAGCACATTGAGCATGTGGAGATGTACACGCAGCGAGTGATGGATTGGATCCACAAGAACGACAAATTCGATATGGAAACCATCAACGTTTTGGGTAACATCATCCAGGGTAATGCTGACAGTGTGGACAAAAAGTTCTACGGCAGTCTGGACAAGCTTTACCGCTACATCGTGAACGAGGGACACCACTACGGCCATGGCGATGAGAGCTTCCCCGGCCTGTTCATGCACTACGACACCTCCCTGCGCGATCCCATCTTCTATGAAGTGTACAAGACCCTGGTGAGCCACTACTGGCATCTGATGGAGACCTATCCCGAGTATAAGAAGCACGATTACACCTTCGAGGGTGTCAAGATCGATGCCGTACACATGCCCGAGAGCCTGACCACCTACTTCGAGTACTTCGATTCGGACATCAGCAACGCTGTGAATGTGGAGCCACCAGTGGAGGGTTCCACCGATGCCCTGTACGCCTTCGGACGCAACTCCCACTACAAGGGTGCCAGCTACGTGATCAAGGCCCGCCAGCACCGTCTCAACCACAAGCCCTTCGAGTTCACCATGGACGTGACCGCCGACAAGGCCCAGGATGCGATTGTCAAGGTCTTCATTGGTCCCAAGCACGATGAGCACGGACACGAAATCCCTCTGGAGTACAACTACCAGAACTTCTTCGAGCTGGAGCACTTCAAGGTGCACCTGGAGGCGGGCGTTAACCACATCAAGCGGGCCAGCGGCGACTTCTCCTTCTGGGTGAACGATCGCACCACCTACCTGGAGCTCTACCAGAAGCTGATGGACGCCTCCAACAGTGACTACAAGTTCAAGCTGGACATGTCGGAGGCCCACTGCGGTGTGCCAAACAGGATGATGCTGCCCCGCGGCAAGAAGGGCGGTCAGTTGTACCAGTTCTTCTACATGGTCTATCCCTATCACCAGCCCGCAGTGACCCAGTTCACTGGCTACGATCCGGTGGTCAGCTGCGGCGTCGGACACGGCTCCCGCTATGTGGACGCCCTGCCCTTCGGCTTCCCCTTCAACCGACCGGTGAAGCACGACTACTACTTCGATGTGCACAACTTCAAGTTCGTGGACGTCAAGATCTTCCATCGCGACGAGCACACCAACGTTGTGTAAACTTCAAACGAAAAACGAACGAACGAACGGAAACGGATCCCTACATGTCTCTTTGTCCACACTTCCCCCCATAGAAACCATAATTTAATTCAGTTTTTCCTTAACTTGTCAGTCCTCCCTGTGACCATTTAACAATAAACGTATCCGAAAAACACACTTATTTTTTGTTTAATTTCACTTTTACTTTTATTAATTAAAGTTAAATAATTTTGTATTTTTGCAGCTTTTGAAGTTGGGAATTGAAGCATTAAAAATCGATCAATTTTGCTAAAATAAAAAGAAAAAAATAACAGAGATGTATAAAGCATTAATGCGTATCATAATAAAAGCCTCCTGACTGAAATTATAATATCCTCAAAACTTATAATATATATTCATTTTTTATAATAATTTTTGGGAAAACCAAAGCTTATAAATATAATACCTAAGCCAAAAATGCAATAATTTTAATTAGGAAAGCGGTTTTAAGTTAATTGTTATAAGAATAATAAATCTGCATAATTAATTTAACATTTCTATAAATAATTATTTTTCTTTCAATTTTTTTTCAGAAATCTCCTTTTGATCCTGATTAAGAATGTATATTCTTGACTCCCTTACTGCGTTACCAGCTTATAACCAAAATTATAATCCCCTGCCCATGAATAAAAATATAGAAATATGGAAATAAATTAAATCAATAAATTGAAGGAATTTAATTGGAATTGTAAATCAATTTGGTTAAATACATTAAATTTGATCTGCTTTGTAAAGTTTGTATAAATCTGCAGGAAAGCACAATTATTTTAAAATAACCAAGACTACGCCAGGAATTTAGTTAATAGATAACATAAAGTAGCATTTTCACAAATTCTAATTTATGAATATTTAAAATTTTCAAACGCTGACACAGCTATCGAAACCAAAACCATCGATAGAGGCACTCCCGGAGAATTATCGATATTATTGTGCGTGGTCGATCCATCTCTAGAAAAAAGCACAATTTGTTCTTGTTTTGTCGCCGCAACAGCAATTGTTTATTATTTTCTCGAAAGTTACGTTACCAAAAAGCAGCTGTAGCAGCCATGAATAACAATAAGTGTTAAACAATAACAATGGCTTAGCAATAAACGATTGATCAGCATTAACGGTAGTTATGGAGAAATCAACACAAAAGTGAATTAAACCCCAAAAAAGGTGATTAAAAGCGATTATGCTGATAGTGCCTCCAAGATAAGCAACTAAGCAACCGATTTTCGCGGAAAAGCCAACACAGTTATCATCCTAATAAGTGGAAAACTCTTGTGCGGCGTCCAAAGGCTGATGTGGCGTCACAATAACATCGTATGATCCGGGTCCCGGTCTCCGATTGGCTGAAAGCCCGCTCGTGTATGCTTTCCCGCTCGCGTGTGTTTGTGTTACGGGCACAGTGGTTGGGGGGCTATTGAAAAAGCTGTGTGTTTATTGGAAAAACTAAAAAAATGATTAGGAAATAATAAATGCCTATTACAAATTTAAATTTAAAAAAGATAAAAAAATCTTTCGCCCCAAAACTGAGCTAATAATAAAAAAAAAACAATAAATAATTAATATATATTAAAAAAAAAAAGTTTGCCCCAAATCTGACCGAATTATAAATAAATAATTTATAATTAGTTTATATTAAAAATCAAAAAATTCGAAATCCCATACCACAAATTTTTTTTTTTTGGAAACAAAAATCACACACTTGTCCCACTGTTGTTTTCGCTGTGTAATTGCGCCGCTCAGAATATTCTATTACTTCAACTCAAGTTTAATAATAAACAAAACAGCAATTACACAACGCTCTTGTATTGGTTTCGTCAGCAGCAAAAAGCAGAGCATAAACAATGGACGCGCCTCCGAATCCCATGGATTTCATGGACGAGTCAATGGACTTGTTCAAGGCGGAGGATGCCTTCGACATGATCAACGAGGTCCTGCACTCGGACATGCTTGATAGTTTCCTCAACGAAATGGATCCCACGCTCATGTACAGCAACATGCTCCAGATGGATAACACCCAGATGGACCAGCCGGCGCATGTGAAAAGCGAGCATTCCTCCCCCGTTCATATCCATCCCGTTCACATCAAGGAGGAGCTGCAGCAGCAGCAGCAGCAACCATCCTTGCCCATCTACAAGCCGGACCCCCTGATGGCCTCCAACTACAATCTCTCCCCGCAGCAGCAGCAGCCGCAGCAACAACAGCAGCCACTGCTGAAAGCTGCCCAGCCTACGGCAACTATCCACCACAAGGATAACCAACGGTTGCCGCCTAACACTACGCTTTATTCGCCCACTTTGGGCAGTGGTTTTACCTACCAGGTTGCTTCTCCGCCCACGCCGCCGGCAGAGAAGTCTCCACAGAATGTGAATGTCATGCAGCCGATAACACCTCCAACCTCTGTGACCATGCCGCCACAGGCGCAGTCCTTTATCATGTACACCCAGCCGCTGAACACAAGTCCGGGATTGTTAAGCGCTGCTGCTGCCACCCCAATGCTGTTGGAATCCATGACCGAGACTAAGATGACAGCCAGTCCGAAGACCTCACCACCGTTGGCATCCCCCCATTCCAGTTCTGGTGGGAGTAGAGCCAGCAAGGTGCGAGTTGCACCGCTGGCACCATTGCCCAGCACCACCCCGGAGGTACTTGGGAAGGTGCCCATCACCCGGGCGCAACCCAAGGTAAAGGAGGTGAAGAGATCCGCCCATAATGCTATCGAGCGGCGTTATCGCACCTCCATTAATGACAAAATCAACGAGCTAAAGAACCTGGTGGTTGGGGAGCAGGCAAAGTTAAACAAGTCTGCGGTGCTCCGCAAGTCCATCGACAAGATCCGAGATCTGCAGCGCCAGACGCACGAATTGAAAGCAGAGCTGCAACTCCTGCAGCGTCAGCTAATGGCCCGCGACGGCTCCAAGGTTAAGGATCTGCTGCAGCTGGGCTCCCGCCCGGGCAGGAACTCAAAGAAACGTCGCGAGAGCTCACTAACTTCCGCCACCGATGCCGGACTGACGCCACCGCGCAGCGATGTCTCGGATCCCTCTCTCTCTCCTTTGCACTCGGACATCTCTTTGCCGCCATCGCCTTATGGTGGATCCACTGCCAGCTGCAGCAGCGGCAGCAGCAGCAAGGATGAGCTTTTGGTGGTGCCTAGTTCCATGCGTGGGATGGCCACGCACTCGCGTCTGGGCCTGTGCATGTTTATGTTTGCAATTTTGGCCGTCAATCCCTTCAAGACGTTCCTTCAGCGTGGACCCTTTGCTGGTAATGGACTTAACGATGACGACCTGGGCGAACTGGGTGGCCAGAGGCGAAGCATTCTCTCTTACGATGTGGATGGAGGTAAGGAAATAATTCCTGGTTTAATTTTTACAAATAATTGCACATTTTTATCCTCAACTTGTTTTAGGAGACGGCTTTGGTGGCTGGCAACACAGCTCCTGGATATGGCTTCTGAACTTGACCCTAATGCTTGGCTGCCTGGTGAAGCTGCTGGTTTACGGTGATCCCCAGCTGGACCCCCAAACCGACGCTTATTGGCAACACAAACAACGCGCTGAATCCCATTTCGTTCAAGGACAGGCTACTCAGGCTTATACCGGCTATCTTAATTGTTTGCATATGTTTGGCTTGAGCCTGCCGTCGACGCGCTTGGAATGCTATCTACAAACCACCTGGCAGTTTTTGCGGTTCCTTTTCCATCGCCTCTGGCTGGGACGCGTCTTGTCACGTCGCACTGGTGGGCTTTTCTGTAATGCCGCAAACCGAAAACAGGCCCAGGCCTCGGCCCGAGAACTTGCTTTGCTCTTCAATCGCTTGAATCAACTCCAACTCACTGGGAATGGTAATCGTGGCGATGGTAATGGCATCATGATGGCTCTTTTTGCCAGCAACATGGCTGAAGTTGCCCACAATCTGCTAACGCCGCGGGAAACTATTTGTATTCATGTGATGGCCGCCCTGAGAATGAAGCAAAGTGCACCCAAGTGGCTGAAACAGCTCTTTGCCCGTTACTACATGAGCCGAGCTCGGCAGGAGTGTGGCCGTACCCGGGCTGCTGAGCAGACGCAGGAGCTGCGTTGGGCCTTCAGTGCCTATGGGTATCGCTACTGCAGCACCCATGTCTTTAGCTACGATCTGAGTGACTCTGGCGAGCAGGATGGCTTCTTTACTCGGCTACGAAACCCCTGCGATCCCGCTGCTCATGTCATAAAGGTGAGTAAGGTTTACAGGTGAAAGAGAAGAGATTTATGTAAAATTAACCAATCCCTTAGCAATATCGCGAGCATCTGCTGTTCAAGGCCATTCAGTGTTTGGTGGGTGCGGGTCACAAGTCTGGCGGTGCCCTGCCCACAGCCGCCTCATCAGCCGGAGGAGGAGAAACGGAACAATTGCAACAACAACAACAGCAGCAGCAGCACAGTGGCACCATTGTCAGCAATGTGCTCAAGTACACCTCTCTATTAAGGGACACGCTGTGGGCGGAGGAGGATGAGCGCGACACGAATGTAGTTTGGTGGGCAAACATCCTTGAGATTTCCGTACACTGGCTCCTGGGAGAGGATACACTGGCGGAGCAGCTTTACGACAATATCAAGCAAATGCCAGTGCAACTGCAGCAGAGTAGCGAACACGATCATCTGCCCAAAGCCCTGCATGCTGTGCTCCGAGCTAAAATGATTTTACTAATGTAAGTAACTCAGAAAGACAAATTCTATGATTCAAATTGTATTTTCTTGGCAGGAATAATGGCAACAACCTGGACAAACGCCTCAAGCAATCGGTCAACACTTTATGTGATGCCTCAAGTGTCCAACTACAGGAATGCTTGACTGTAAACCGTATCACCAATGCCCGAGGCATAAAGCTGGTAAGATCACGGCAGAGTGAGTTGAGTGACACCCACAGAACGCCTCCGGAGATGACACGCAGGTGCATTGTAGTCGCATTGTCTGTTTCCCAATATATCCTCCAGGCAATACAACTGCAGTGCAAGCTCTGTGCATTTCACAAGCAACAATGCTCTTTCCTTTTTAGTTTTTGGGAAACCGTGTATGCCTTAAATCTGATATATATCTGATATATATATCTCTGATATATTTCTATTCCTCTTTTTACAGCTTTTCCAATTGCTCACCTGCGATTGGCTGCTCGAAACACGCACTGCTTTGTGGGAACTGGAGCACATGGAGGACATGGAGGACGATGATGGCTATCGACAAGTACCTGGGGAAGTTCTCGAAAAGTTCCAAACCGATTTGAATTCACTGCGCAGCATTGTGGAAAATATACCGGTATGATATAGGTTTACAAGATAAGATTATAAATTATCTGATAATTGGATAATATTTTTTATAGAACGCCCAATCGAGGATCTATCTATACGAGGCCGTTTGTCGTCTGATGGCTGGGGCCTCCCCCTGTCCCACCCAACAGCTTTTAGACCGTAGTCTGCGCTCCCGCTACGCCCACTCGTCCATCTTCTGTGGCAGCAAGGATCGCAGGCATCAAAACTTCGAGGGCGGGGAGCGTGAACGGGCAGCGGCCATGTATGTGGCCTGCAAGTATCTGCCGCCTGCCCTGCTTAGCTCCCCCGGCGAGCGTGCTGGCATGCTGGCCGAAGCGGCCAAGACGCTGGAAAAGGTGGGCGATAAGCGTAAGCTGAAGGAGTGCTACCAGCTGATGAAGTCGCTGGGCAGCGGCATAGGCAGCGTCAAGGCATAAGTAATATAAGCGAAACAAACTTTGAATTTCCCTTTTCTAATCGCGTCAAGGCCTTTTGTTATTTAGTCTTTCAGTTGCCCCCCTCGCGCCCCCCTTTATGTTTAGATTGTAATTCAACAAATAATTATAAAATTATAGTTTAATATGGAAATTCATATTTGTTTATACATTTACCAAGCAAGGTTAATCATATTTATAACAATAAATATTTAAACTCTAACCGGGTGCGTGCATGCACTTAATTCGTTGAATTAATAATTTAATTGCCAATATGCAGGAATACCCTATTATTATAGACGACAAAGTGTGCAGGCTTTAGATTATTTCAAGGCTTGCCAAGGCATTCATTTTGTCATTAAAGCAGAACCTCTTACAATATTGAGGTGCAAATAAGCGTTTCGAACTACTAGTTTGAAATGGAATACTTTTTAATAGAGTCCAATTACTGGAGTACTGTGCTTAGTTTTCTGGGTAAGTTTTGAACATAATTTGTATAAATTTCAAGGTCATTTACATTTTATCTCTCCATGTTTGTTTTTAAATATGAACTTGGTGTTTTTCAGCTTTTATATATTTCCTAAATTATTCCGTTTGTAAAATAATCTTATTTTTAAGTATGAAAATAATTTCATTTGAACTCATTAGTCTCGAAAAATTAAAATTAGTTTTCTTAATTTTTTATTTAAGAAAATAAACTCAAAATATGTTTGAGTGTTTTTTTGATATTGATGTTTTTCCTATTCTATACATATTTTGTCATAGCTCAGGAATATTTTTTGAACTCGCATTCCACCTGCATTTTATGGCACTCTGCGTTTGATTTCCAACTCCATTCGGTTGAGCCACTACCGCTTATTACGATGGACTCTCAGAGATGGTTCACTAACGTATCCAATGACCAAGATGTCTATGACTACAATAGGAAACGGAACGCGTTTAAAAGGAATGGTATTCCTCATACCGACGATTGGATACTCAGGCTGACGGTGGCCATTGAACAGTCCCATTGTGAGGTGAGCTTTTTAGTCGAAGATAGTGTCAAATCTGGAGTGGGTGTCCGGTTCACAGTGTGGGCAGGTGCTGACTTCCTTAAATAAAACTCGCAGGTGGTTTTGATCTCTTACAGACTGTTGCAGCTGAAAATTGTTGAATAATAGTAAATAATATAAATATAAATAAATATAATATATAAATAATATTAATATAAAATACCTTTTCACGGCTACTTTGTGTCTTGATACAAGCAAATGTAATCAGGAGTTCCTGCTCCCGTTTTGATATTATTTCCTTAACGTTAGCTAAAAAGCTATTCACATCGATGCCGGACAGTTTCCAGCGTTTGCCAAATTTCATGTGCTTTAGCCTTAAACAGCTTGTGACCACCGCCAAGAGTTGATCACTTGCATCGACAGATTGTTCTTCTACGCAATCCAGGGCCAGGCATTCGAGGTGGGTTAACTTCCTCAGCTCTCCTATAGATTGAGCTGGCCAATTGTCGCAATCTAGAGCCTTCAGCTGGCTTAAAGCCAATATGCGTGGCACCTGGTCAACGCGAACGCGAACAGAGATTAGCTGCAGCATCAGCAGGCGGTTGGAGTAGCATTTGGCCAAGGATCCGTAGAAATCACTATTGATTTCCACAATCCAGCGGCTGATTAAGCGGAGGGACTGAAGAGCCCGTAAATCCCCAATATCGCTGCATTTGGCATCAAAGTTCTCCAGCGTTAGATGCTCCAAGAGCGGCAAGCATTCGGCCAGCTCGGAAATCTGATGAGATAGCCGGTAACAGCGTCCAAAGTTTACCAAAAGTCTTTTAAGTTCCAGCTTATTTTCGAAAATCTGCCGAAATGCGGGCACGCTGAGATTGGGATCAATTCCATCCACATCCAAGGTCTGAAGCTTGCCAAAGTTATGCAATTGTTCCACTAAAAAAGCATGAAAGGAAGTTAAAAAAAAAACTCATTCATATAACTAATATGTACGTACACTGCGGAACTCTGGCATCGATCAGGGTCAAGTTGGTCAGGCTGGGTAGCTCCAGGAAAAGCTGCATGATGCTATCCCTGTCACTTCCAACCGGCGGCGTTTCCGTATCCGCGTGCATGAATATGACTACCAACTGGTGGAGCTTGGGGCAATACCGACGGATAACATCCAAAACTGGATATGTGATGGCCTCATCCCAACGCCCGTGCGGCACCTCGCATCTGACCACTTCGGAGCCGCATAGTTCTAGTAAGAATTCCCAGTCCGAGACGGACTTTAGCATCCGCACGTTGATTTTTTCATAGCGCTTTCGCAACACATCCGCCAACACGTCCCGCAGCAGAGGATGGGCGCGGCCCAGATTTAGCTGATCCTCCAGCACATTAAGGTGCGAAAATATCTGCAGGTAGCAGTCGTAATTCAGGTGGAGCAGGCTGGGTCCTGTTAATGATTCCTGCTGCTTTCCGGCCAGGAACGAGAAGGCACAACCAAAGCCCAGTTTGTCCATTATTCTGGTATTGGATCATTGAAAATTTTAGGAAACCACCAGTTTCCGCAATCTTTATAAACAAACCTATCGATAATTTACCAGCTGACGATGTATGCGCGCAATGTTCCGTTGCAGCGCATTTGTGTGGGAAGACCCTATTATTTTAAACAGTAACTCAAAATCGTTTTTAATTTTTGGGTTATAACTCCCTAATTGTTCAAATAGTCACTTTATAATTTTTAATTTAATTGTACTTTGTATTTAACAAAGTAACTAAAACTAAACTCTTGTATTTTTTAGAATTTTTTAGCATTTCAGGAGCAGATTCCTGATTTCGCGCGCTCCTTTTACCACGCCAGTATCCATTCCATTTGGCGTTCTCTGAGAAATAGGTTTGTTTTTGTTTATACCGAGGAACTGCTGGAGGATAACGAAAACTATTTCAGCGAATATATATTCCAAGGTAGGGAATTACAAGTCCTTTGAAAAGTATACTTCTAGTTTCCTTAAACTCCAGATCAACCAAATATCCTGCTGGTCACCTCGCAATACCTGAACTCTAGCAGCTTTGAGATCAAGACAAACCGCTTCGTTGGCCACCGAAATTTCCATCCTTCTCCGGGACCCATAAAATTTGATCTCCTCTATAAATACGATGCCCTGGAAAAGGATATGACCTGGAATAAGGAGCTAAAAAGAATCTTGTCTGACAAACTCCGAAACCTTCAAGGACGGGAAGTAGTCATTGGAGTTTTTGATTACAAACCCTTCATGCTGTTGGATTATGTATTCTCATAATTTCTACATTTTTATGATTATGATAAATATTTTGTATTTATTAATTTTGTCAGGATAAACAACCAAAGGTATATGATCGAGCTTCAGATACAAAGGAAGCGGTATACATTGATGGTACTGAGGTGCGACTTATGCTGGTTTTTTGTGAGCTCTATAATTGCACTGTCCAGGTGGACACCTGTAAGTCTAAAAAATATTTCAATAGATTTGTTTTTGATTTAATTTTAGATTTAGGTTTTTATTTAATTTAATTTCACTTACCAAAAATATGATTTTAGAAGCTTAATTTTTGGTTTTTATCAATATTTTTAGCTGAGTCCGCCGACTGGGGAGATGTATATCCAAACGCCACGGGATATGGTCTAGTGGGAATGGTACTCGATAGACGGAACGACTACGGCATAGGTGGCATGTATCTATGGTAATTATTCAATGAATCCTAAAAATAATAATACGAGATTAAGATAAACTTTAAAACCAGGTACGAGGCCTATCAGTACATGGATATGACCCATTTCTTGGGTCGTTCTGGAGTCACTTGCCTGGTGCCCGCTCCAAGTCGCCTGATCAGTTGGACCCTTTTACTCCGACCATTCCAGGCTCTTCTCTGGATGTGTGTGATGCTGTGCCTGCTGCTCGAGAGCTTGGCCCTGTGTGTAACCCGCCGGTGGGAGCATTCTTCGGATGCTTCTCTGCCTCACACTTGGATGGGAAGCCTGCGATTTGGTTGCATCAGTACACTGAAACTCTTTGTGAACCAGAGCACCAGCTATGTGACCCGATCGTATGCCCTGCGGACCGTGCTGGTGGCCAGCTACATGATCGACATCATCTTAACGACTGTCTACAGTGGGGGACTGGCTGCCATCCTGACGCTACCCACTATGGAGGAGGCGGCAGACTCGCGACAGCGACTCTTTGATCATAAACTCATCTGGACGGGAACTTCGCAGGCCTGGATTACCACCATTGATGAGGGATCGGCAGATGTAAGGAGAAAACTATTCCTAATACAAATATATAAAATCGATATATGTACCTGTAGCCAGTCCTTTTGGGCTTAATGGAGCATTACCGAGTCTTCGAAGCCGCTTTGATATCCGCCTTCTCTCATTCAGAGCAAATGGGTTTTGTGGTGGAACGCATGCAATTTGGACACTTGGGCAACACCGAACTCATAGCCAACGATGCCTTGGAGCGCCTTAAGCTTATGGTGGACGACATTTATTTCGCTTTCACGGTGGCCTTTGTGCCGCGCCTATGGCCCCACTTAAATGCCTACAACGACTTTATCCTGGCCTGGCACTCATCCGGCCTGGACAAGTTCTGGGAGTGGAAGATAGCCGCCGATTATATGAACGCCCACCGTCAGAATCGCATTGTGGCCTCTCAAAAACCCAATCTGGACATTGGTCCCGTCAAATTGGGCATCGACAACTTCATTGGCTTGATTTTGCTGTGGTGCTTCGGGATGATCTGCAGCCTGTTCACTTTCGCTGGCGAACTGTGGCGAGGTCGTAACCTTAATTATTGATATTCCAAGGAGTTAACAAGTGTTTATAAATTATATTTTGTAGCTTGAAGCACATTATGAGTTTGAAAAAGTAAAGAACATTCAAAGTCCTGATAAAATTAGCATCTTAACTATTTAGGTGTAACACCTGATCGGTGACGCGGGTTATCAAAGGATCTAGCTCATTGTCATGCAGCTCCTTACTCCACAGATCGTACAAGGTATCCGTGGCCAGCTCGACCGAGTTCCTTGCAGCAGTGGTATTAAAGGTACGCAGCGTTAGGAAGATGACAGCGTCCTCTACGATGGGGCTATAGGTATCACAAATCGTGTGCAAGGCTCGGGCACCATTCGGGGCAATCTGTGGGTCACAAAGCGTGGTAAATAAAAATCTGCCCAAGTATACATACAAAAAATTACTTACTTCATTAAGGTTTACAATCAAAAAGACCTTTCCGTCTTTCACTTTTGCCTTAAAGCGCTCAATTGCCAGGGCAGAGTTGTCCAAACCGGGGCCAAAGTCCTCCTTGCTCATGTGAATAAGTTGACTGGGGCCACCTGTTGATATGCATTTTTTAATATTTAATAATAATAATTGTAATGGCATAAACTTACCGTAACACTTGGATGCTTCAGAGGCAACTGCATCAATAAATTTCTGAAGCTTTGGGTCCTGGTGCAGGAACAAAAACACGCTTGGATGATAGTCCTTCTTATTTATCAAACCTTCGATGCCCTTCTGCAAGGCTAACCAAACCTTGTCCTGCTGTTTAGGCTGAACATTCCTAAGGGTATCAAAGGAACAAGTCTTGAACGTTGGAGCTGGTGTCGGTGTCAATACGAATGCCAGGAAACAGCCAACCAGGATACCAGCTAATGCTAATCCATAGAGGTTACTGTTGCTGCTGGGCAGTTGAGCGCTTTCTGGCGTGTAAGTTGGTTTGAAAGGTGGCAGACTTTTTCTTCTAGAACGATCAGCGGGTGGAGCTGGAGTCCCAGGGGGCGTGGTCGGCGGTGACTCGTCATCTCGGGTTTCCTGCTCACCGGATGAGGAGGTGCCTTCTTCAAAGCCGCCTCCCGACTCTGAAATGAGTGTCTCATTGTCCACTTGATCTTCCTGCTCGGAAGGAGTCGTTGGTCTCTGGTCGTGCAATGGACGCCGCTTTAGGTCCTTCATTTTTCGAATTAAATTTGTAATTCCACAAAATAAACTAAAAAAGTATCAGAAACAAAAAGCCGACAATAGGGATGGAAGTTTGCCATATATCGATATATCGAAATTTATAGAGCATTTTTGTGGATGTAGCTTGGTTCGTTAATTTTTCAGATTATTTACATTTCCTTATAAACAAATACAATTTTTGTTATTATTTTTTTAAGAGAAAGACCTAGCGATGAGCCAAAGACACCTCACCTGACTCTTCGATAACTATCGGTGCAATGCTTTGAGTCAGGTGGCAGCGCTGCCATCTGGCACATTGCGCCGGCAATTTACATTTAGCGTTTGTTTTTATTTTTTAAAAGAGTTTTACTTGTTTTACTTAATGGCCACCTTGTGCTTGGACTTTCTCGGCTTTCAGGTGGTTATGTTTATATTTCAAATTTGTCAGCCGCGATTTCACGTTGCTGAGTTTACTACAAACAGGAGGCCCTGAAGAAGATGCGAGATGTGGACGACAAAATTATATATGCACTGAACGCCTTGCCCACCGACTCGTTTAAAGGTCAGGTCAACAGCGAGAGCACCTGCCGCGATCTGTACGCCAAGCTCCAGCAGTCGCACCAGTCCCGGGTAAATCCTCCTAATATTGTTCGACTTCTCGAAACTAAATCCCTCCTTGCAGCAAGACAGCATTCGGAGTTGCATAACCTTATCGGCCACCAATCTGAAGCAGCTGCGGGAAAGCCGGGAGGCCCACCCGGACGACGTTGATACGGACAGCAAGTTCAAGGCGGAGCAACGCAAGGTAGCCACGCTCTGGAGTACGCATTCCTTTGATACGAAATCTAGCAAGTCTCTTTCATTCCATGCAGCTTCGTGTGCTCCAGGCCGAGCTTAATGTGGAGGATATCATCAAGGAGCGAACCTACAAGGCCTTCAACGAACGGTGCCGGTCCTACTTCCACGCCGGCCAGTAGAGGCAGGTGCAATGATCGAGTGACTAGCTTTAAGTGGATTTATTAGAGTGGTAGACAACAAGGAACTGCCCAACCAGGAGGCATTTACTAGCACTTGGTTGTATATACGCTATTTACAACGAGTACATGAAGACTAAAAATAGCTGTTGGTTTATTCGTCGAGGGGCAGGTCGTAGGTGGAGTAGAGCGATCGGATGGGGACGCCTTTCATGGTTGCCAAGGCTCCCAGGACGAGCTGTGTGGCGTCCTTCAGGTCGTTGTACTCGTGCAGCAGCTTTATGGTTTCCTTTTTCTCCGAATCCGTCGGGTCCTTGGCTTTTTTGGTCGTTTTACGGGACTTTTTCTTGGACTCCTTCATTTTTAAATTGCTTAAATCGAATCGATGCACATTAGATATCGTTATCGATAGGCGCATCAGCTGGATGCATTCAGCTGCCGTCCATCTGGCAACCCCGTTCGTCAAAACGTGTAAAATTTCGCATTCTCTGTGCATGATTGGAACACGAAAAGGACTCTCCTGCCCAGGTAACTTGTGGTAAAGTGACGTGGTTGCCTTCAAAGTCGTCCCGGAGTTGTGGAAACCCGGAGCGAGCAGGTGCGGCACAAGTGAACTAGATGAATTGCTGACCTAAGCCCACTCACACACATGCATCACTAACCAGCCGTGCACACACCACGAAATGTGAAAGTGTTGTGATTGTGCATACTGCCAGGAAATCGTAAATGGAATAGTTCATGAAACGTACATAAATATTTCGAAGGCAACGTAATCTCGAGATTCATTGCCAACGGCTGGGGATTAGTGTCACGGCTTGGTTTGGTTTCCTCCAAATACAGTTCTGATTTTGATCTGAAAAGATGCCCAAATAGTTTAACCAGATACTTTTACTTTTCGTAGAATCTTAATTGCCAAGTCGACGATATGTCCACCACTCACAAGCAGCGTTATAAAAATGCCGCCCTGGATTCCACCGAGATGCGGCGGCGTCGCGAGGAAGTTGGCATCCAGTTGCGGAAAAACAAGCGCGAACAGCAGCTTTTCAAGCGGCGCAATGTGGTCCTGGAACCAGCCACATCCTCGACGTCAGCGGGAATGGAAAGCAGCAGCACCAGCAGCGAGCAGCAGGTGAGACCATTATCTGCTACTACCTCCTCTTAGGCCTTACCGACTTCTTACAACCTCTCCTGCGCTGTAGACTGGAGACATGCACATGGTGGACAGCAGCACAGGGCCACCCCATTTTCCCGGCCAAAACGAGGCAGCTGCCGGAACGGGAGCACAGCTATCCGTGATTAGTGATGAGATGATTCAGATGCTGTACAGCGGACGGGAAACTGACCAGCTGGAGGCCACGCAAAAGTTCCGGAAGTTGCTATCCCGCGACCCTAACCCGCCCATAGAGGAGGTCATCCAAAAGGGTATCGTACCGCAGTTTGTCACCTTTTTGCGGAACAGCGCCAACGCTACGCTGCAATTCGAGGCCGCCTGGACCCTGACGAACATTGCCTCGGGTACCTCGCATCAGACAAAGATCGTAATTGAGGCCGGTGCTGTGCCCATATTCATTGAGCTACTGTCCAGTCCCCACGATGATGTTCAGGAGCAGGCTGTTTGGGCACTGGGCAACATAGCCGGCGATTCGCCCATGTGTCGGGACCATCTTTTAGGATCCGGCATTCTAATGCCTCTCCTGCAGTAAGTAAACGCATAACTTGGCCTAAAGACTGTGAAAACGACAGCCTTGTTTTGTTAATAGCGTGCTGGGTAACTCAGAAAGGATTACCATGATAAGGAATGCAGTGTGGACGCTCTCGAACCTGTGCCGCGGCAAGAATCCGCCCGCAGATTTTGCTAAAATCGTGCACGGCCTGCCCATACTGGCACGTCTACTGGACTACACCGATGCAGAGGTGCTCAGCGACACATGCTGGGCCATTAGCTACTTATCCGATGGACCCAATGATAAAATCCAGGCTGTTATTGATGCGGGCGTTTGCCGTCGGCTCGTCGAGTTGCTACTGTAAGTAGTCCTACTGCTGGGTTTTACGTTTTTTTATTAAACAAACTTTGTTCAGGCATCCGCAGCAGAACGTAAGTACAGCTGCCTTGAGAGCTGTGGGCAACATTGTGACGGGCGATGATCAGCAGACCCAGGTGGTGTTGGGATTCAACGCTCTGCCCTGCATAAGCCACCTTCTGCGCTCGACGGCGGAAACTATTAAGAAGGAATCCTGCTGGACCATCTCAAATATTGCCGCTGGCAATCGGGAGCAGATTCAAGCCATCATCAATGCCAACATCTTCCCCCAGCTGATGATCATCATGCAGACCGCTGAGTTTAAGACACGGAAAGAGGCCGCTTGGGCCATTACCAATGCCACCAGCAGCGGTACCTCCGAGCAGATTCACTACCTGGTAGAGGTGGGTTGTGTACCGCCAATGTGTGATTTCCTCACCACCGTCGACTCGGACATTGTACAGGTGGCGCTGAATGCGCTCGAGAATATTTTGAAGGCCGGTGAAAAGTTCCAGGTGCGACCGAATCCCTACGCCATTACCATTGAGGAGTGTGGAGGTAAGTTCAGCTCTACTAAGCTGCATAACACCGGGTCATCAAAATGGAAACTGTCACTATTTTTAAACTGTTTCACATTTCTTGTACTTCATTCCTAGGTCTGGATAAAATCGAGTATCTGCAGGCGCACGAAAACCGCGACATATACCACAAGTCCTTCTACATAATCGAACAGTACTTTGGCAACGAGGAGGAGGACAGTCGCGTTGCCCCCGTGGCGGGAGAGCAGCAGTTCGAGTTCGATCCAAACAACATGCCCAGCAGCGGCTTTAACTTTTAGCAACTGACCAGGCGGAATATCCTTGAATCACACTGAACAGAACAAGCACACCACAACAAATGAATACGGAGGCTGCTTGCTTGTGAGCAGAGCAGAAAGAAAAACCACGAAACATCGGCAGGAGACGGGCGGACAATGCCTGAGTGCAGTCACTACTAGCATTTAAGGAAAGTTAAATCATTCAGTCGGCGCGATTTTATGTTTCATTTTGTTTTTCCACACATCGTCGTCGCTCGTCGTATACAATTTATTTCTGCGATTTATTAATTTTACGCTTTCAAAGTTGCAACGCGGTCCAGGACCAGTAATCATGACCTTACTCGAGCATTTCTCCAGCCGGCGAGATCGCTGAAACTTAGCTTATATGTATTGTACTACCTTAAAAAACGTTATATGCAGCCTAATGTATATGATGTATTTGCTTTTCTCAGCCTGAGTTTGTAAATATTTTCGATTAAGCCCACTTATGTACGTTGAGAGCCTTGTCTCGGTGTTGTTATTATACATTCATACAAACGAAACGAACGAACCAAAAGGAACTTTACGATAACGATAACAAGAGAATTGAAATTGAAATTTTTTCTTTTTAGTTGATTTTGTTATCCGAAATTTGTTTATATTCTAAAGCATTGTCATTTAATTTAGTGGACACACATCAATAAAGAAAAAAAAACAAAGACCAGAACAATCCAAGATTATGTTGCTGATTTCTATAATTATTTCATGAATTCTTTTTATTCAAGTATTTCTCAAACTGTACAGTATACCCATTATAGCCTAGATTCCGATCCCACAACCCTTAAGATCGCTTGACGAACTGCACCTTGTAGGGCTTTGGCGTCAGCGTGATCCCGGGCAGTAGAACCATCGAGGGAGTCTCTCCTGCCGGCAAGACGATACGGAAATGTTGCACAATTCGCACCAGGAAAGAGAAGATGCATGCGCGGGCCAAAGCATCGCCCAGGCAACGGCGCCTACCCATTCCAAAAGGCATAAAGTATTCATCCTTGAAGCACTTTCCAGCTGAATCGATAAAACGCTCCGGACGGAACTCCAGCGGGTCCCCCCAATGATCTTTGTCCAGATGCACGGAACGCAGTCCAATCAAAATGGTGGCATTCTTTGGAATGTCGTAGCCACCCAGTTTGGTGGGCCACAGAGCCCTTCGCGGCCCAGTGATCGGGGTGATGTGAAAGAATCTTTGAACCTCCATAATAAAGGCATCCATGTAGTCGACGGATTCCCGCTTGCTGAGGTGAGGAAACGCATCCCCTGCGGTGGCGGTGGCAACGCTACCGGTGAGCTCAGTGTATAGCTTCTCCTGGACATCCGGCCGCATGGCAAGCACCATGAGAGCCAGATTAATCGTGTTGCTGGTGGTCTGGGAGCCGGCAATGAAGAAGTCGAGGATGGTCATCACCAGCTGCGTCTCGTTGAAGGTGCTGCTGCTCTCCCCACTCGCACTCCTGTCCTTCATCTCCTGGAGGTAGGCGTAGATGAGGTCGCTGTCGGCCGGTGCGGGATCCTTCGTCAGCTGTCGCCGGTGCTCCTCGATGGTGTCCATGAAGAAACCATATAGCTCCGTATTCAACTGGCGGATAAGGTTGTAGCCCGTGCGATCCGGCGCCAAGTGGCGTAGCCAGGGGAACTGGGCCAGCAATCCACCGCAGATGTCGAAGAGCTTGGAGCGTCGGTTCATCAGGTCGAGCAGCCGGCTCAGCGTGCTGTCTTCCTCGCTGACGATCCTCTTGCCGGCAATTAGGCACCACAGGACGTTCAGGACACTCTGGGCCAACCAGGTGACCGGTTCGATCGGTTGCTCATCTGTCCGCTCCAGCTGGTTCAGCAGCTCCTCTGCCTCCCGCTCGATATGCTGCTCCATCTGGCTGCGACCATAGCCCACGTGACGCATCTGCTTCATGGCAAAGTGACGGTGCTCGTACCACAGCTGTCCGTCCGTGCAGGTGATCCCTTTGCGTGTGCCCATTGTGCGCAGGCGCAGGAAGAAATTGTCCGGCCGTCCCTCAAACACCTCTTGCAGCTGCACCTCCTTCACCATCTCGTGTCCCAGCGCCACTACCACAAACTCCCTGCCTAATTTCAAGCCCAGCAGTTTGCTTTTATAGTCCTTAGACCATCGTTCGAATAGAATGTGCTGACCACCAAGGGCGCGGGCCTCCTTACGGAACTGCAGGATAAGCGGAATGAGAATGTAAATATGTTATATTAAAAACCTATAAGATTTTTAAGATAAAACAAGAAAGGAAGCTGAAGTTTGTATATCCTTGTTAGGGATTTATTAAAGAGGGTATACGAATGTAATAACTAAGCATAAAATGCTTATAATTCAAATATTTATCTATATTTTTAATGAACATTTTTGGGAAAATGAAAGCCTAAAAATATCATAACTCGGTCAAAAAAGCATCAAATTCGATTCGGAAAGCATTTCTGTGCTAGTTTTTCCCAGCTTAACAAATCTGTATACTGTATTTTATTTTTTAAGAAATCAAAATTTTTTTCGATTTTTCACATTTTTGACGATGTAACCCCTTATAAAATTTTGAAAAAATTAAAAAAAAAAAAATTCCTTTCCAACATGGCTAGAAAGACTTGCCTGTTGATGCTGATCAAGAATATATATGATTTATAGGGTCGAAAATGTCTCCTTAACTGGGTAACAAACTTGTGACTAAAATTAGAATACTCTACAAGGGTATAAATAGAGCTAAGGAATTATTTTCACTCTTACCTGCAATGTATTCCCTAGCCAAGGCACAAAACGCGGTCCTGAAAATACAATTCATGGGAATGGGAATTCGTGTAAATTTGCAATAAAATTAAAAATAAATTCGTATTAAATAAATAAATTAAGCTTATATATTTTCTTTCCCAAAACATGAGCTATTATTCGCAACTAAATCAAAATCTGTAGGATACTTGTATTATTATTATTAAATCACAACTTCTTAAGTTGATAATTCTATTTCACTTAGCCCTCAAACCACGCAAATCTATTAATTTAATTTCTGGCTACTTTAGATAATAACACTACTAATCTTATCGACACTACTGAAATCAGTTTGCTACCTGTGTTAAGCAATCAAATCGAAAGTGAAAACTTTATGGTGAAATCTATGATTTAACAATCTGCCTCTTTGATTGTTAGATTTATACTTCATTTATCTATGATATCTTGGTTAAAGAGATCTTTTTTTTTTTTGCTGGAACTATGCCTTACTCTATTTATACATTTTAACTTTTCCTAAAGGAATCTTAAAGGCAGAGTTATCCAATTTTATAGAATATTTAAGGTAATGTAAGCTGATTCCCTATGCATAACAGGCATCTGGCATAACAAACAGCAGAATTGTAATAAATCAGCTCGACCCTTGTAAGACTCTAGCTCAGGACCAGTTAGGCAAGGTGTCAGAGATGTGTGATAATTTTATCAATTAGATTTATTTATGCCAAGCGAGGCGTGTGTCTCAGGTAGGTTGTCTGCCATATGTGAACCATAGCCATTAAAATTTGCTAATGAGCTGAGCCAATTGGACGTGGGGCAGGTCTGTCTATAAGCACTTATGGAGCTCAGTAAAATATTTATAAATTTGTAGAGTCTACATTTTATCAGTTAGGAACCTTATAAATAATTAAATAAATACTTCAACGCTTCCTACAAATTTTCCTGGCTAAATAATTCCTAGAATCCTAAGGGGAATATGTTTGCTTAGCTTCAAGAACTCACCTGGGGGAAAATTCTTAGGTCGTCTTACTGAGCTGATGAGTGAATAAATCACAAAACCAATGAGAATGGCACACAGAAATATGAGGGCACTCATTTTAAATGTCGCCGAAAATGAAAACGCAACCGTAACCCGACGCTCGGAGAGCCTTTGTCCAATTAATTTGTTAGTTTAATAGGGACTCCTCGACTCGACCCACAATCTCGAAGCGTGTCCGTACGCCACGCCAGCTCTATGGCAACTAATGAACGAACGAGCGTCGCGACAGACCCAGCCAAACCCACGCGCCTGGTCGGTCGGCCTGCCGTCTTTTCATGTGGGTCTATTGATAGTGCAGGCAAAAAAAAATAAAATAAAATAAGAATAATAAAAAACCGAGGCGAAAAAGCCCGTCTCAGTTGATAAAACCAACAACACATGTATACAAGTACTAGTTATGTGCCCAAAGAAATTCGAGCAGCGATCACGTCCGAAACGTGCTTGGCTCTAATAACTCATTTGGTTGTTTATAAATTTCTGTATTCTGGCCAATGAATCGTCGTTTTCTTGGGGGGCAGAGAGTGAGAGAACTTGATTTGTGATTGTTCCCACGATCGTTAGACTTATCAAAGTTCAAAGAATGTTTTTAAAATTTGTCTTTTAATTTAATTAAATTGTTTCTGGTATAAAATAGATGAGGAGCTTATCGTAAGATATAATGTTTGTACACACAGAAGATATGGAATATCAATTGACGTCTCGGTGGCGCCTGCATGATTTGTAAAATGATCTTTGGATTCATTCCCTTTTATAGGAACACCGAATTTTTGGCAATTATATAATCAATCTCGTTCGTCCAGGGATTCTTGAATGCCCGCCACTCGCTCTGCAACTGGATGTAGCTATTGTCCTTGCACCGAAAGCGATACACCTGTGTGGTGACCTTTTCCGGCACCTGCATCACCATCTTGTGCGACTCCATCAGGGCGGAGATGTCTTCGTTGTGGAAGTACTCGTAGAAGCTGGTGCCCAGAATCTCTTGCGGCAGGAAGCCGATCACAAGGGTGGCTCTATTGTGATAAATTCAGAAAAAATAAATTAATAATTAAATATTTATTTATTATTATTTATTTAGTTTCTTAAAATAAAATATTTACTATTCTAATCGCAAATATCTATTTAAGAATGTAATAAAATAAATAAGGACCTACCGCTGATCGATAAACAGGAACTTTCCCTCTCCAGAATGTCGCGAGATGAAGAGCACGTGCCGTATGTTCGGATGATTGTCCAGCGATGCGGGCACATTGGAATTAAGAACGTTGGGCGGGATCCGACCGATGGCCACTAAGCAGGATAGGTTCGTCGTCTGCTCGTCACTATCGCCGTCCTGGTCCTCATCCTTTATGGGTGTCCACGATTTGAGGTAGCCCGTGCACTGAATCACCCGGTACTTGTGTCCCGTGCTCAGCTTAGACTTGCGCTTCGTGGAGCTGCGTGAGCTGGAGGACGTGTCCGACTCCTCCTTGATCTGGTTGTTATTGGCGGCACGCAGCTTCATGCGGCAGAAAAAGGAACGTCTGGCACCGGGGCACAAACGACACAGGCTCTGCGGTACATCCGTCTTAACGGGCAACATAGCTGTAAGGAGTAGATCCTGCTGAAACCCATTAAAACCTGTACCTTACTAAGGCGTCTTACTCTTGGCGTCGATGAGGCGCTCCCTGGGACACTGTTCCAGCGAGGAGAGCTGCTCCTTTACCTTGCCAATGTCCTTCGGATGCAGTATATCAAACCAGCTCTGTCCCAGCAGATCCGCTTGCGTGCAGTTCAGCACACTGGACACCGAATCGGAGACGTACAATATGCGTCCACGGTCACAACCCACAACAAACAGAAATCCCTCCGAGGCCTGGAGAATGATCATCTTTAGCTCCTGGTCGGAGAGGAAACTAGGCCGGTAGTCGGAACCGTTGAAGGGATGCAGACTGCCGCTGCCACGGATCCCGCGCAGATGCTGTACAGCCATCCGGAGTACGGTGAGCTTGTCCAGCTTCCTTTGCATGGCGTAGCACATGGGAATCATGGAGGAGAGTTCATTTATGTACGTGTTCATCTTGTCCCGACGTCGCTTCTCGATCTCGCTGTGATTCTGCCTGGAATTTATGCATTTTATGAATTATTTTTTAGATAAATCATGGAGAATCCTTGAGTTTTCCTACTTGCGATTTTCATCTGAAGTCCTGGCCGATTTCTCCTCGTCGAATGCTTCATCTTCGATCTCTTCCAGATTTTCGCTGAAACGTAAGAGAATCCGAAAGGTAAAAAACAACCCCTTTTGTTTGTGTGTCTGTTTGCCGATGTAACGGCAATTGTCAACTGTTGCTGGCTTTTCCGTTTACAACCACCTGGCGGCGCGCACACAATCAACCGACTGTGGGAGTGTGCGTGTGCATGTGTTGCAAATTTGTGTTCTAGCTTAACACACACAGACAGCGGTTACACACAGCTTTATGTAATTTGCACTGCACTTTCATTAATAGAACTCACCTGAACTCTTGCATTTCCATTGCCAATCGATTAAGAAGCTTGTTGCAAAATTGATTTTTGCTGGCGCCGCACTAAAAACATCCCAAAACAAACGGAAGGGTCTGCAATCTCACGGATTAATGCAAGCTTTCGCTGCATCTCAAGCTTGGAAGCTCCAGTACGACCGCTGTGGGACCTTTCATATATACCGTTCTTTTGTGGGCAAGTGTGACCAGTCAGCAATAGTTATAACGGTAAAACAATATTTAAAAGTAGGGTTCTCATAGTCACAATTATTTTTAGTTAATTCTAGTTTTTAAAAATATTATTATTTATTTTAATTTTATTTTAATATGTTTTCTTCCACTTTTTATATTTACACAAACTCATTGATGCCTTATTGCTAGGTAACACACATAACGTAAAACAAACAACTAATATAATAAATACATATTAACTAAATGTGATACATTTTGTCCAAGCATATGGTTATGACTTGCATGTAGCGATCCCAAAGACAACGAGTCTCTTGGTCCCTAGATATTTCCAGTTCCAAGACGCTCTGCGTTATGGAGGCCAAAAACTTGTTCACCTGCTCGCGATTCCAGCCATTCTGCCGCCAAGGATCAATCAGTTTCTCACAGAGATCCACAAAGAGATCGCGAAGCTCACGATTGCGATGCAAATTGCAGGCAATTGTGATTAATGCGCGCCAGTAGGAGCGAAAATTGCCATCCAGTTCATGAAAGGCGCGTTCCAAGAGCACGGGTTTCAGGCGCATGCAGACGAGATGCTTAATTTCCTTTTCCTTGTCCAGCAAACACCTCAGTTCACGCAAATCCAAGAGGAACTCCTTGTCCATTTCAGTGTCATAATATTCGGGGCCCGTGTGCTGATACACGTAAATGATATAAATGAAAATAAATATATAATATATAAATATGAACTCTCCTCCATGATATACGTTGAAAAACAACGAAGTTATAACTTTTTCTATTACTTACTTGATAAGTGTACGTCCAGTAGATCATGATGGCATGAGAGCAGGTCAACAGGTCACTGAAACTCAGATACTGAAGCTTCTTCTTGGTGGTTTCGAAGCGCAGACAGGCCAGGAAGACAATGCAGGCGTACTTTTTTGCCAGATCATTTGAAATGATGAAATGCTGCTTTATGTTGTTGGTCAGAGTGCCAGGCATTTCCTCCACGGACTTAAATATGCGTTTAACGTTGTCGAACTGTCGGCGAACCGATTTCAGTTTGACGCAAGTCTTCTCAGCTACTTCGTCCAGGTCCTTGCGGTAGCGGGAGCTCAGCTTCTTGCCGAGAATCTCCCGGGCCACCACATCGTCGATGGAGTAGTATTTTTCGGTGATAAGGTCTCGCACATGTGGCTCCAGCTGGAAGCAGGACTGTTCCATCAGTTTGGTGGGTGCGTTGAGGTAAAGCTCAATTAAAGAGTAGGTGCGGTAGTGGTCCAAGACATCTGAAGCTATCAAATCGCTGGGTGCACCCATTGAGTGGCCAAAGCCTTTCTGTTTGAGGTAAGAAACAGCCTCGCTCGAAGAGAAGCCTTCGATCCATAGCTGGTATATCTCGGGATCCACGAGGGTGTAGTTGCTTATAAAGACGTCCACATCGGCCTAAAAGAAACGCTTTTTAGCAAATATAAAGAAATCTTTGCTTCGTTACCATTTTACAGCAGTAATGTGACCGTATTACGGTTCACTACCAGCTAGAGATGATACATCGGCCTGAATATAAAAGGTTTATATATTCAACAAGATTTTTATATATAAAAAAATAAATTAAATTTAAAATTTTAATGTAACTAAAAATATAATAATAAATTAAAAAATATAAACAAATAAGCAAATGGTAGTTAATTGTTCAAATAACAAACAACCAAAGCTGACCGCTATGAAACGCCCATATCGATAGGCAAGCGATAACTGCAGTGCGCATGACAACTCTAATTATCATGAGGAAGAAGAGGAGGATATCAACTTTTAGAGATTTAGAGACGAATTTTAGTAAAGTTTAAAGCTTAAGAAATGTAAATTGCAATGAACCCAAACACTGTAAATAATGCAATGCAACGTAATGCAATGCAGCGCGCATTTCGCATGTGAGTGTTGAGCGCGGGAAAACGCGGATCGCGGCCGCAGCAGCAACAAAAACACCGACCGTCTCTCAGACATATCCAATTGCAAGGTGCAATTTCGATGGACACAACTCAACAATAATAATATTTGGCACAAGAACAAGACAAGTGAAAGTGTACCACCGAGTGGGCGCCTGGCGCTAAAATAATATGGAACAGGTCGACTCATCAACCGAGCTGCACCTGAATAGGAAAGACTTGGCCGCGCTGGCCGACGACGTTGTGAAAGAAGAGGTGATATTGGAGAGTCCGGGCCATCACCATCATCATCATCAGCATCACCAGCATCATCAGGTAAAAGGAGCAACAAACGAGGCGCCAGGCTCTTTTGGCGGGGTGTCGGCGGAGGCTGTGCAAGGCGAGCGTGGTTCCCAGAGTTTGGTTCGGTTCCCTGGTTCCTGGTTCTGAGTCCTCGAACACGAATTCGAATCGAAACTGGCTCTGCTCCGCTTCGCTCTGCGCAGTTGTGGAAAGTGCGGTTGGTTGTGTACGAGTGTGTGTGTGTGTGTGTGTGAGTGTTTCTGTGCGAGTGGGTGGTTGGGCGGCTGGGGGTGGCAGCGGGCGGCGCAACACAAAATGCGCGCGGTGCTTGCGCCCTACGAGCTGCTAGCTATATAAGCTCCATGCGACCCACTGGGCCATCCCAACCCCCAAAAATCCGCCAGCCAGCCCGCCCGCCCGCCTTTCACCTCCACCCAACCCAGCGCGCTTGTGGCGCAAATTGTTGTGTATACCGATTTTCATTTTTCCCATGCTGTGTTGTTTACTTACATTCGAATTTTCTTCTTTGATTCCTGGCTAAAAATCGCTCTGCATCGCCTCGTCGACGAATCGAAAACGAAAAACACAACCACAATTACGAATTCGGTCACCTGGATATCCACATCCACATGCATGTGACGAACGTGGGAATATGTGCGCTATGGTAATGCAGTTGGACTCCAAGGTTCGCATGGTCACATCCTCCTCAAACGACAACAGCGGCAGCGGCGGTGCCAGTGGCGGAACGAGCGGACCCGGCGGTCAGAGCGGCGGCGGCGGTGGCAACAGCGGCGGTGTGGTATCAGTGCCTGTGTCCCTGCCCATTGGATCGATGCTAACCGGCACCACCTTTAATGTGATCACACCCGACCAGCTGCCCCACTTCAAGCCGATGCTGTGCGTCGACAACAATGGCTACCTGTCCGGCAGCACGGTCAGCATGGGCAACGACCTCAAGACGATCGTTATCCAGCAGCAACAGACGCAGCCGGGCGGCGGCGGAGCTGGCGGTGGAGGCGGCGCCAACAGTGCGGGCACCAACACGACCGCCACAAATACGATTGGACTGAACCATGATGGCTCCGGTAGCAATAACAGCCACGATAGCCTGGCCACCTTGGAGCATACCGGCGCCGGAGGAGCGGGCACTGGCGGTGGTGGTGGCACAGGCGGCGGTTCCACCGGTTGGTCGGAGAACCCCTCCACCCAGCACATGGAGGTCTTCCAGATTCGCTGTAAAACCACCTGCGCCGAGCTATACCGCAGCAAGCTGGGATCAGGCGGACGCGGCCGCTGTGTTAAGTACAAGGATAAGTGGCACACGCCCAGCGAATTCGAGCATGTGTGCGGCCGGGGCTCCAGCAAGGATTGGAAGCGGTCCATCAAGTATGGTGGCAAGTCGCTGCAGTCCCTTATCGACGAGGGCACGCTCACGCCGCACGCGACCAACTGCAGCTGCACGGTCTGCTGTGACGACGAAGCAGGTGAGTCAGGTGAGAAGACAACAAACATTTACTTACTAAACATAGACACCAGCGTGGCGAAACTGTTCCGGCAGGAGCAGGGTCATCACAAGGCAAGCAGGGGACTCGGAGACACAATAAAATCAATGTAAGGATAGGGTGGGCTTTCCTCTGCCTTCTTTTGCTTCTCCGAGTCCCCTATGTCATCCACCTGAATCCCTAAACACAAAAACATTTCATATTAATTCCCCCAACAACTCGATCCCGTTTAGCATCCGGACCAGTGCGTCTCTTCACGCCGTACAAGCGGCGGAAGCGAAATCAAACGGATCTCGACATGGAGCCGGGACCCAAACGCAAGCGCAATGCCCATCATAGCAACAACAATAATAGTAATACCAATAACAACAACACGAGCGGCGGAAGCTCAGCCAACAATTGTGTGGACGTGACCGCCGCCGTGGCTGCTGCAACGGCCAATGTGGTGGATGAGAACAACATGTTCCTGGCGGAGGAGAATATAACGTCCAAGGATGAGCCATGGGCGGCGCTAAACGATAGTTTGGACACCTCCACCGAGCTGGTTGACCAGAGCCAAATGGGCAACGCCTACGAGCGGGAAACGTTTGTGGTTAATATCAACGATGGCTCCTCCATCGCCGTCCTGGACACCAGTCAATCGATAAAGAATATCGAGCATGTCTACTGCACCATGGTCAAGGCGACCAATGATTTCAAGCGCCTGCTGAACGACATGAAACAGTCCTACGAGCGTCGCATCGAGGTCCTGCAGAAGGAGCGCGATGCGGCGGTCAGTGCAATGCGTGTCCAGGTTCATGCGGACATTGACGATCCCAATATATCTGGTTCCCTGCATGGCAATGAGATCATATCGGCCAAAAAGGTGAGTTATAGTAGTATTTTCTAATTTTTACCTTTCCAACATTGCTATAAAGACTCGCCGGTTGATGCTGATCAAGAATATATGTAATATAAGGTGGGAAATGACTCCTTTTCACTGCGTTTCAAGATTCTGAGTAAAATTATAATACCCTGCAAGGGAATAAATATGGAAAATTGCTATGATTTTAAGTTGTTTAAATAGTAATAGTAAGTTAAATGGTATTGGTTAACAGGTACCAATTGGAGTAACATAATATTAATTATTTGTATATTATTTTTCGTCACCCAAAAATAGTGCGCCAACTGTAACAGAGAAGCGCTGGCCGAGTGCTCACTGTGCCGAAAAACGCCGTACTGTTCAGAGTTCTGCCAGCGCAAGGATTGGAATGCTCACCAGGTGGAATGCACAAGAAATCCACAGACGACAACGCAACAAGTCATGCTTTTGATCGATGATCAGTCCTAAGCAACATAACGAATTGTACATACAAATTTTACTACTAATTATTACGATCGATTATACAAAGTTCCCCTTCCTCCTACCCCTATCCCCCATCCTTACAACTGAATGGTCCCTCCCCCCTGCTTACCCCGAGATCGACCCCTTGAGCATGTTGTCGACATCCTCTTAGACTTATGTCCTATATTAATGTAATTCTTAACGTACATATAACTATATAAATATATATATATATATACATTTTACTATTGAACGTAGGGCAACCCAGCAAAAAAAGAAGAAAAAAAAAAACAAACGAAAATAAAAGTAATTAAAAAAAAAAGAGTAAAAGGTAGCAAGCGAAAATCAAAGCAAGTGCAAAGGCGTAGAGAATTAATTAAGCTACGATTTGAAAGTAACAAGAAACTAAACCGATTACATGTAATTCAATTTAAATTTAATTAAATTAATAATAGTTGCAAAGCGCGCATAGCATAACTAACAAGACCCCCTCCCCGACCTATACACACCGCACACACCATAAACACACCACTCATCTCCACAGTGAAAGAATATGGAAGGAAAGATAAAATCGTAGCGAAGATAACACACAAATTCTGAAATTACCATACATATTCGTCTATGTATACACCTTTCATTAGATCTAAGCGCATAGTTAAACTTTTAACATTTTACAATTATAATTTTATGGATACTACTGCCCGTTACAAGCATCCAAATAATAAAGATTTCAAACAAGAAAACCACAACAGAGCTACATCTGAACGTAAGAATTCCGATTCTATCCGCAGCATAGTTATTGATTGCGATCGGTAACAGCAATTCGCAAAATTACTGTGCATCTTTAGCTGTGTGTAAATGTTTCTCGTAGGGTTTTCCCATTCTCCTCCTTTCTCCCAACCGTTTGTAAAGTTTTTGCCTCCCCCCAGCTAATAGTCTTTAGTCTCCATATGCTAATACATTCATATATGTAGTATATATATATAACGAACGATATCTTTAAACAACTAGCTATATATTCCGATTCAAGCACACCCCCACACACGTACATACACCGAGAGAAACGGCTACAAACATACACAAGCTAAACTATTTTTGTTTCAGTTCCGATATCAATTGTGCTGAGTGTGTAATGGTTTCGGATGATACAAAATGAAATCCAGACAACAGCTACACTGCAAACAATTTTAATAGCACCCGAAAACAGACAGAATACCGAACACAAATCAAAACACTAGAGCAAGGTGCAGATAGAGAAGAGGTATCGGTGGGAGAAGTACGGATAAAAAGATCAAGAAAATATATATACATACATTTAAATGTACAAAGCCTAACTTTTTGTGGTGTTATTCCTTAATGGTTTCTTTTTTCGGCCTATTATATTTATATTCTTCGGAATCATCAGGTTTTTGGGGGCTAAAAACCGAAACAATCTAGAAATATGATGAGTATAATCCCGGCAGTACCACATGTTCTCAATAAGACAAGATGTATCATCAAGCCGACCTGATGCTCTCATTCAAACGGACTTCTATTTTCTCTCTTCAAAAAAAGAAAGGTTAATGAATTTTTAATCAAATGATGATGACAAAAAAGGACGAAATTAATTAGCCTCTCTCGCACTATTCTTCTCTTAAAGCATCTTAACTTTTGAAGGAGCTAGGAGCAATACATTGTAGCTGACCAAAATGAAAGAAAGATCTAATTGTTTTAAAGAAATTAAACTTAAAGTGTGAGAGTTTATTTTACAGCAAAAGGACAACATTGGACTTGTATTGAAACCAGCTAAATTATATTAAAACATTGATTTAATCTTTTTAGGTGAGGAAAAACTAAAAGATGAAATTTATAAAATTCAGCCTAATTATGGTATTTGGACTTACCCTTACATTTTGAGTATTACAATTGAAATGAAACAAATCTTTATATTTAATGTTTGTTTGTTAGTTATTATGCACATGTTTCTTTTATTATTGCATTTCATGTTTGCCGTCTGTGTAGCATTATTATCGAATTATTCAGTATGCCTTATTTTTACTGTATTCTATTACCAAAAATAATTTCTTAAAACTTGTTTACTCGCCTTTAATTTATTTATAGGTATTCGTATTATTATTATTTCATGCTTGCGTCTCGAATTATATGCACTTGCCAGCGGTAACTTGGTAACTTGTGTGTTCTCAACTACATTTATGTACGTGGAGGAACTGAAAACTCCAGCGGGAAGAGAGCTACAGTAGAATGTTGCTTTTTAAATATATATATATATTCGTATCCGTGGAAGTTGGGTGGGGGAGTGGGTAGATAGTATATATAGAACGAAACCGATATTTAAACATGAGAGTGTGGTTTATTTTGCCGTCTATATAATCTGCTCCTTCGCTTGTTTGTTGCTATTGGCATTAGTAACTAATTTGTGTGATAGATTTTCGATCCGTTTCGAGTGTTCTAGGGTATAATTCCTATATATTATAAGAAGTTTAATTTGATACAAAAAACACATACGCATAATTAACGTGCCTAAAGTTTATAACATTTCTCAATTGGCTAAATAATAAAATTTTATGGGATAATTTGCTGCTGCCCAATGAAGTAAACAATACATATACGATAAAGAATTGCCAAAAGGAAGGGATAAACAACGTTCAAACTGGGTTAAGGGTTAAACAAAGCCAAAATGGAAGGATGTCGGGGAGATTAGTATAGCTTTTAAACCTAACTCGAGGCGCCGGACGAGACGCTTTAAGCAAAACCCTTTTTTTTTTTTACATACAATACACCTCGTATTCTTCTCCTCTTTTTTGTTTGGAATCACAAATGTTAGCTAGTATTTAAATACACATGTAGGTAAGACATTCAAAAGGGAAAATCGGGGAGTATGCGACTCTTGGTGATCTTGGTGGTGGTAATTAGAGAGACGACTGTGGTGGTGGTGGTGGTGGCAAATGGTGCGGCGCTACCAACATTCAAGCTGCGGGTCCAGCTCCTAATCGAGCTTCACTCCAAGTTCCGCACCTCGAATCGCTTGTACGTATAGTTGATGAATACCCAGTCCTTGGCGATCTCACCGCCCTGCGGTATGGGCGCCGATGCTGTAAAATCAAAGTAAAATTGATTTATTTATATACAAATACAAATACCAATCTCAAACACTTACGTATTTCCAATGAGACATCGGGGAACTCATCAAAATTGGACGTATCATCGATGGAGCGCACCTCGACGGGTATAGCTGCGGGACGTTCACGTATGTGCTCCCAGTCGACGCCCCGAAAGAACGGCACCGACTTCAGGTCATCGAGACCCCGCTGGGAACCCAGCCGGCGATCGGCCTCGCAGCAGAAATTGATAATCGTCTCCTTGGCCTCTTCCGAGATGGGAATTTCCGGGGGGAATATCAAGGTCTCGCGCCAGTTCATCACCTTTCGATACGTGTCCTGCGGATTGTCCGAACAGAAGGGCGGATAGCCCATCAGCATTTCGTACATGATGACGCCCAGAGACCACCAGTCACAGGCCGGACCATAGCCGGTCTGTAGGAATACTTCGGGTGCAATATAATCCGGCGTTCCCACCGTACTGTAGGCGAGGGCGCGTCGGTTTCGCTTCCATGACTCGGCACGTCGCTTTGAGTCCATGGGGCTGTATAGATTATAATTAGTTACATCTTCACTATCTTTGTGTCTAGCTTACCTGGCACAGGTGCCTATAAAATCGGATGGTTTCGCCTGCGATAAATCCCGATAAAAGTCTGTCCTATGCGATTTCTTCAAGCCGGTGCAGAGTCCAAAGTCGGAGAGCTGAGAAAATTAACGTTTAGTACCTAAACAGAGGTAGGATTCTTATTGCCCGCTCACCTTTAGATGTCCTCGTGCATCCAGCAGCAAGTTGTCCGGCTTGATGTCCCTGTGTATGAAACCGAGTTTGTGTATTGAATCGATCGCCAGTGCCGTCTCGCTGATATAGAACTGTGTGCACTCCTCGGATAGTGTGTCCTTTTTCATCAATAGCGTCATCATATCACCGCCGGGCAAGAACTCCATTATTAAATATAAATTGACCTGATCCTGTGACGTTAATAAAGGTAAGTTTAGTTAAGAATTTAAACTGAGCTCGAGCCTAGAAAGGACCAAAGATAATGTCATTTTATAGGACAAGGACTCTTCCTTAAAAACAACGTAAGCTCTAAATATATTCTGAGGAATTTCAGATACAATAAGGAATATTACCAAAGGATATATACCTTACATACGAGTTATTTTAAACCATTTCATTAATAATAATTTTTTAGAGGACCTTTCTTTTAATTGTTGCATAACTGAAGTAAAGGGTGCTCTATAGGCACGTATCCCTGTGGCAAGAACTTTCACCGCAAAGAAGAAGTGGAGTAAAGAGGAACACGAAAAACAACAACAAAGACGGGGGACCACAGAGAGAGAGAGAATGAGAGACAGAGAGAGAGAGGGACGTGACCATATGATTGGCAAGGCGCTTTTGGCACTTGCACTGGTATTGGTTTATTGATTTTCTGCCGTGTGTTTTTTAACACAATTCTTTTGTTATGCGCGCTGACCCCCCAACCCACCTCCCTTCGCTGTTTACTTGTTGTTGTTGTTGTTACTGATGGTGTCACTCACCTGGAAACTGTAGTACATCTTGACCACCCACTGGTGATCGGCCTCGACGAGAACATCACGCTCGGCGCGTACATGCGCCACCTGCTCCTTCTCGAGCATGTCCGCTTTACGCAGCACCTTCATCGCGTACACATGGCCCGTATCCTTTTTCTGGACAAGACGCACCTCGCCAAAGGCTCCCCGTCCGATGACTTTCAGCGCCTCAAAGTCCTCGACGCCCAGACGAAGGCGCTTGAGACGCAGGTACTCCGTCTCCTTTTGCGCATGCTGCAGACGCTTCTCCTGGCGCTGCGACTCTGTCAGGCTCTCATCCTTTAACTGCGCCTCCAATTTGGCCAGGCGCTGCTTCCGCTCGCCGTACTGCGTCACCAGGTTGCTGTAGTAGTTTTCCAACGTCACCTTGGCCTTGGTGGCCTTGTCCAGTGTGTGGTCGCTGAATCTGATCGAGGCACCGTCGTCCTGCGTTCTGCTGCTCATCATCTAAGCTGTGTGTGGGTCCTCGTCGCCTCGGTCGTGTGTTTGGTATTATGTTTGCTGCTTTGCACTCTGCTGCGTTTCTTGTTGTGTGCTGCCCCGTTTTTTGTGTGTGTTTGTGTCGGTGTGTGTGTGTGTCACAGCCCGGCTGTGTGTCCGTCCGGTGTGTGTTCAGGAGTTATGCACTTTGCCAAAGCACACACTCTGCTTTCGTCGCCCGTTTCTTGACTTTTTCCGTCGTTATTTCCTTTTCCACGCTAATTTGTGTTGAAATGTAGTTTTGTTGAAATTCCTCCCTCTATCTATAATCGTCGCCAAATGTAAATATGTATAAGGGAGGGGACACACTGGCGCGGCCAATCGATATGTATCGATGAAGCGTAAGTTTATTAAAAAATAAAATGTAATAGTTTTTAACTTAAAATCAACTTTAAAAAATTATAAATTCTGTTCTCAATTTGTTTACCCCCTCTTAATTAAATTAAGTAAATATAAAAAACCAACTATCTTTCGATAGGTGCAACACAATTGATTCACTATCGATAGTGACATCGCTGATATTGTTTTGTTTTGACACTCAATTTCAATTGGAAATAATTTGTTCGGTTAATTGGTTAATTAATTCTGATCCCGCTCCTGCTACCACCTGTATCTGTTGGCCAGGTGACACCGCTCGCGTCGACGATGCCCTTATTCAGATAGTAATGGCCCGCATCACAAGTATCCTGGACTTGGAGCCCAGTTGCCTGCTCTTCATTTTCAAGCTTCTGAGCTTGGAGGATCAACTGCACCTGGCTCGGTGCTGTCGCCTCTTTCGGGACGCCTTCCTCCACCTGCATCGACACCATTTCCAACATGTCATCGACAGGGACACGAATCTGCGGACTCTGGAGGACTGGCACACATTCCTTTGGCTGTGCGGTGCTCGCATCCGCAGCCTGCAGTCCTACTTCGATGATGACCATCCTCTGCAACTGTTGCCGCTGATCAGCAGACACTGCTACCGGCTGGAGAGGATCTCGATTCATAATGCCACGGTGGCCCGAGCACAGCCGTATCTGCTGCGGATGAGTTCGTTGAGAAGTGTTCATGTGCGCAACTACAAAAGCACCAGCAAGGATCTGGTGAGAGCAATAAGGATTCACCTGCCGCAGGTGACCTCACTGAGCCTGGAGAGCTTCGATCGAAGGGAATGTGAGTGCTCTAAGCCTGTACATAGCATTTTTTAGTTTCTTAATTTCCTTTTATCATTTCCTCAGTACAAGAAGTTCGTCACTTTAGCGAGCTTGTCGAGTTGGGTCTGTACGATGAAGTCACGACTTCAGAGTTCGCTTTAATAGTAAAAAATATGAGAAATCTGCGTACTCTGCAGCTGGGCAATGCCAAGCGCTTTCTAGTTTCCAGTAACCTCCGAATGTTGGCCTCCAATTGCCGCCAGCTGGAGAAACTGTCCTTCCAAGACTGCGATGCCGATCTTCTAGTCCTGCCGCAATTCTCGAACCTCAGGTACCTGCAAATATACTGCCCGGAGGAACTAAAGACGCGCTTTTTCAAAGCCTTGGCCAGGAGTCAGTGCTCCACCCAGCTGGAGTATCTTATACTTCATCGCAAGCGCTGGATCAGCGAGGAGCAGGCCCAACACATCAGTGCCTTAAGGTCGCTCAGGTGGCTTGTTTGCAAGCCACGGGATGACCTGTGTGTTCGTCACTTGGCCGAGCTCCGGCACCTGGAATGCCTTTCCGTACAGGCAGCCAGGGAAATAGGTGAGTTTCAGTTGTCGCTGCTGGTGGCCAACAATGAGCAGCTGCGGTATCTGAACATATGCTACTGCCTGGGCATCACAGACGCCTTTATCCTGGACACGCTTGGGAGTCTGGGCAGGCGGGCAGTCCACCAGCCAATGGAGTTGTTTGCCGCAGCCACCGACATCAGGCACGATATTATGGAGAGGGTGAGTTCTCGCTTGCTACTTTCTTCGTAAATTTTGTTTTTATAAATTAATATTTTTATTATTTAATTTAGCTGCCATCAGAGTATCCTCGGAAAATGCTTTGTCTGAACTTTGAGTGCAGCGAGGGAATGACCAGCGGCGATCACTTTTATGCTGACGAACCGGAATTCGATCGCCAAGCTGTATGAGCCTTGCTTGTTCGTTTGTTTAACAACGAATGTGACTCTTTTTCATCATTACCAAAAAAATCCAACTATTGTAATACTTCTTTATATTCAGCTTTATTCGTTATTAATATCACTCTGAGTGATGTATGTTTTTTGTTATTGCACAACGATTGTATTCACCTTGAGTATTTAATTAAGTCTTTTATTCATATTTAATATACATAAATGTATGTATTAAATTCTCTTTAAAATCAATTATTAGGAAGTTTTATTGGCGTGTATTTATAGATACCAGGAACCAAGATTAATAATAATGATAATGAAAACCAAAAATAATGATTATTGGTAGATACTCTTGATGAGTGATTTATTAAATTAATTAATTAATAATTATTACAAATAAAATCGCTTTTTTTACATGTATTTACATGTATTTCACCGTTACACGGTCTTGTTATCGATTAATGCAAAAGTAATATTAATCGATTACATTAGTGTAGATTGTCCCACCTCTAATTCGAACAGAGGAAAAACAGAAAAATTGTCCAGAGAAAATTCGTGTGGAAAAACACCATTAGCTGGCCGCCAAGATGCTGTCCATGCTCCAGGAGAAGCGGCCGCTGAAGCGCACCCGCCTGGGGCCTCCGGACATCTATCCGCAGGACGCGAAACAGCGCGAGGACGAGCTGACGCCCACCAATGTGAAACACGGCTTCACAACGACGCCGCCGCTGTCTGATGAGTTTGGGACGGCCCACAACTCGAATGTGAACGCCAGCAAGGTAAGCGCCTTCTTCAGCGGCGTTCTGGCCAAGAAGGAGGAGCTAATGACCCTGCCGGATACGGGACGCAAGAAGCAGCAGATCAACTGCAAGGATAACTTTTGGCCCGTGTCGCCGCGACGCAAGTGCACCGTGGACGCCTGGTTCAAGGACCTGGCTGGCAACAAGCCCCTACTCAGCCTGGCTAAGCGGGCGCCCTCGTTCAACAAGAAGGAGGAGATCTTCATAACGCTGTGCGAGAACCAGGTGAACATGCAGCGGGCCACCTGGTTCATCAAGCTGAGCGCCGCCTATACGCTAAGCTTCACCGAGTCCAAGAACAAGAAGCGCAGTATCTATGACCCAGCCGCCGAGTGGACGGGCAATATGATCAAGTTTATGAAGGAGTTGCTGCCCAAGCTACAGGAGTACTACCAACAGGGTGAGAAAGAGCATGTTCATGGCCTTGTGAGGTGCCTTAAATGACACATATTTTCTTGCAGCTCACAGCGACAAGACCACATCGAATGGCAGCTCTTCGGGAGGTATGTCTGCCATTGGAGCCCCTGCCGGTGGTACGGCCACCAATGGCACCTCTGGCAATAGTGCTGGGAATTCCATAGCTGGCAGCAGTGCTCCCACAAACGTTATACCCGTGCCCAGCATGGCGAGTCCTTTGCCACCCATACACAGTCCAGCAAATGGCCAGCAGGCCGGAGCTGCCGGCGGAGTGGGAGCAGGCAGTGGAATTTTACCGGCTACAGGAGGCTTAGGAGGAGTAGCAAGTGTAGGTGGTGGCAGCGGGGTAACTGGAACTTCAGTGGTCGGTGTCGGCAGTGCCCCAGGTGTGGGAGGAGCCGCTGTTCCACCCGGCTCCAGTATATCGGGTATCGGCAGCCAGTTTGAGGACAGCCGGAATGCTCTTAAATACTGGAAATACTGCCACCAGCTGAGCAAGTACATGTACGAGGAGTCGCTGCTGGATAGGCAGGAGTTCCTCAACTGGATACTGGATCTATTGGACAAGATGCGCACCCAGGCGAGCTTCGATGAGCCGCTGAAGAAGCTGGTGCTTAGTTTTGCCCTCCAATATATGCACGATTTTGTGCAGTCGGAGAGGCTCTGCCGGAAGATGGCCTACATTGTGTCCAAGAAGCTAGCCCAGCTGCTGAATACTGCCGTGGAGCAGCAGGCCATCAAGGAGCTGGATGAGCACAAACTAAATCAGCAGCAGGAACACCACGATCCCTACGAGCTAGCTTTGCAGGAGCAGATGAGCTGTCCCCATCACCGGGATATAGTGCTCTACCTGAGCACCATTCTCCAAATCATCACCATCGAGTGTCCCACGGCTTTGGTTTGGAGTGGAATAGCAGCACATCGGGCTCCATCTTCGCTTTTGGGTAGTCCCCTGGACCACCTGCCCCTGGCACCTTCCGTATTACCAATGCCCACGAGGTGTCCACGGACCAACCAGGAAATACGACGCCAACTACGCTCCGCCGAGTCGGACATTGTGCTGCGCACTCAGCACGCAGAGCAGCGCTGGTTTGCCGCCAAGTGGCTAAGTGCAGGCAAGAATCACTACACCAGTGTTCTGGCCACGCTGGATCGCCTGGACACGCACTGCTTTGACCGCATGGAGCACAACAACAGCATAGACACCCTCTACGCGCACATCTTTCCCAGCACCAGCACCAGTAGACGACGGGAAGAGGAGCAGCAGGACTCGCAGCAGTTGCGTCCTGCCTACGAGCCCAAGCAGGACAAGGACACAGTGCGTATCCTGTGCGAGTGGGCTGTTTCCGGACAAAGATGGGGCGAGCACCGGGCCATGGTGGTGGCCATACTCCTGGATAAACGCCAAATTGATGTGACCAGCACTCCGGCGGATCAGCAGTCCAGCGACAAGGAGGACAAGGATTCGCTGGCCTCTGGAGCAGGTCTTATTGATGGCCTGCCCGTGTTCCAGCATGTACTGATGCACTTCCTCGACCACGATGCCCCCTTATGGGATGAGCACTCGAGCAGCAGCCAGCAACGCACAGAGTTCACCAATCTCGTCCAGCTTTTCAGCGCTTTGATACGTCACGATGTCTTCTCGCACAATGCCTACATGCACACGCTCATCTCGCGGGGGGATTTGCTGCTGGAGTCGGTACTGGTCAGCAAGTCGGTTTCTACGGCTACCAAGACCTCGCCACCGCCGCCGGCTCCGCCACCAACGACCACACATGGCTTTGACGATGATGGCTTCGGCGGAGGCCTTGATTTCAAGCACAATGAGTATGACGACTCCAATGTGGATGACGATCTGGACAAGCTGGTGCAGAACATCAAGGAGAAGGGCCAGCAGCATGAGGCGCCCGACAGTCCCAAGATAGGACCCTCGCCTGTGGATGGAGATCCTAGCACAGGAGCTGGCTCTGCCGGCAGCATCTCGCGTCACTATGTCTACACCAAGCACTTTCCCATTCCCCAGGACGATCCCAGCATGAGTAGCTACAGTAGCGAGAGCAATCAACGGTATATCCTGCTCTTTGGCGTGGGCAAGGAGCGCGACGAGAAGAAGCACGCAGTGAAGAAGATGTCCAAGGAGATTGGCAAGCTTTTCACCAAGAAGTTTAGCATTGACGTGGCCGCCGCTGGTCATGTGAAGAAGCACTCGCGGAATGAGTTTAATTTCGAGGCCACCACATCCAAGTGCCAGCAGATGGCCTACTTTGACCAGCATGTGGTCACCGCCCAGTGTGCGGCCAATGTGCTGGAGCAGCTCAATGGCTTTGCCTTGGGCAACAACAATTATTTGCCGGTCCAAGAGCATGTGGCTTTCCTTTTTGACCTCATGGAGCTGGCCTTGAATATCTATAGTCTCCTGGAGCTGTGCGATAGTCTGCTGAAGGAGCTACCTGAGGTGGAGCATCAGTTGCAGTCGAAGAAATCGAATCTTGTGAGGAGCTACACCACCTCGCTGGCTCTTTACATTGTGAGCATCCTAAGGCGCTATCACAGCTGCCTTTTGCTCTCGCCGGAGCAGACTCTATCTGTGTTTGAGGGCGTCTGCCGCACTATCCGGCATGTGACCAATCCCAGTGAATGCTCCTCTGCAGAGCGCTGCATCATTGCCTACCTAAGCGACCTGCATGAGTCCTGCATCTTGCTGCAGGGCAAGGAGCAGTCCACGGAGTACTACCAGCAGCTGCAGTGCATCAAGCGCTTCAAGGACATCTTCAACACGCCCGAGCAATTAAGGTGAGTTTTTGTGACTTGGAAGACGATCAGGAGGATCTTCTTTCCTTTTTCTTCTTTTTTTAACAACTTTATTTCCCTTACCTTAGCCTCCCCCCGCAAGGCTATAATCCCCAATTGCTCCAAGAACTGTTCATGGCCCCTCGACGCGGCGGCAAGCTAGATCCCCACTGGCTGGGCACCTTGCATGAGTCCCCGGCCAACATCTACAGCTTTGTGTCCAATGCCTTAATCGCCGTCTGCCGGGAGACGGACAACGAGCGTCTTAACGATGTGGCTCTGGCCTGTGCCGAGCTCACGGCCAGCTGCAATGTCCTTTCCGAGGAGTGGATTGCAGCCTTGCAGAGCCTGTGCAGCGGCAGCAAGAGTCCCAGATATCCACACCTAGGAGGCCAGGTGGACATTGGCCAAGGCAAGACACACAACGCTTTGGCTGTCTTCGTGTGCATTCTGGTGGCCAGACACTGCTTCTCCCTGGCGGATTTTGTGAGCAAGTTTGCTCTCCCAACTTTGGCGAGGTCGGTGAGTGCTGGCGGAGCAGAACTAAGCGTGGATGCAGAGGCGGGTGCCAGACTCACCTGCCACTTGGTTTTGAAGCTGTTCAAGACCCTGGAGATTCCCCAACCTGGTATGTATTCGGTGAGCACCTCACCCAATCCCCTCCACGCCGTCGGCAACAATGACTTTAGCATACGTCTAAGCTGCGATCGCCACCTGCTGGTGGGGGCACACAAGACCATACCCATAGCCGCCGTTCTGGCCGTGCTCAAGGCCATACTCATTGTGGTGGACAATGCGGCGCTTAAGACTCCTTTGGCTGGCGGGAGTGGTTCCTCCTCCTCCTCCACCTTTGGCAGTGGCAAGCGAAGTGGTGGCTTCAACACGCCCGTTCATCCTGGCAGCACGCCCAAGAGCAACGAGCAGCGACCGGCTGATCTCAGCCAGATCCTGGGTACCAGCGATCTCCAGCTGGGCAGTAGTCTCACCAGCGAGCCGGAATCCTTGCAACCACAACCATCCAGTGGGGGTTTGGAGCAAATATCCCTGCTGGAATTTGCCCAGGCCGTGCTCAAGCAGATCTGTGCCCAGGAGCATGTCCTGGAGCGGTGTCTCAAGAATGCCGAGCAGCTGTGCGACATGATCATCGATGAAATGCTAACAGCCAAGCAGGCACAGCGAGTGCTGCACATGATTTGCTACCCGGAGGCGGAGTTCAACATCATCTCCGAGCTGGATCAGCGTTCTATGATTGTCCGGATTCTGGAGAACCTAGGACAGTGGACGCTGCGGATCTCCTGGCTAGACCTGCAGCTCATGTACCGCCAGTCGTTGAGCAACAATGCAGAGCTGAACGTTTGGCTGGACACTGTGGCCCGGGCGGCCATTGATGTGTTCCACATGGAGGAGGTGGTCCTACCAGGTGCCTTAAAGGCCACGCATAAGCCCAAACCTTCCACCTGGCTGGTGGCCCCACTGATAGCCAAACTAACGCCGGCGGTTCAGGGCAGAATACTGAGAGTAGCTGGCCAGGTGCTGGAGAGCATGAATTACTTCTCCAAGGTGTCCAAATCCGATTGCAATAGCTCGGGCAGCGGCGACGAGCGGGAGAAGAGCAACAGCTGTCACAGCAGCAATAGCTATGGCCTGGGTGGCGTTGCCACGCGTAACAAGAAGATGCCTCTAAACTACCAGCCCTTTTTGGGGCTTATCCTGACCTGCCTGAAAGGACAGGACGAGTACAAGGAGAACTTATTGGTTTCCCTCTACGCACAGCTTTCTCAGTGCCTGCAGTCCTTCGCCGAGGTGAGTTTAAGCCCTCTTTTCCTCCATTTTCAACTCACCTTCTGTAACGACTAACCTCTCCCGCAGCTGGACACAATTGGAGGCATAGACGAGCCCCAGGCCCGCGAGGAAATCCTTGATGCTTTGCAGCTGCGCTTCTCTCTAGTGGGCGGCATGTTCGAGGCCATTCAAAAGAACAGCACCCCGACCACCGACTGGGCCATTCTACTGGCGCAACTGGTGTGCCAGGGTGTGGTGGATCTCAGCTGCAACCGAGAGCTCTTCACCACCGTGGTGGACATGCTGGCCACCTTGGTGCACTCAACGCTGGTCTCCGACGACGAGCGGCACTACATGAACCTGATGAAGAAGCTGAAGAAGGAGATTGGTGAGAAGAACAATGCCTCCATCAGGGTCATACGACAGCTGCTGCCGCTGTACAAGCAACCCACCGAGGTGATTGCCTGCGAGCATGCCGGCATGGACACCAAGGGCAACAAGATCTGCGACATGGACAAGAAGCAGCTGCGCATTTCGGATAAGCAGCGCATAAGCGTATGGGATATTCTCGAGGGTCACAAGAATCCGGCTCCCTTGTCGTGGGTTTGGTTTGGAGCTGTGAAGCTGGAGAGGAAGCCTTTAACCTACGAGGAGGCTCATCGCAATCTTAAGTACCATACACACAGCCTGGTCAAGCCCAGCAGCTACTACTACGAGCCTTTGCCGCTGCCGCCGGAAGATATAGAGCCTGTCCCCGAGAAGATATGCATAGTAAGTATACTTAAAAGGGGAAAGGGTGTGGATTATCTTACATTTATCTTTTATTTTAAAGAAGGACGAAATGAAGGCCGACACGCCCTCGTCGGTGGATCAGTCACCCAGCGCCGTGGTGGGCGGCACGGGACGGGGTCGTGGCAAGGGAACAGGCACAAGGAAACGAAAGCCCAAGAATGCCAAGACTCCGCCTGTGCAGCAGCAACAGCAGCAGCCACAACTGGCTCCACAGCCCCAGCAGCCAACGAATGTGCAGCAACAGCAAATGCAGCAACAGCAGCAGCAGCAACAACAACAGCAGCAACATGTGCAACAGCAACAGCAGATGCAAAACAATCCAATGGGCCAGATGTCTATGAATATGCCGGTAAGGAATTCTAAAAAAATTTAACACTTAACAATGTCTACTAAAATGTCTTAACCCACAGATGAACATGCAGCAATTTGCACCCAATCCCAACATGATGCAGCAGCAGAATGCCATGATGCAGCAGCAGCAGCAGATGCAACAGATGGGCGGCAACCAGCAACTGCAGCAGCAGCTAAACGTGGGCGGTGGCAATGGACAGCAAAATCCGCAAATGAACTTTATGCAGCAGGGACCAGGCGGTGGTGGACCCCAAGGAGGAATGCCTGGACAGCAGCAGCAATGGCATAATGCTCCGCCGCAGCAGCAGCAGCAGCCCCAAACGTACATCAATCAATATGCCCCACATCAACAGGGTATGCAAGGTGAGTTTGTTGTTGAAGGACTTGATTTAGATGATGGAAGATACCCCTATCCTTTCAGCTAATCGCATCGAGAGGCCGCCCTTGAATGCCAACTCCAAGCAGGCTCTGTCCCAGATGCTGCGGCAGCGTCAGCCCTTCCAGCAGCAACAGCAGCAGCAGCAACAAGGACCCGGTGGCGGCGTTGGCGTCTTCAATCCCATGCAGCAGCAACCTCAGCCCTCGCAGCAGCAGCAGCAACAGGTGCCGGGACCACAGCAGCAAATGAATCCCAACCAGATGAGGCAACAGCAGCAGATGAATCCCCAACAGAATCCGCAGGCAGTGGCCGCCTTCAATGCCATGCAGCAGCAGCAGAATGCCCAGCAGCAGCAACAAATGAATCCCAACCAGCAGCAGCAACAGCAGCAGTTCCTGCGCGCGGGCAACATGCGACCCGGCATGGCGCCCAACCAAATGAATCAAATGAATATGGGCGGCCAGGGCATGCCGCAGAACCCCATGATGCAGCAACAGATGTCGCAGGTGGGCATGGTGGGCATGGTCAATCCGAATGGCAACCAAATGATGCAGGCTGGCGGCGGTGGCCAAGGCGGCAATGGAGTGGGAGTTGGTGTGGGCGTGGTGGGAGCTGCTGTGGGCAACAATCCCAACATGGGTATGGGCGGAATGCCGCAACAGGGAATGATGCAGCAGCAGCAGCAGCCCCAACAGCAGCCACAGCAGCAAGTACAGTTCCAGAACTTCCAGAATCAATTCCAGCAACAGCAGCAGCAACAGGGCATGCAGCAGCAAGGCAACGGAGGAGGCGTCGGCGTGGGAGTGGGCATGACGCCCAACCAGCAGCAGCAGCAACAGGCCAACATGATGGGCAACTTCAATCCGCAGCAGATGCAGCAGGCGAATCGCAACAATCCCGACTTTATGGCCGTGGCAGCGGCTGCCCAACAGCAGCAGCGCGGTGTCCCAGGCGGCATGATGGCCGGCAACAGGGGCCAGTACATGAACCAGGCGCCCAATGTAACAATGTCCAATATGATGGGTCCGGGACCAGGTGGCCAAGTGGTTGGCGGTCAGGTGCCTCCCTACGCCAGGCAGCAGCCAGCGGGCGGCGGCAAGCCGGGCGTCTTAAACACACAGCAACAGTTCCAGCAGCAGCAGCAACAGCAGCAACTTAGGCACCAGCAAATGATGCAGATGCAGGGCATGGGCTCTGGGCCGCAGCAGGCCGGCGTTGGGGCTGGTGGTGGCGTAGGCGTGGGGGTAGGCGGCGGGGGAGGGATGGTGCCGCAGCAGCAGAGCATGAACCAGCAGCAGACCCCGAACCTGGTGGCCCAGCTGCAAAGGCAGAATATGATGGGCCAGCAGCAGCAGTATCAGCCGCCGCCCTATTAGAAAGTAGGACACACTCCTTAATTGTAAGCTTACGTACGTAGTTTTAATCATTTATTTATCTCAGATGTATTTGCAATAAACGTTCAAATATGTTCCATTTTATTTTATTTTAGAAAATGAAAAATCAACTAGGAAAATGTTCTGGGATATCTTTAATATTTTATTTGGATTTATGTAAATAGTAAAATTTTGGAGCAACGTAATAAATTTTTTAAAATATATTATTTTATGATATTACAATTTATGATATTTTTGTTTACTATATTAGTTTAATTTTTATTTATCCAAAATTTAATTTCAATTTGGTTCGAAAAGACAAAGTAATACATTATAAAATATATTTTTCATAATTTAAAATTTTTTATTTTTAATTTTTTTGTTTTACTCTTATTAAAATTTTTTTTAAATTCAATTTTAAATTTAGATTTCTTTAATTTTTATCGGAAAGTCATCGATTTTTCAACCATCCCTAATCAGCTGTGCGCCTTAGTATGCGTGGGCGTTGTGTGCGAGTGTGTGTGTGTACGTGTGAGTGTTTGCCCGTGGATTAGAAATAAAACAAAGTTTTCGTGAGAATAACAGCCGCTTAGCTTAATTAGAACTAAGTTTAAAGTTAATTAGTGCAATAGTCCAACTGCCTCTGGCCGGACATCTATGTAGAAAGCGGACAAACGTCCGAACATCGCTTTCGTGGCAGCTTTCATTCATCGAAGTGTGACTTTTCGCAGTATTGTTTGCTATTGCTCGGCAGGAGGACGTGTTGTTTAGTGGGTCAAACAATAGTTCCATTGCAGTCCCAGAAATGAGCGAAGTTCCGGAGAGCAGTAAAAAGCGTCAAAAGACGGTGAGTACTCTGGACTAGAAGTGGAAAGAAAGTCATGGCAAACATTCTGTTTGGACAAGTGTCCCCAATCTTGTTCCTACCTCCCTCCCCTTGGTGGGAGCAGCAGACCTCGTCAGGTGGATTATGGCTTAAATTGAACGCTGTATTTGAACAGCCTTTGGCTAATGCAGGGGGGGCGGCCTCCTTCTCCATCTACCATATGGAGACACGTAATACCCCAAAGAACTGCTGGAATTTACGCCCCTCTCCAGGAATATCTTATCGGCGATGGTGAATAATATGCTCGCTAAAGCAAAATTCGGCATCCACTACAGGTCACATAACTTCTACTTTATAAAGAATTTAAACCGTTGATAAGGTTCCATTTCGACTTAAAATTGTAGTTTTTATATATATTTATATTTATATATGCAATCCACAAAACTGTCTAGTCAACATTCATATATTTTCTATATATTAAAATGCATGCAAATGTGTACTTCAAAAGATTGTTGAATCGGCACAAGCCGCCTTATCTTTAGGTTGAATTGAAAGTGCACACCTTTCAATTTTTTACACTGAAATCTTAATTAACAATTAGGTAACACTTACTTACTATTTGCAAAAAAAGGAAATCATAAAGCTACTTTTCGGGAAATATAAATATTTTACTTAAAAGCCCTTCAAGTGTTGATGAATTTATATTCCTGGTAGTAACAGCGCTACAAATATTTATAACTATTTAAAACATCACAAAGCCACCTGGGACTTTGTTTCCATTATTTAAATTTTCTTCGTGCCAAGCTTTTATTGTAACTTATAGTTTACTTTACAATCTGCAAACTAAAAGCGTTTAACATTGTTTTACGACTCTTGCGCAACATATTACAAACTGGGTACAATTTCCTTAGTGGCAGCAACTGGTTACCACAACAAATGTTATTACTTTGGCTTAAACAGGTTCAAATTAGAAAGAAAGTCTTCCGCGGCAACTCAAGCGAATTGTAAACAAGTCGGCGAGATGAGCTCCTCCCCTTGGCCAGGCTGGAAACTTGGTCAACAGGCCAAGTCAGCGGCATCTCGCAAGTTGAATGACCACAGAGCTATGCTCTTGTCTCTGGGAATCTTAATCACACCCACAAAAATTACAACTTATTTTAAAGGAAATATATATATTTTTTTATAATAAGATAAGGGTTTAATAATGTATTGTTGTTTGATTCTCTCTTAAGGCAACATTAGGGTTTTATTGTCTTTTCACCTCAAGCATTACGTGTTGAATTTAATGAAGGGAAATTACTTAACTAAATGACTGCAATATAAATAAACAAAAACTGACTAAGCTAGTGTAACTTCCCTAAATTATAAATAAACATAAAGTTAACTAAATGACTTTTGCAATAGAAATACATAAACAAACAGAGTTAGCTAGTGTAAACTCTCAAAATTGTTAATGCCAGTAATTAATGCTTAAAAATCCATCAAGATTTTGATTGTTTTAATAATTATAAATATCCAAAAGAATAGGTTAATTTTCTTTCAAATTGTTTAGTTTTTAAGTCTTATCCAAAACTGGGTTATTTTGATTACTGTATTGTTATTACTATAAAATTCAGTACTACCAAATTATCATAGATTTAAATTCTAGACATAAACTATACACATATCCAAAAAAAGATCATGTGTACTTAGCTGTTTTGCTTGCAATAAAAAACAATACGAAATATCTTAGGCAAACACATCCATAAACAAGTTCTTATATGGGCCAGTTCCACCCAACATCACCCTCTCCGCCAGCTAAGGAGATCTCTGGCAAGTGCCAACGTGTAGAGTTGGCTCTCTGCCTCTGACTTGGGTTTGCCTGCAGTCCCAGTCGCAGACGCACGCAGCCCGTGATATTTCAGTTGCAGTTTTGAGCTTCGGCGAGAAAGTTCAGCGTTTTTTGGCGTTCTGTGTCTGGCTCGGTTTCTTTGGCTGCGGTGGGGCTGCGGCTCAGAAACTCTCACTTGCTTAATTATCAAAGAGTACATATTGTTGAGTTAGTCGTCTGCTTTCTTTTCACTCGCCCAGCGTTTGTTTCGATTGTGAAAAATGTTTACCCGATGTGCCAATTCGCTTGGCCACTATAACAATAACAATAGCACTGGCTGTTTCGCTTCCCCGAAGATCAGTCCGTCGAGTTTGCTGGAAAAGCCAGGTGATGCGGTAAGTTTCATGAGGCATCAAGGGATACAAGAGATACAAGATACAGTAACCTAAAATTGGCTACCGATTTTATATCCTTGCAGAGTATTATAATTTCAGTCAGAAGCTAGCAAAGCAGTCATTTCCGACCCTATAAAGCATACATATATATTCTTGATTACCATCAATAGGCGATTCTTTCTAGATGGTTGTCATTTTATATTCTAAACAGCCATATATCAAAATGATAAAAAGAAGGCAAGAAAAGAACAAAAACAGAGACATAATAATGTACAACAAAAGTCCGAAAAGACTGTGCAAACATTTTCTCCATATGGGGGGAACCTTGGGAGTGGAATGATGCGAGCGTGAAACGTTGATCGAGAGTCCAGAGCGAGATTATAGCGATGATGATGGACTCGGCTACTCGAAAGCGACCTCTCTCCGCCTCACACTCTTCTCTTGGATTCCCAATACCTTTTCAGGCGGAGCGCGCCATATAAACATCGTAAATGTTATTGAAAACTTTCAGTTCGCTTTCAACGCTCGTCGCGTGTCGTCTGTCTATGACGGAAATCAATTCGCATCTGTGAGAGTTCGTTTTTAGCCAAAATAGAGAGAAACAGAACAACTCCCCCACAATTTATTAACTTAAAGAAGCTACCAAAAGAAACTATGCCGAATCCCCCAATTGGATTTTATCCCCACATTAAGAGAAGGGTAAGAGATACCACGATAAGCACTAGAGATAGAGATAGGCAAACAGAGAACAAAAGCGCCGGAGAGATAGAAGAAATTAAATCATTCTGATTAAAACCTAAATCAACTCGATCATTAAGCGTAAAAAGGGAGACGGTTCTTGGTGATGAGAGTGAGAGATTAGCGGATGGATCTGTCTCAGCCCGTCCCAGTGACCCAGTTTTTGAGTCATATTAAAAAAGTACGCAGAAATAATAAGTTTACTGCGGCAAATATTATAAAATAATTTAGTTGGAAAAAATTATCATTACTGGCTTTGTTAAATATTTATATTTTTGTAGGAAGAAATTAAATATTTTTCTTAAAAATTATTTACAAACTTTAAAGATCGTTTATAGCAACGACTTCTGGTAGATTTTGTACATAACTTGAGGCTTTATAATGTGGAATATTTTAATAAATATATTATATATTTTGATGACCAAAAACAAAGTAAAGTTTTTAAATAATGATGCTGCATAGGAAATACATGTGACTTACCCCATTCACTTGGAGATAGAGACCCAGCTGGGTGATAGAGACCCATCATCCATATCGCAAAATTCATTCCAGATTCTGCACACACGAGCTTTGGCTTTGGCTTCGGTTCTGACTTCCAGCTCCGGCTGCGGAAGGTCAACAAACTGAGCAAACTGTAGAGCTAGCTCAGCAGGAATTATCGCCCCGGGGTCAAAGCGAACTATTTCAATGGGCTTGGGCTTCTTAGCTTTACCTTTTCTGTCTTTCTGGCCGGCAAAAGCTGAAAAGAACCGCCTCGGGCAGAGGCAATCTCTTGACATGAATATTAATTTATGATAATTTCGAAAGCTAAAACCCGATTTTTGGTTCCTCGCTTGTGTTTGCAGTGCCTACAGGTGGCGACGAATGTGACCGAACAGAAGCACCATGTCACCCGGGAGACGCGCGGCAAGAACTTGGGCCTGTGCCGAGGATTCCGAGGATGCACCGTGTGGCTGACTGGTGAGTAAAATAGGGACCCCTTTTCTTTTAGCTTAACCTTACCCATACTCCTTAAAGGACTCAGTGGCGCCGGCAAGACCTCGATTGCCTTCGAACTGGAGGCGTATCTGGTGTCCCGTGGCATCCCCGCTTATGGCTTGGATGGCGACAACATCCGCACTGGTCTGAACAAGAATCTGGGTTTCACTCCCGCCGAACGGGAGGAGAACATCCGACGCGTGGGTGAGGTGGCCAAGCTGTTTGCCGACAGCGGCGTTGTGTCCATCTGCAGCTTTGTGTCCCCATTCGCCGATGACCGCGAAATGGCTCGCAAGATCCACAAGGATGCGGGTCTAAAGTTCTACGAGATCTTTGTGGACACTCCACTCGACGTGTGCGAGACGCGCGATGTCAAGGGGCTGTACAAGAAGGCGCGCGAGGGCGTCATCAAGGGTTTCACGGGTATCACGCAGGAGTATGAGCGACCCCAGAAGCCAGAGCTGGTGGTCAACACGCATGGGTACACTGTGCGCGAGTCCACGCAGCAGCTGGTGAACCTGCTCGAGCAGGAAGGCATCATTCCGCGCTCCCTTCGCGACGTAGACCAACTGCCGGAGCTGTACCCCAGCGAATCCATTGCCACGGAGGTGCTGCGCCACGAGGCCGAGTCGCTGCAGGCCATCGAGATTAGCACCGTAGAGCTGCAGTGGGTGCAGGTACTGGCCGAGGGCTGGGCCTATCCCCTGCGGGGATTCATGCGCGAGGATGAGTACCTGCAGACGCTGCACTTCAATACACTCCAGAGCGGCATGGATGGATCCTATCGCGAGAATCACTCGGTGCCCATAGTGCTCAGTGCCACGACGGCGGACAAGGAGCGGCTGGAGGGGGTATCATCGCTGACACTCAAGTATCAGGGCAAACCGGTGGCCATACTACGCCGGCCTGAGTTCTATTACCAGCGCAAGGAGGAGCGCCTGGCCCGCCAGTTTGGCACTAGCAATCCGGAACATCCCTACAGCAAGCAGGTGTATGACTCTGGAGAGTATCTGGTGGGCGGCGATTTGGCTGTGATCGAACGGATTCGCTGGGAGGATGGCCTGGATCAGTATCGGCTGACTCCGAATGAGCTGAGGCGTCGCTTCAAGGAGCTAAATGCCGATGCCATCTTTGCTTTCCAGCTGCGTAATCCCATCCACAATGGGCATGCCTTGCTCATGCAGGACACCAGACGCCAGCTACTGGAGCGAGGCTTCAAGCAGCCTGTGCTCCTCCTGCATCCTCTTGGCGGTTGGACCAAGGACGATGATGTGCCGCTGGATGTGCGCATGAAGCAGCATCAGGCCGTGCTAGATGCTGGTGTTCTGCGACGCGACGACACTGTGCTGGCCATCTTCCCCTCGCCCATGATGTACGCCGGCCCCACGGAGGTGCAATGGCATGCCAAGGCACGCATGAATGCCGGCGCCAACTTTTATATCGTAGGACGAGATCCGGCGGGCATGCCGCATCCGGACAAAAAGGCCTATCCCGATGGCAATCTGTATGATGCCACTCATGGAGCGCGTGTGCTTAAAATGGCCCAGGGTCTGGACAGCATGGAGGTAAGTGGGAGATGGCAACATCATCACTGTAATCTCACTTTTCTATTATTTTTACAGATCCTTCCCTTCCGGGTGGCCGCCTACGATAAGAGCTCTAGCAAAATGGACTTCTTTGAGCCTCAGCGCAAGGATGACTTTGAGTTTATCTCTGGGACCAAAATGCGCACATTGGCCAAGACTGGAGCAAGTCCGCCGGATGGCTTCATGGAGCCCGAGGCCTGGCGCATCCTAGCCAACTACTACCAGAACCTGCCGCAGGCGTAACACGCGGCAATGCAAGCCCGCAAATCAGCAACGTGCAATTCCTCCTCCTAGTTATTAGCTTATGTGTGTGCTTAAACTATTTTTTAAAATTTATGGCCGCTATTTCAGAGTTATTTTTATCAGAAGAAAGAAAGGAAGGGGAGAGAGTTTCAACTCCCACCTTTGCTTTCTTTTCTTATTCCCTTAATAGGTAAATATCTTGCATCTTACAACAGCATTTTCTGACCAAAATCCGAGCCTGTGTCCTCTGTCGTGTGTGTATATTTGTATGTTGTGCTCCCTGCTATTGAAAAGTTCGTATCGTACAATCTACTTGTATCTTCTACTTTTAAGTTTTCCCCATTCTATGTTTATCTTAAGCAAAATGTCGTCCAGCCATTTGGACAGTTTTTTAAATACATATATAACAAATTAATGGAGAGAAGAGTTTAATTAGGGGGATGGTTAATTCTATGCAAATGGGGCCACTTTTTAAAAAATTATTGTTTCGAAACGACTAAAGTTAGCTTATTAAATTAAATATTATATAATAACACAGTATTGGAACAATTTTGTGTTAAATGGAATATTACAAATTATTTAGAGGTCTAGAAGTTATAGGAAATCTTCCGGTAAATAAAAAAATGAAAAAATCTGAGGTGAATAGCTGAAGAATTAGTTATGTGCCAGTAAACTTTGAGTTGTTGTGTACGCCGACTTTTTCAAGATACTCAAACATTGAACACCAAACTACCTTAGTTAAACTACCCTTAACTTCGTTAATTTTGCTATGATCGTTGTGAAACTTTGACAAAATCTTCTAAACATATTCGGCCTTTATAACAACTTGAAATTATAAAAAAAAATATAAATACTGTTCCTCTCTTTAACAGAATTCCCTCTAGATTTGGATTAAGAAAGAGCGTTCGAAAATTCGGCTTCCCCAAGTAAGCTCACTTTTCTTTTTGTTTTATAAATAAACTGATAGCTTATCGCACACCACAGCTCATCTGCGATTTCTTATATATTTATTCAGTTTGAATTAGGTTTTGCACCCAATAGGTTGTTTTTTAAAATGCATTTGCCTTCGAATCTGCCGCTAATCATTTTGATCTTATTCTTCGGATATCTTTTTAAAGAAACTCTTTCTCAGAGTTTGCAAAACGATGATCTTGTAAGTAACTTTTAATAAAGAACTGAACATACTCATAAAATATTGGTAAATACCACAGATATTTCCCCAAATGTACAATGAAGTTGCCACGGAAATCGAGACAACCCAGTCTTCGGAACAAATTAAAACCCTCCAATCCTCAATAGATACATTAAACAACATAATCTTAGAGACCAGAGCGGACAGAGCCTCTCTCAACGAGATTAAAAATCAAATGGTCGAATGGCATAATATAATAGTCTCTATAGAACTGAAAAACTTGGAAGCTGATAATCGTTTGAAGACGCAACTCGACCTCGGCGACATATGGAGAAGCTACAACGAGAGAATCGCCAAGAATGAGGCAGATCTTGAGAAGCTAAGACAAGAGAATGAAATCCTTCAGAGACAAGCCCGAAATGATGCCATAATGATTATAGAGCTCAATGAAAAGTTAGAGACTCAGACACTTCTAAGTTCGGAGTGCCTGAAATGGTTCCAACAGAGCGGAGCTCAGCCATCGGGATGTTTGCTTGTGGGTCAGAAAACAGCCATTCTGACTATTCAGATTCCAGGAATCCAGGATCCATTCTCAGTGCTTTGTGACGCCGATGTTAAGGGTCCCGGTTGGACAGTGATTCAGAGGCGCCTCGACGGTTCGGTAGATTTCTACAGAAACCTTAGCGATTACCGCATGGGTTTTGGAGATTTGAATGGGGAGTTTTTCATTGGCCTGGACAAGCTTCATCAGTTAACGATGTTCCAGCAGCACGAGCTGCTCGTGCGCCTTCAGTTTTTCAATGGATCCACGCAGTTTGCCAGCTACGATAACTTCATAGTGGGTGGAGAGCAGCAGGACTTTGCTCTGCTAAGTATTGGGGAATTTAGCGGAAGTGCGGCAAACGGGCTGCTGTGGAATCTCAATCGAAAGTATACCACTCGCGACAGTGACAAGGATCAGATTATCAACCGAAATTGCGCCGAAGATTGCCACGGGGCCTGGTGGTACAGTTTTTGTGGTGACACGTAAGTAAATGTTCTTTATAACAAATTCATCATTAAATTAATGATTTCGCTTCACAGGAATCTTAATGGCAAATACTACAACGAGATGATAAGCCGTAGAGAGGACAGCATTATGTGGGCCAAAAGCCATAACATCAAAGTTGTGGATATGCTAATCCGTCCAAAGCTTAATAGATCTTAAAACTGTTATATTTAAATACCCTGAACAATGTTTTTTTCTTTTTATATAATAAATAAGCGTTTCGGGTAGAATTAGAAATTAAAAGAAATGACAAACAAATAAAAAAAAGTGCTTAAATAAACCCCAAACCCATAGCAAACTGTTATACTTAATCTGTTATACTAGTGGCATCGTAGTAAAAACTGTGGGTTTCCTTTGGTTTTGCACAAGATTTATTTTTATAAAATTGTATACGTTTAATCATTAATATTACAAGTAATTAATTAATATCAAATATGCATTTAGTTATCATTTAATTTCACATTATTTACTTTTTACTGCGCTATGTATGTATGTTTTTATTTTTTCATAAATGTTTTTATTGCTGTCAAGGTCGATCGATTAGCTCCATAGATTATTCTTTTATTTTGTTGTATGTTATTTATCAGAACTTGCGGTTGTGTGTGTGTTGCAAAAATAAACGAAAATAAATACAGTACAAACTAGCCAAATGAAATGTGTGTGAAGATTAAACAGAAAACAGATGAGAGAGGGTGGAATTGGGTGGGAGGGACTACAATCTGGGCAATTGTGCGTCTGGACATATCCTCCGTATCCCGAATCCGTATCCCTAACATAATGGCAAAGGGCGCTGCTGAGCAAAACAAGGACAAGGACAAGGACTGGGGACTGGGCGAGCACTAATAATATGCATACACAGTACATACATATATATTTTGTTTGTTTTACAATTAATAATTTACAAATCGAGAAAACAACCATGGCTGCTAGAGAAAAATCATCGTAATTCCGTAAATACTAAAACCCTCTTTCGAGAAGGAGGACGCGGGCGGGTTGGTTTGGATTGAATTGGCTGCTGGATCCGCTTTCAACTCGAGCTATATACGCGTATATATACTATATACTATACTATATATTTCGTACACGGTCGTCATATACTTTATTTAATAACTGTTTCATAATGCAATTCGTGTTCTATTCCATTTTCGGGCGTGTTTCTTTAGGGATAGGTAGGGTAAGAGGGGAAGGGTTAGAGCTGGCTGCTGCTGATGTTTTAGGTTTCTCTCGGCTGTTGCACACTCAAACCTAACAGGAGTTAAGAAAACTACTACCACATACACTATCGTAATTGTTACCACCATGCCGCATCAGTGCCGAGCGCACATTGTTGCCACGTCAAAGCATACTGCACCTGGACAACCAACTGTCCTTCGTCCGACTGTCCATCGGTTTCAGTTGATGACCCCCCTTGGGCGGGTTGTTCGCCTCCTACAAAACCGGAAAAGGTACGGGGGTTAGCCTTTGGATGCTTAAAGAAATGAATTCTCTTTGTCTGGAACACTCACCATGCGCTTTTCCGTTTTCGCTTTGATATCGCTGGCGAGGGTGAGGAAGGCTTCTTCCACGTTGATGCTGGCTTTCGCTGAGGTTTCCATGAACTTGATGCCGTACTCGATAGCCAACTGTTCGCCGCGCTCTTTTGAAACCTGAAAAAGGGGGAGAAGTTTTTATTTAAAGATTAAAAAAAACAGTATTTTTCATTACATATTTTGTAATATTAGTAAATAACAGGGACCGTAAATATTGATTATCAATTGGCTACAATTTTGATGATTGCTTAAATATAAACAAAACAAAAAAATTAGTCATTCAATTTTAAAAATAAAACTAAAAAAAAATAATGATTATTTTAACGCTTAAAAAGCCTCAACGTGCAATATCTCCTTTCTAAAAAGTTTCTTTGGAAATAATTTTTACCAGATCTTTTTTTTTATTTTTTCACTTATAAGATAACGGTCCCCGGTAAATAATGAATCTCGAAATGGTTCCTATAAAAATTATCAAAGGAAAACAATGTCCTTTATTAGTTTATTTTACCTAATTAAAAACATATTGATTATGAGGCAAGACCTGAGACTCACTGTCTTTTGAATGTTAGTCAACTCTTCAAAATTTGATGATGACTGAACCTTCTCTGTGATAAAGACTCTTTTGAAGCCAAGACATACCCACTTGTATTTTCTTTATTCACTCACCTGTCGCTTATCGTGCAATTCGCACTTGTTGCCCAGCAGCATTTTCTCGACATCGGCGGAGGCGTTCTCTTCAATATTCCTGATCCAGTTCTTGATGTTCTCAAAGGACTTCTCCTGGGTTATGTCATAGACCAGCATGATGCCCATGGCGCCTCTGTAATACGCCGTTGTGATTGTGCGAAAACGCTCCTGTCCGGCAGTGTCCCTGGAAATGGGGAAAATATATGTTTTTTAGGAATAACAAAATATATAACAGATATTTCTTATCACTCACCATATTTGCAGCTTTATTTTCTTGTTATCTAATTCAATTGTTCTAATTTTAAAATCGATACCTGTTACCGAAGAAAAAGAGAAGAGAACACGGAGATATATCATTAATTCAAATTATTTGGCGAGAACCTGTTTCTTGTTCGCTTGGCCCAACCAATGACGTCGTGGGAAGCGCAAAGAGCGAGCCACGCAATTGATTAAAACAATGTCTGGCCGTTCAAGCAAATAGCCCAAAATCGGAATTGGTGCAAGGGAAACGTGTGCCAAATACGAAAATAAACGAAAAGTACAGAAAGTGCAAGGTACAGAGTAAGTACATGCCATCTGAACGTTCTCAAGACACTTAATAGAGCATTTAGAGAATATTTACATACTCAATTTTAGAGGAAAATGCTGGGAATATCCTCTAAAAGTCAAGGATAAACCATCTCTCATGAATCTTTAAAGAATATATAGTGTGAAACCCACTCCTCCTCCATTCATGGGCTATCAATCGGACCTCTTTCAGTGATAAGAACTCCGTCTCCCCCAGTGCAATGGCACCGGTTGCCTGGTAGCTCTTATATTGATATTGTTCCCATATATGCGGGTGTGTAGATTCCCTTGGCTTGGGCATTATAAAGATTGCTCTCTCCACACAACAAAGCCAACCAAGGGAAGCCCCTCCCTCCCTAGCGAGAGGCTTGGAATCCTTGGCGCGGTACACAATCATTATGACGAATGCTTGGACTCAAGCGATGGAAAGAAAAGAACGTTGGATGGCTGGCAAACCATGAGTCACACACCCGCCTGAGCCAAGCTGAGCCCAAGTTGAGAGAAAAAAATGTTGGTGCGGCGTCATAATTAATTAAAAATCAGCAAGTGGCCGCTGGGTGGTTGGGGGAAAGATGTTGCCAATTACCTATTGTGGATATAAACGTCGTGTTGAAGGCGTCCTCCGAGAAGCGGAACAGGATGCAGGTCTTGCCCACGCCAGAGTCGCCGATCAGCAGCAGCTTGAACAGATAGTCGTATGTCTTGGCCATGTCGACGGGTTGATGGGAGAGATCACAGTTGTTCGTCACAAATCCCGCGATGACAAGGGTTACGCTAATGGTGTGGTGGACACGTCGTCGCCTCCTTCGTGTGGTGTGCCTTGCGAATCAGTGGCTTCCGCTGCGATCCGGTCCGTTCCGTTTTATTGTGCACTAATAATTACGCTTATAACAAATGTATATCCCATATGCGTGCCGTGCTGTCGAATATTCCTAGACGTAACCACAGTTCCCGATGATTTTCTCTCTCTCAGTTCAGCACTTCTGGGTGTGTTTGTGTTTGTGTTTTCGACGTTTCGGAGCCGTGTCAAAAATGGCGACGTAGTTTCAAAACGCTTCTCTGCCCCGACTTTCGCTCTTTCGCTCGCGCGGCCTGTCCGGTGAGAATCTGCAAAGGCGCTCGCGTCACGGTGTGCGGGTGTGCTGCGTTGTTGTTGTGGTTAGGACGTGCAAATTAAGTTTAATTACTGCTTTCTAATTACGCCCGAATAAAAAAAGTAGCAGCTGGGCTGTAGAGCTGTCAAAACGTCGATTGCACTAGCTGTCCACCACTAGCGATTGATTTTACACTATCGATAGTACGAAACTTCGATATTTGTGTTTTAGAGTGCCCAGAAGCCGCGAAAGCGGAATTTGTCTGGGGGGAAAGTGAAATCCCAATCTGGCCACACTTTAATGTTGTTTTGTTTTGACTCCCAAGTGGGGATAATTTGGATGAATTGTGCTCCTGTTCCTGCTTCCGTTACTGATCCTAATCAGACTAATCTGCTCGTCGTTCTGCCCGCGTCGGTTAAGTGAACGTAAACAAATGTGAAAAGAGACGTCGCCAGACGCAGGAGGAGCAGAATCCGAGAATCCGTCGCCGTTGCACCCCCGCAAACAAATATTCTGGGCACAAAAGATGGGCACCAAGGAGTCCAAGCACTCAAACAGCATCAGCTACGAGGATTCGGTGAAGCGCGGTGAGTGTGCTGCCCCCTGGCTGGACCAAATTCCCTGGGAAAGTGAAAATGGGTCACACAGCTAATCAACGACGTCGCTTCTAGAAAACAGAACAACACCAACATACATACAGGTGTGATTGCGCTTTATCGATTCCCATTGTTGTTGTGCTCTCACGTTTGCTGACCACTACACCCTGGACACAAGGTGGTTCCACTGCCCACTGCCCACTGCCCAGAGGTGTCTTCCTTTGGTTTCCTCTGCAGTTTTTTTGCATTCAATTTGCCATATTCCCCATTCGTTAACAGTTACAAATACATGCACAGCCTGCGCGCGTGTATGCATTGGTATTTGCGTCGCCAGCCGCCAGTGACGTCACAATAGAAAAGCTCAACGGCGGGGGTGGGTGTGTGGGGTGGCTGGGAGACAACAAAGCAGAGCAGCGACGCACAGAAACCGTTAAGTAGCCAGGGCAGGCTTAGGGTGGCTGTTAGCTGCTGCAATATGCGGATGCGGTTAATTTCCAGAGTTCTGCATGTCATTCCCCCATTGCATTTTACTTTCAACTTGTGCACGTATCTATAGGTGCACGCATGTATTGGTGTTGGAAATTGTGCAGTATTTCAAAAATAAATCACTTTCAAGTGCATTTTCCAGATAAGCAAAGCTTGGCGTACATTTTTGGCGATTAGCAAATTACAGTCATACTTCTGTAAATAGAACTTTAACTTTTATAATAATAATTATAAGATTAATATATAAATAAATCGAGTCCAAAAAAGTCCCCTCAGCTTATCAACATTAAACCTCTTAAGGAACCTTAGGAACTTATTATTCCTCAATTATTTTCATTCAGACGCTTCCAGCGCAGTGAAAGAGTCATTTCCGACCCCATAAATCATATAGATGCTTGATCAGCATCAGCAGGCGAGTCTTTCTAGACATGTCCGGAAGAAATAAATTTTTAAAAATTTTTTTTCAAAATTTGATAAGGGGTTACATCGTCAAAATTGTCATAAATTAACAAAAATTTTGATATCTTAAAAATCTTAAATTAGTATGCAGATTTGTTAACCTATTAAGAACTAGCACAGAAATTCTTTCAAAATTGAATTTGATGCTTTTTTAGCTTAGTTATTACATTTTTAAACTTTTATTTGTAAAAAAATTAACATATATTTCCAGTTTTATTAAGGGAATTATAATTTTAGTCCGTCAAGGAGTCATTTCTGACCCCATATACATATATTATCATTTAAATTCTCGATCAGCAGCAACAGGCTAGTTTGCTTCCTTTCTTGTTTTTGAACGTGAGTTAAGGGTTAAGCAAACGTTTTGACAGGCATTATAACTAAAATTCCTAATTAATATAACATGAAATAAAAATAATTAGCCGCTCTACTGTATCTAAAGACCTGCTAAGCAGAAATACACCTACACCATATCAATTGAAAATCAACCAAGGAGTTAAGATTATATTTTCGCCAACGTGAACTAGCCAACACCTTGGCAAGCCCTCCCTGTACCCCTCCACTTCACCCCAATCCCATCCCAATCTCTATGACGTCTCTGGCTCCTGTTAGCCGTATTTCTGCCTTACTTTATTTTACTTACCTTCACGTTGTTGCTCTGGCATTCATCTGGCTACTGTCGTTGTTATTGTTAGCGGCCGGGCGGGCAGTGAGAGTTAAGAAAACGAACTTTGTGCTGATAAGGTATGTGCCCACCTCCCCCCTCACTCTTCCCATCAACGGCCCAGCAACCAGCACCTGTCCGTCCGTTCGCACTGCCTTCTTCTTCGCTCCCCCAGAAGTGGGACGCGCGACCAGGTGCGTGTGTTTCTTATTAGCCACACACGGAACGACCGGTTCCAATAAAGAGAAATGGGTGGAACGGGAGGGGAAAAATAAATGCTTTGCATGCAAGAAGAGTCACAAATCGAATAAAAGACCGCGGCTGTAGTCTTGCAGTTGCATTGGCAGTTGATTTTCCACAACAACACATTTATTCCCGTGACGTCGCATATTTTTCTCAATTTATTTCCACGTTTCACGTGAAGTTTGCGGATATCAGTTCGAAAATGTTCGTAGCCTTATCTCTGAAATACAAAAGGTGAATTGATTGACCATTTAATGGCCGTTCTTGTAGGTTTTTATTAGTGATTTCCTTAAAAATATATATATATTCAGAGATATTTGCAGAGTTTTAAAAATATTTTTAAATTATTAGGGGTTTAATTTTGTAAAATAATAATAGTTCGGCTTATAACATTAAATATTAATAATTTTCTTGAGCAAATTAATTGTGTATTGAATATAATATAAATAAACATATATTGTATTGATTTTTACATTTAATATATATGTTTATATTTGAAAAATATAAATACAAATATGATACAAAACGAATTTAAAATTTACTGCATCTTTAACAATAAAGCCTAGGTTATAAGGATAAATCTTGTATGTAAATTCGTAAGTTTGAGTTTATAGTAGATAAAAACAAATTATAGAAAGCTTATATTTCTATATTATATTGTTTATATTTCCCATTAGGGATTTAACATTTTTTAAACGTGTGGAGGCCTCGTAAAATCCCTAAACGAAGTAGTAACTGCAAAAAAATCAACACTCTGTTTAGATCATAAAAACGTGGATTCCCACTCACTCCCTCTACCTGCTCAGACTTGGTTTTATAACCGAAATTCGTTACGATTTTCAATTATCGCTGGTCGTGTGTGAATAAACATATGCTGGTGCACTTGTGATTCCTCAGAGAAGTGATTCACAATCACTCTGAAACCGAAAAAAAGCAATCAATGTCAGATAAGAAGAGGTAATTAGGTAACAAGGCGACACTGAATCCCTAAAATGGAATCAATGGGTAAATGATGACCGAAACATTAGGTTTACGACTGTTGTAGGAGCATTATATATTATATATATATTTTTTTATATATTTATTCTAAATATTTGTGAACAAAGACGTCACGTTGGTGGGGTTTGGCGTGAAAACGAGCGCGTAAATCGCATTAATTACGGGGCATCCCATGCTCATCGTGACTGGGATTTGCCCCGCCCAATGGCTTACTCATCAATCGATTCCCTTTACCTTCCCCCACCTCTAGTAAGCGATGCGGAGTTGCGACGTCTGAGAGATGCCTTCAAGAAGTCAGCGGGCGTGGGGCGGCTCTTCCTCAGCCGGAATGCTTTCCAGCAGGATGTGCTCTGCGAGGGAGTGCCGCCGAAGATCACGGACATGCTGTATGCCGCCTGTGGTGGCACTCAGCGGGGTATTTCCTTTAAGGATCTGCTCTGCGGCCTGGTGCTAATCACACGAGGAACCCAGGAGGAGAAGACCAAGTGAGTGTCTCAGGACAAACACATTTTTTATAAATTTTAATTAAATAATTTCCAACTTTTAGATTCCTTTGGAACCTCTACTGCAACGATGCAGGCACCTATATTATAAGATCGGAATATGTACGCAATGTGAACCTGGCTCCCTTTGAGAGCGTCTCCCTGTTCGCCCAGGGCGAACGAGTCAATTTCGAGCAGTTTCAGGACTGGATTATCAAGCACCGCAATGCCACAGTCCTTTCCAACTGGCTTTTGGCCGACAATTGTGTGAGTCTTACCTCAGAGCTAGAGACGCCAACGTTCTACCAGAGCCTGGCTGGAGTAACGCACCTGGAGGAGAAGGACATAGGCGATTTGGAGAAGGAGTTCTGGCGTCTTAAAAACACTTCGCAGAATGGACAAATCGATCTGCAATTCCTGGGCCCCCTGATAAGTCCACCAATACCAAAAAACGCCCTGGCGGGTCTGTTCAATGCCTTCGATGAGAATCGCGATGGTCACATAGACTTTAAGGAGCTGTGCTGTGGCGTCAGTGCCGCCTGCCGTGGACCTGGGGTGGAGAGGACGAGATGTGAGTACGAAGAATATATCTTCTTCTTTCCAATTAATAACCTTCGTCTCCAGTTTGCTTCAAGATCTTTGATGTGGACCGCGATGGCGTGCTCAGCCACGAGGAGACCCTGCAGATGATTAATGTTTTGCTGCTGGTGGCCAAGGAGAACCGCGATGCGCAGCAGTACAAGGAGCTGACCAAGCAGCATGTAATCAGCGATTTACTAGAATTTGGCCAGCGTCGCAGTCCCGATGGTGAACCCAGCAAGTTGACCCGCGACAATGTCTCCCTAACCGCCGAGGACTTTATGCTGTGGAATGTTCAATGTGATCTTCGCCTCATGCAACCCCTGCTGGACCTCATCTTCGAGCTGTGCCACATAGTCTTTGGCCTTTGGCCGCAATGCAAGCACATGGAGAATGATATTGTCCGGGGTTGGCTGCGACGCGAGGAACGCAGGCCCTATCGTGTAGGTCAGTTCTGGTACTTGATCACCCGCGACTGGTGGCTTGGCTGGACGCAGTACACCCAGCACACGGCACACACCTGCGACTACTGCAAGCGCTCACCCGCCAGTCAGCGAACCGCCGTCGACGAGGCTCTCGTCTGCGATGAGAGCTTTAATACCCACAGCCTAGAGCAGCACGACAGCTACTCGCTGGGTTCTGGAACAGGCTCAGCCACCGGCTCTGGCTCGGCCAGCAGTGGTATCTCCGCGGGTCGCCACTGCGGTCCCGCGCGTCCAGGACCGATTGATAACAGCAACCTGATCACAGCCAATCCGTACAGGAATGTGAGGACTCTCACCGGCGAGGGAGGTCACCTTAAAAGGGACACGCCGTTGGTGCAGAGTCACGACTTTGAGCTGGTGCCCAAATCCCTGTGGAAGGCATTGAATCGATGGTATGGCGACAACCTGCCATTGCCACGTCAGGTCATTCAACCGCCCAACTCGGAGGTGGAACTGGAGCTGTACCCGCTGAATCTGCGTATCCTGTTGCACCAGGCTCAACCCTCTCAGATGGGCGCCGGAGGAGGAGGATCGGGCGCCCAGCTAGGCAGCTGGGGCTCCACAGTAAGCGGTGGCTATGGGGTCCTGGCCTCCGGCGGAGGCTATGCAGCAATAGCAGCCAGCAGCGTGCTGCAACCGCCAAAGAGATATCTGGCCTACACAGCGGCCTTCAGCCGATTGGCCACAGTGCGCCAGGTGGGCGAGTTTCTGTGCGAGCAGCTGCGTCTCAAAGCGGAGGACATACGGCTGTGGCATGTGCCCCAGCAGGAAAATGGTGCCATATTACTCCTGGAGGAAGATGCCATGTGCCTAAAGGAACTTCTTATACGGGACAATGATCAGCTTTTGCTGGAGATACGCAACAAGGATCTCACCTGGCCCGAGGAACTGGGCTCGCTGGCCTCAGCCCAGAGTGGCCAGGGAGCCTGCGGAACCCCAGGAGATCGACGTCGCATGACCCGAAGCTCTATAATGTCAGTACATGCACCGGGAGCCACGGGCCTGCACAACCTGGGCAACACTTGCTTCATGAATGCAGCTCTCCAGGTGCTTTTCAACACCCAACCTCTAGCGCAGTACTTCCAGCGGGAGATGCATCGCTTTGAGCTGAACGCAGCCAACAAGCTGGGCACCCGGGGACAGCTGGCCATGCGCTATGCTGAGCTCCTCAAGGAGGTGTGGACGGCCACGACGCGTTCGGTGGCGCCGCTTAAGCTGCGTTTCTGCGTTAATAAGCACGCGCCGCAGTTTGCCGGCGGCGGTCAGCATGATTCCCAGGAGCTGCTCGAGTGGCTGTTGGATGCTTTGCACGAGGATCTTAATCGTGTGATGGAGAAGCCATACAGCGAGCTGAAGGACTCCAATGGAAGGCCCGACAAGCTAGTGGCCGCCGAGGCCTGGTCACAGCACCATGCTCGCAATCAGTCCATAATTATCGATCTGTTTTACGGCCAGCTCAAGTCCAAGGTCAGCTGCCTGAGTTGTGGCCATGAGTCTGTGCGCTTCGATCCCTTCAGCCTGCTCAGTCTGCCGCTGCCAGTGGAGAACTATGTGTACCTGGAGGTGTTGGGTAAGCCAATGGTGGATTTCATTTCATTTAATGTATATATCCAGGAGCTTCTTTTCGCCAGTTATCCTCCTGGATGGCAGCGTGCCTATAAAGTACGGCTTCCGTCTTAACTCGGAGTGCAAGTATTCGCACATGAAGCACAAGCTGGCCAAGCTCTGCTCGCTGCAGCCGAACTTGATGCTGGTCTGCGAGCTGTGGAACTCCCAGATACGCCAGGTGCTGGCGGACGAGGAGAAGTTGAGAATGCAGAGCGCCAAAGAGCTGTATGTCTACCAGCTGCCCGAGCAGAGCATTCGAACGCGCTCCAACTCTGGGCTTAGCATGCACATTGAGCAAGGACTCAAGGATATACAGCGTAGCTCGGGTAAGCAAAAGCCTGAAGTTGGCCATGAAAACATCATAATGTTTACTTGCACACAGCTCTCATGACAGCCCAGGACACATCGCTGTCCTCGCTGAGCACTATACAGACCTCCACCAGCCAACGTGCCTCATCCCGCGTCCTCTGCAATGGCCATGCCATGGGTCTAGAGGCAGTTGAGGCGGACCACAGCCTTGGCAATGCCAATAATTTCAGCGGTAATGGATGTGGTGACAACCAAGTGCACGAGCTGCTGCCAGATGAGGCCGGAAAGGTAAGCCGGTGCTTTGGAAAGAGAGAGTGCATGCCCCACAGCCTATTCTGCTTCAAGGTATGGCTTCTAAACTATATTAACATACACGTATTTAATATCATCTAGATTTATGTCCCAAGTACTCTTTGGGGCAGTCAATCGTTTCTTAAATTCAGAACTTCAGATCTTACCTTGCCTAGGATAGAGCATTGATTCCAGCCAAGTCGCGCTGTCTTACCTTTTCTCGCTCACCTCCTGAGTCTCTCAATGCGTGCTCTCTGCGAGTTGTTAATGAAAGAGCCTAACGAAAGTAGCTCAAGTGAAGACAGGGAGCCAGGCGCAGCTTGTCGAGCTCTCAATCTAAATATATTAAATACAAATATGTTAAATGAACAGTTGCCGTTTCGTCTGCTGCGTGGTTTGTGGGCTTCCCTCTTTAACTACAACAAAAAATATAAACAAAACTTATAGAGCTGGAAATAAAATCGAGTTTGTAGTCGTGAATACATCAATATACATTTTCTGAATCGAGTTAATCGAAAAAATTCTAGTTAAGTAAAAAGTTAATTTGTGCTTGTTTAGGAATCCAAAAATTCTGGAATTTGGTCTTCTGAATTCCAATGTTATTGCATTTTATAAGTGTCATAAATTTACAATTCTATGATGTAAATTCAAATTTTCGATTTTTTTCGATTTAAATCGATTATTATAATCAACTTATAGAACTTTTTGAGAAAAAATCAAGCTCAGATTTATTGATAAAATCTAAAGAACCATAAATTTATTATTTCTATGATGAAAATCCATATAGAATTTAAATTATTTACGTTTTCAATTATAATAAACTTATTGAACTTATAAATTTTTTTAGAAAAAAAATCGATTCACTGAAAGTTGATTTGTTTCCAGCTCTACCTCTGTATATTCTTCGTACCTTTCGTATTTGCACACTACCAAGTTGAACTTAATTATTTGTAATCTATAATATCTCTCCTTCTACTAATCATATCTAATTTGTTGCTGGCATTCTTCTATCTATGTATATCTATTGTAAATTTTTTGCTTAAACCAAAACCCAAAAAACCGATTCAAAACAATCAACAATTTCAATCACCTTTTTGCTATTCTTTGTTGTTATCTTTTGGTTACCGATCTGGAAGCTTGTGAATTATAATTTACACCTTGTGTAGCTTCTAGTCATAGTTCTCATAGCTCCTTGCGGCGATTTTTCTTGTATTTTTCCCTAGTAAATAGAAATTTTGGATTGTGTTAGATTCTGCTGTTGGAAAATGTTTGTTATTTGTATATTCTGTAGCTATGGATTATTTATGGAAGTCTCATGTACATAATTTAATTAAAGCGTTATATTTTGGGGTAATTACATTTTTGTCAGTATTCTACAAAAAAAATATTACAAAATTGAAATACTTTTAGTTAATTAAATTCTTTTTCACAGTAAAATGTTCACAAAACAGTTTTTTAGAATTAAAACTAATGCAAACTGCGCCTTTCCAAAGTTAGTTTTCATTTTATTTCAATATACAACTTCCTCTTTCATCTCCATATCTTTTGCTCCAATTTTTCACGAATTTGTGTAAAAAAGTTGTAAAATTATAAATAATCATTTTATTTAATTAAATTAAATCAAAGGCCGAACTTGAAATCTCTCATAATTAAGCCAAATATAAACTCTTTTTTTTTTAAGCGGTTGTGTGTTAGTTTTTATTAGTTTAAACAAAACTGCACACTGAATTTAAATTAAAAAAAATCAAAATTTTGAAAATTCTAACGATTTTAACCCCTTATAAAATTATGCCCAATTTAATACATTTTTAGAGCTATCTTTACTTTTTGTGTCGCAATGCCCACCGACACTTCATGAATTAACCCAAAAATAAACCATAGTTATATTTTAAACACCTGCAATAAACAATTTGTACAAATTAAATGTAGAACTTTGGAAGTTGAGCTTTTATCCCATAGAACTATAGATCTGCAGGGGTGCCACAGAAATAGCTCAAGGTTTTTCCTATTTTTAGCGTAATTTTAAGCGCAATTTATATCGAAATAAACCCACAGCTATTTCCCTGGCATCCCTGAATGGTAGATTGTACATTTTACAAGTTGATTGAAGACCCTTGGTTAATTTCGTTGTTACCCCAAAGCTTTAATACACTCATCCATACATACCACACGATACACCCCTATACACACCCACTACCAATCCTGCCAAACTAACCCCGAACTTAGCCTAATCTAAACTAATGAAAACTCTCGGTGCAGGAGTCGCTCATCCTAAGCTCCAGTCCGGAGAACAATTTTATGCAAGGCAATGCAGCTGCCCAGCAGAAGCGAGTGTCCGCCGCCAAGCTGCTGCACACGGAGAGCAACACCAGCTCCATTTCCTACACCAATCACTCCGGAGAGAACTCCATGGAGAGCTCGCTGACGGAGCCCATTCCAATGGCAGTTGACCTGGCGCCTGCGAGCAGCCGGCATGGCAGTGGCAGCGATGACGGATCCTATCGGACATCACCCAACGATTCCAGTGGTTTAAGCTCAACGGCGAACACACTGGGCGCCAGCCTCGAAGCGGATGTGGACGAGCAGGCGGAGGAGGGCAACGAAGAGGAGCCGGATCAACCGGATCAGATAACAACCTCACAGCCGGAGACCAGCAGCGGTGTCTACTCGCGCCGCTCCTCGCAGCCCCACAAGCCGGGCAAGTATCTGGTGGCGGTGCACCGCAAGATCACTCGGCACGACAGCTACTTCCTCTCCTACCACAAGACGCGACCTAGCCTGTTTGGTGTGCCGCTGCTTATACCCAACAACGAGGGAGGGACCCACAAGGACCTATACTGCGCCGTGTGGCTGCAGGTGAGCAGGTTGCTCAGTCCCCTGCCCGCCACCACAGAGCAGGCTAATCATGCCGCCGATTGGTAAGTACAGCAAAACGTTGTAAATATCGAATTTGTTTTAGGATTTGGTTTGTTTTGCAGCGATGACAGCTTGGGCTACGACTTTCCCTTCACGCTGCGTGCGGTCAAGGCGGACGGTCTGACCTGTGCCATCTGCCCGTGGTCCAGTTTTTGTCGCGGCTGTGAGATTCGCTGCAACAATGACTATGTGCTTCAGGGAGCCCTGCCGCCCATCAGCAATGCCGTGTCCAGTGAGTAAAACAAAAAAAACAAAACAGAGTTTTGTCAGTCCTTTTTTTTGCCACAATTTTTGCACCAAATTACCATGCCCCTCCCCCCTTTATTGTAATTATCTAAACCTTTACCTTTAATTTATTTGTTCAGGTACTTCAACGACGCCTAAAATGAATGCTAAATTCCCATCGCTACCAAATCTGGAGACAAAGCGCACCACGCCGGAGTACACCGCCTCGTTGTCGTATACTCCCACAACCAAATATTTCGAAGACTTTACCATTGCCATTGACTGGGATCCCACAGCCGTGCATTTACGCTATCAGAGCACCTTGGAGCGGGTAAGTGTAGCCTGATTCAAGGATATTATAAGGTACTAACCTTCTGATTACCAGCTGTGGGTGGATCACGAGACCATTGCCATAAGTCGGCGGGAACAGGTGGAGCCCGTGGACTTGAATCACTGCCTGCGCGCCTTCACCTCGGAGGAGCAGCTGGAGCAGTGGTATCACTGCAGTCATTGCAAGGGCAAAAAGCCGGCCACAAAGAAGCTGCAAATATGGAAATTGCCACCAATTTTGGTGAGCTTTTTTTGGAAAGTCTTTAAATAAAATCCCATTAATCAAACACCTTTTTTTGGGCTAGATTGTTCACTTGAAGCGCTTTAACTGCGTCAACGGCAAGTGGGTCAAGTCTCAGAAAGTGGTACACTTTCCCTTCGATGACTTTGATCCCACGCCATATCTGGCCTCTGTGCCCCAGGAGACGATATTGCGGCACAAGGAGCTACTAGAACTTAAAACGGACGAAGGAGATGTGATGACACAGACGCTGCCGAGTAATGAAGTTGTCAGCGAGCTGGACGAAATCGAGGCAGCCACCAAGGAGGAGCTGGAAACGCAGGCGAAGCCCATCTCTGCTGGGAATAATATTCTGCGGCAGAGTAAAACCAGCAATGCAGCAAGGCGACGACAACGCCTCATCTCCACGAGTCTCACGAAAACGCCCATAGTGGACGGGGAGTTTGAGGATTATCACCAGCATCGACTCAAGCCGGAGGTGGATGAGTTTGATCCCAAGTACAGGCTCTATGCCGTGGTGGTAAGTCTCCAAGTGTTAACTTAATTCCAGGCAGATACTATTTCCTCCCATTTTTGCTTGCACAGTCTCACTCGGGCATGCTGAATGGTGGCCACTACATTTCCTATGCAGCCAATGGAACTGGTTCCTGGTATTGCTACAACGACAGCTCTTGCCGCGAAATATCACAGAAGCCACCAGTCATCGATCCCAGTGCCGCCTATCTCCTGTTTTACGAGCGCAAGGGTCTGGACTACGAACCGTATTTACCCAACATTGAGGGTCGAGCGCTGCCCAATGCCGCCAGCAGTCTGCAGCTTGAGGTGGACGAGACCGAGGGCGAGCTAAAGAAGCTGTGCTCAATTTCCTAACTGATGATGATAATCGTGGATCATCATCATCCTGGCTATGAAGGACTATATTATATATATATATATTCCCTCTATTCTCCTAAAGATATTGTTCTAAAGTTTTGTGCTTTTGTGCGTTTTGTTATTTACTATTTTAAGCTCAGTTTTGGAAATATTTGCTGCTATTATGTATGCTATTATTTAGTCGCCTAATTATTGTAGTCTTAAGCCTTAATTCTACCTTCTTTGCCAGAGCATGTACCATAATATTGAAGTCCAGCTTGTGTAAATACTTTATATGTTTATTTTCAGTTATTTCCCCTCTTGTTTTGCCCCTTGTTTTTGTTGTATATAATTGTATAATTTAGAATGTGCGTATTGTATTAGGCGCTCTCGCAGTGCCACAGCTATTCCATGTAATTTGTAATTTTAAATTGGTAATTGTTTAATTTGTTTGTTTTTTTTTTCGTTGTGTGTAAATAGATGTTGTAAACAGTTTCTGATATTAATCACACGGATCAGCAATATATATATCAAGACGTTGCACGAATTTCATCGCAGACTCATTACACGATTATCGATTGTGAAGCGAAACAAGTATTGCAGTTATGTCTACTGATTATGTATTTGATATTTACAAATATATATACACACCCCACAGATATATATATATACAGAACTTGACTAATTTATATTAATATACATACATGGAACATGATGATATATTCGAAACGAAACGAAAAGCTATGAATAAAACGCAACTTTTATCGCTTAAACCAAATGCGAATCAAGTTTTGAAGTTTTTCTTTGAGGAGGGAGGGTATTATATAGTTATTATTAGTATTCTAATTTCAAACAGAAGCTCGCAAGTTAATTAAGGAATCATTTCCGACCCTATAAACCATATATATTCTTGATCAGCATAAACAGGGGAATCTTTCTAGACATGTCCGGAAGAAATCGATTTTTTTGCCATTTTTTGCGAAATTTCATAAGGGGTTACATCATTAAAATTTTTGATTTTGATAAAAAATTGAATTTTCAAATGAATGAATTTTTGAATGAAAATGTAGAAAATCTTGCACAGAACAGTTTTCCGATTTAAAATTAATGCTCTTTTGGCCGAGTTATGATATTTTTAATTTTAAAAAAATTAAGAAGTTTTTAAATACAAAAAATCCGATTTTATAATACAAAATAATATTTTTCTAAGTGAAGGAATCATTTCCGACCACATAAACCATATATATTCTTGATCAGCATCAACAGGGGAATCTTTCTAGATCTGTCCGGAAGAAATCGATTTTTTTGCCATTTTTGCAAAATTTGATAAGGGGTTACATCATTAATATTTTCAAAAATACCCAAAAATTTTGATTTCTTTAAATTTTAAATTTGGTATGCAATTTTTGTAGGCTTATAAAAACTAACACAAAACTGCTTTCCGAATCGAAATTAATGCATTTTTGGCTTAGTTATGATATATTTTAATTGTTACCTGCAAGGGTATACAAACTTTGGCTGTTAGTTAGCTTTCTTTCTTGTTATTATTATTATTATTTGTTTTGTATATTTCTATTAGTTTTTTTCCCCTTTGACCGTCATGGATCGATTCCTAATGCTCCAATTTCAAACTGCAAGGATATACATTCCTTTTAACCTTTTCTTTAAACTTAAACCACTCCCAATAAACAAACACAGCTCGTTCTTTGCAATGGAATTCAATACATTTATATATTGTATCTAGATTATGTTTTAATCACATAGTAAGTAATGTAGGTAAATAAGAATAATTATTTAAACTTGTCGTATGTGTGAATCGGCCGCGAGATCCGCCCCGGGAGCATTTCAGGTGTCGTAGCTGATAGCCAGGACAAAATCCAACATCCAACATCCTACCGCCATTCCGTCAAGTGTCAGAACATGTAGAATTTTAATATATTTGTGTGAACGCGATATCGAGATTTCATTGCAAATGATTATCATAAATATATATGTACGTGGGTGTGTGTGTGTTTTGAAATTTAAATTCTTAGCTCGAGAGTAAAGTATATATTTGCATGGAATACGAATACGAATGCGCTTAAACGTAGATATTATTATTGAGGAGAGTGTTGCCTGCCTTGCTTTGCTGCCTTAGGCGCCGGAATTATTCGATAGCTGACCGGGCACCGAGAACTGTGGCCGGAAATTGGCAAAATTGCCAGCCGGTCCGCCAGTGAATGCTGGCAGTGTTGCGCCCTGGAAGCCAGCCGGGAATTGTGCCATTAATTGAGCTGCAAAAGAAATAATAACAATTATTAAATTAATTAAAAATAAGTTTAAAAAATATATGTCTAAAAACCCACCTGCATTGGAGGCATTGCCGGCAGTGGCTGCCAAACGGGAGAGGATCGATCGCTCGGACATCTGCAGGCGCTGGGCCACGGGCGGAATACGTGCTAATGTGGCCGGCAGGCGGGACACATCGCTCTTCATGTCGGACAGCAGCTCCTCCAGCTGGTTGAGCACCTTGTGCAGGACTGCATTCGCAGGCTTGTTGCCCGCCAGCGACTCCTTGCTAAGATGCTGATGACTCTCGGCCAGGCACTCGACCTCGGCAAAGCGGGCATTAAGCGACATTGCCGGATGGCTAGGGTCCTGGGCAAGATTCAGGTAGGCAGCACGCCTCAACTGCTCCTCAATGACCAGAGCCTGCTCCAGCAGCTTGAAGCGGCGGGCCAGGAACTTGTTCTTGATCTCCAAAAAGTTGCCCTTGCCCACGTCCATCTTGAAGGGTTCATTGATTATCGCAAAGCGAATATCGTTTTGGATGTCCTGCCAGCGACCATAGCCATGGGTAACGATCCCCGCCAGCAGCCAGTAGTCGTGGCGACGATGCCAGATCTCATACTCCCGGCCGGGAACCGCCGCCTTCTCCTCGTTGAGCCACAGGGTGTGCAGTTCGGTGAAGCCGCCATCGGCAATGTTGAACATGAATTTGCGCTTAAGAACCTCCAAGCTGTCCTCTACACCAGCCTTGCCGGCGGCGGCGCCAGTTGCTACGGCTGCAGCGGCAGCGGCTGCTTTATGATCCTTGGGTGAACTGGCGCTGGGCTTCTCTAGCTCACCATCCTCTTTGACGATCATTACATCATCATCGTCATCGTCAATCACTGTTGTTGTGGCTGCCAGTGGCTTTTTGTCCTCCAGCTTCTCCTTTTCCTTCTCCTTTTCTTTCTCCTTTTCTTTCTCCTTTTCCTTCTCATTTTCCTTTTCTTTCTCCTTCTCCTTGTTATCCTCCTCTTCGGTCTTGAGCTCTTCCTTGAGCTCAGGTTCCTTGGCCTCTTCCTTGGGCTCTGTCTTGGCCAGCTCGGCCTTGACATCGGCTGCCTCGCTGGCTGGCTTTGTGTCACCTTCTTCCGCCGTTGGCTCCACCTTGACATCTGCGGGCTTCTTGTCACCGCCTTCAGCCTCTTGCTCTTGCTTTACCTCGCTGCTCTTCTCTGGCGAAGCCTTCTCCTTTTCCTTCTCCTTCTCTGAAGAGTCCTTGTCCTTTTCCTTCTCCTTCTCGTCGCCCTTTTCAGAAGCTGGCGCTGGACTGGGTGCCGCACTGGTGGCGGGAGTGGCGCTGTTGCTAGTGGTGGCGCTCTTGTCCACATCAACCTTGACCACGCCTGCTGGTGGAGCTTCTAAAGCCGTTCCAGCATCCTGCTGCTTGAGAGCAGATCTGACCGGCTCGCAGGGCTTCAGGATCAACTCTGGCATGCTGTAGTAACCATTGATGTGCTCGAATTCCTGCACCTTCTTGCGTATGAGGGACATCACACCAATCCGAGTGAGCACATGCTGGCGGGAGAGTCCTTCACGAGGCACGCCATCGGCAAAGGTCTCCGCATTGTCTGCGCCCGGCTCGCACAGATGCCGCATGAACAGCGAGACATAGGCCTTGAAATTCCTCTCTGATTTGCCACGTAAATCCCTAACCAGCCACTGCGAGTTGAAGGCATCCTGGGGAGGCATGCCATAGCGCATGATGGCATTGAGGAAACTCTTTCGCTGGCGGGCATTGAAGCCCAACACCTCGATGTTGCCACCAACGCGAGCCAGAAGCGGGGGCAGGGGACGATCATCGCGACGCTCCAAACGCCGCTTGGCCTTCCTATCGCCGCCGCCGTTCTGGTCATCAAAGTCATCATCCCCGCCGTCTTCATCGGATCCCGCGGAGTACTCTGAATTATACTCGCTGCCATTGTCCTGCCAGTTGGAATCATCCCGAGTGGTGTCTGCAGCCACAACCCCGCCATCTGTGTAGTTGACTTGCTTGCGTACACGCTTGCCCTTTCCCAGGCTGCGTCCCACATCCTCCTGGTGCTGCTCGTAGTGGTGGCGCAGCAGTTTCACCCAGTAAGCGGGATCAGAGTTCTCTGCGTCCTGCTTGATAATCTCGGTCTCCTCCTCCTCTTCCTCCTCCTTGGTGGCATAAGAGGCCACCTTGAAGGATGAGAGATACTCATTTGCCCAGGACTCCTTCTCCTCAATGCCGCGGTTTGTACGATCCAGGAGTTCAGCCACTGCCTTGTCGTCGTAGTGAATGGCCTCCTCCTTGTCATCCTCCTTGAACAGATCCTCGGTACCGAATCTCAGGATATCATCTAGTTCCTGCTTGGTAAAGTTGGCACCCTTGCCGCCCATGCCAGGCCTAACCACCAGATGGGTGAGCATCATCTTCCGCTTGGCCACCTGCGTCACACGCTCCTCCACAGAATTTCGGGTGACAAACCGATAGATCATCACCTTGTTGGCCTGACCGATACGATGGGCGCGGGAGAAGGCCTGTATGTCATTGTGAGGATTCCAATCCGAGTCGTAAATAATGACCGTGTCGGCTGTGGCCAAATTAATGCCCAAACCACCAGCTCGGGTACTCAGCAAAAAGACAAACTGCTGGGCTCCGGGTGCATTGAAGCGATCGATGGCCTCCTGGCGCACAGTGCCCGTGATACCACCATCAATCCTCTCGTATTTGTACTGCTCGCCCTCGAGAAAGTCCTCCAGAATGTCCAGCATTTTTGTCATTTGCGAGAAAATAAGCACACGATGGTTCTGCGATTTGAGTAGCTTCAGCATCTTGGAGAGTAAAACCAGCTTGCCGGCAGCCTTGGTCAGGGAGTTGACCTCGTACAGACCGCCAGCAGAGGTGGGTGCCTCCTCGGCGGCGGAGGGGAAGAGATACGGATGATTGCAGCACTTTTTCAGATCCATCATGATGTTGATGAGGGAACAAGATCCACCGCCGCTCTTGGAGTTCAAAGCCTCGTAGTTTTTGGTGAGGATAAATTTGTAGAATTTTTTTTGCATGGCTGACAGCTCCACACGCACTATGAACTCTGACTTGGAGGGCATGTTCTTCAAGACATCTGTTTTCAAACGACGCAGCATGTGAGGTCCCAGCATTTCATGCAGACGCTTTACTTGCTCCTCCTTGGACACATCCGCAAACTCACCTTGGAAGGCTTGTAAGTCATTAAACTTATCCCGACTCAGGAAGTTGAGGAGATGGAACAACTCCTCCAGGTTGTTTTGCAGAGGTGTTCCCGTCAGCAGCAGCTTGTAGGCTATAGAGTAGCTGTTGAGGATGCGGAAGAACTTGCTTTGGTTGCTCTTCAAGCGATGTGCCTCATCCACCACTAGCACAGCCCAATCAATGCTGCCCAGACAGGCGGCATCCATGGAGATTAGCTCGTAGCTGGTCAGCAGGACATTGAATTTGTACTGCGTCGTACGCAGACGGGAGACTTTGCTTCCCCGTATAGCGCCCTCCTCGAAGCTCAACTCGTTCTCCCTTATAACCGCTCGCGAGTCCTTGTCGCCTATGTAGGTAATGCAGTAGAAATCTGGAGCCCAGAGTTCGAATTCACGCTCCCAATTGACCAAAGTGGACAGAGGCACAGCCACCAGGAAGGGTCCCCTACAGTGGCCCTCTTTGTATAGGGAATACAGGAAAGTCACCGTCTGTATAGTCTTGCCCAGACCCATTTCATCGGCCAGGATCGTATCTATGCTCTGGCCCCAGCTGTAGCGCAACCAGTTGATGCCCTCAATCTGGTAAGGATGCAGTTGCATGCCTGTGCCCTCCAGGAAAGCAGGCTGACCCTCGTACTTCTTCTTCAAATCCGTGGTGGGTTTCTCCGGCGGTGGGGTATAGTGCTTCACCGGCCGATCATCATCATCCTCCACCTTGAGCTTAGACTTGCGTCCCTTTTTGCTCTTCTTGCTGCTGGAGCGTGTGTTCTCCGAGGTGCAGACAGCTCGCAGATCCTGATAGTAGTCAATGGCCTGTCTGAGACCTTGTATATCATCGCCCTCCTCTTCCCAAGTGGATTTGTCATAGGGCAACTCACGCCATTTAACCAGATACATGGTGCTGCCATCCCTGGCCGTCCTATGGTTAATGACCCTCTGGACAATAAGCCACTCGGGCTTAACGCCATTCTTGTAGAAGCGTTCCTCCAGCTGCTCCACATCATCCTCATCGGCCTTCATGCCCACCTTGTCCTTGTGTCGTTGGATACGCTTAAACCGAGTATCCGCCTCGTCTAGAGACTCCTCAAACTTGGGTGGCTCCTCCATATCATACTTGCGCTGGAAAGAGCGAATCATCAGAGGATGATGTACGTCCAATTGGACCTCAGGCACCCATTCGCAGTGCCAATAAGACATGTTGTGCCACTTGATAAAATACTCGCGAACCCGAGAGTTGCCGCTGCTCTTGGAACCTTTAGAAGTGGAGGGACCATCGTCACCGGCACGCACTGCCCAGCGCCAGGTGATGATCTTCTCTGCCTTGCCAGTGAGAGGCGGGCAACTGCAGCGCGGACAACGCCAGTCGCCATCGGGTATGGTGTCCAGTGGGGGATTCAAGCAGAAAGTGTGATAAGCCGAGGGGCATGAGTCGCAGCAGAGCAGTTCGCCGCCATCCTTGCACACGCGGCAAAACTCCTGGTGCTCATCATCGTCCTCCTCCTCAGCGGCACCACCATCAGCCTCGCAGTGCGGGCAAGACCACTTGCCCTCTGGTGGCTCATCCAGCTCTGGTTCCAGGCAAACCAAATGGTAAGCCCTAGGGCAAGTGTCGCAGAGTATAATCTCGCCACCTTGCTGGCACACCTCGCAGTAATCCTGATGCTCATGCTCGCCGTCCTCGCCCTCGGGAAAATTCTTGGTCTTCTTCAATTTGTTCTTTTTCTTGAACTTGTTGCCAATCTTTGTCTTGGCCTTTTTGCGCACCACAGGAGCTCCATCATCCTGAGCAGCAGCTGGGGTAGCCGAATTGTCTGCCTTGGAGGAGGAGCCTGAGGGTGCCGCTGCTTCCTTTTCGTCGGCACTATCGTCGGACTTTTGGAGCATGCGTTCAAACTCCAAATCCGAGTCACGTTCAGATCCACCGCTGGCATCTTGCTCGTCGTCGGAGCTGTCGCGCTTGCGCTTGCCCAGCTTGATTTTTAAAGTGGGCACCTTGCCAGAGGGTCGTCGACCCTTTTTGCCTCGCCCGCTACGCTTGCGACGTGGCTTCTTTAGCTCTTCCTCCTCCTCTTCTTCCTCCTCTTCGGCTGCCTCCTCGTAAATGTCGTCGGGCTTCTCGTTGCGAGAGGAGCGCGATGATCGGGGCTCATCTCCCGCCTCATCACCGGCCACACTGCGCGCCTGTCCACCTGAGTTGCCGGAGCCCGCGCCAGCACCACTGCTGCCCTCCTGCTGGATGTGAGGATTGCTCTCGCAGAACTCACGCCACTTGGCGGCCACCAGCATCATCAGTTTGGGGGCAGCAATTTTGGGATTCTCCTTCTGCAAAATGGGACGCACATGCTGCATGAAAGCCTTGTAGGTGGTGAGACTCTGCAGCTCCTCCTCGCTGTACTCGATGTCCACGTCGCACACGCTGAAGGCCGAGCAGACGTCCTCCACGGAGGGCATGCCTGGAAAATGGGAAGAAAATTAATGAGGAAGGGGGTTTACATGTATTAGAATTTGTAATCCTTACCAGATGAAGCAGATGATTCCTTCTCCTTGGCCGCCTGCTTCTCCTCCTTGCGCTTACGACCACGCTTTGAGGTACTGGGATACTCCACCTCCTCATCGTGCTGCTGCTGGACAAAGTCACTGTCCTCCTCGCTCTCGTTCTTCTTGCGCTTTTTCTTCTTGCGACCCTTCTCCTCGCCCTTTCTGGTCTTGCGCTTCTTGCCCTTCTTCTTCTTGCGATTATCCTCGGGATCGTAATCGTCATCCTCGTCATTCTATCCCAAAATAAATTGTTATTATGATGAAAACTGAAAAGCTAAAGCCAAAGGTTGTCACTTACATTAGGCTTTAAAGGCGCATCCGAATCGTTGGAGAGTTCAGCCACCTGAGCATTGTCCTCCTGCGCCTCTTCTTCTTCTAAACAAGGTAAAAGTTAAGAGTATGATTTCTTATTAGAGATCTTCTACAAAAGGTGATCTGTGTCTGCAAACACGATCGCTGTTTTACCGTGGGTCATGTTCAAGGCGCATTAGTTTCAGATTCAGATTAGGAGGGATTGCTGCAAAAATGGATATATCGAAACTGTATCGAAATAAATCGATACTTTAGCGGTGCGATATACAGGCGAGAGATCGATATTCTGTTTAATCGAATAATCGAAAAAAAAATTAAATTAAAAACCTCTTCTAAGATATCTTTCGAAATCGTAGTAATATATTTGTCCTTTTTTTAATTTTTATATATTTTCTTTTTATTAATATATTATTATGTATATTTATGAGTTCCAGACTTCTAACTGAAATGTTAAAACCTGCAAAAATATAATAAATAAACACAGTTTTTTTTCGATTCAATATTTTATTTGATTCTATTTTTTATATTTTTTTTCTTGTTTTGATGTTTTTTTTTTAAGTTTTCTTTCTTTCTTCTTTTGTTTGTTGTTTGTTTGTGGTCTTAATAATTACTAGTATATAACAATATCTCGTTTTTTTGTAAGATTTTTCATTCTGCTGGTCTTGTCAGCGGTTTTGCTCTTAGATTTACAATAATAATAATAATAATAATAATATTTTTCTCATGTCTCTTGATCTGGTTTCTACTCCTTCTCCTTCAGTTTTATCGGCTTACACACAATCGTCGTTAAACATTAATCGTTAATAAGTTCCTTCTCAATTGCTGTTGTATGTTGTTAGTTCATGTGTTGCTGTGTGTTGTTGTGGGCGTGGGCGTGGCATTAATGTATTTATAAAACTAGTAAGTTTTCGTTTGTTTGCTTATCAAATGTCAATGTTGTATATAATATATATATGGTGTATATATTTAGTTTTCTTGTATATAAATTGTATATGATTTTGTTTTCTTGATTTTGTAATTGCTACGAATCGATTTTAAACGCTTGATTTTTTGCAACTTGATCTCATCATTGTTTCATTTGATTTTCCCATTCGTTTGTTTCTTTGTTTTTTCTCCCCTCCCTCGCGACTATACTTAAATATCGTATATAAAAAATATTGCAACGAAATAGCTAAAATTTCATAAGGTTCTTCTCATCAATTTCGTGTTACTTTTCTTTTATATCCTTCTCCTCAATGCTCTGTCTTGTTAGTTTTCCTATCAAGATTTTTTTTTTTGGACACTAGAGTTGTTTCAGCAAATTATTTTATACTTTTTAAGCGACTGACTTCGTTACTATCTCTTCACCTCTCACTTTTGCCTGCTTTTGTTGTTTTGTTTTCGTTACTATTTTACTTAAGGAAGCTTAGAGTTGTTCTAAAACTAAAAGCAAACAACTCAGGGGGTCGCAGTATATAGCTGTGATACAACCATTAAGTATATCATTTCTATTAGTCCTCTCATATGTAGTTTTTTGAGCAATGATAACATGTGTCTGAAAGCCGCAAATAAAACACATATTTAATGTTTTTGTTTCTAAAAAGTCCCTATGGTTGAAAGGTATTTTAAAATGTTAGAAAATATACCAACGCACGCTTCCGATCGCAAAACAAAAAATGGTTGTAAAATCAAAAACACAAATATATATATATATATAACAAATTAACTATATAGTTATCTACATAAAACAAAAGATTTTTTTCACTACACAAGCCGTTTTTAAAAAGTTCAGTCTATTGTTTAGAGGCACGCCCGCATGCAACACCACTAAAGTGAAATATATATAATTTACACACATCCGATCTGCCAGTCACATTTTAACGGATAGGTAATAGGTTTAGGGAGTACAGTACCAAGCTTTGAAAATTGATTTTTCACTTCTTAATTGAAGAAAGAATTTTATTAAGTTGAACATTAAGCACAAATGTATGTAGCATAAGGAGCTGATTCCTTGATTTGTAGTTAACATTTGTCGAATCGATAAACTTGAATTTGATTCTTTTATGTGTAGTTTAGATTTGTCCAATTGATAAACTTGTATTTAAAGCACTTGAAAGTGCGAAAGTAAATTTACTACAATTTTTATATTTATCGAAAGGATAGCATAAAAAGTGAGCGTTAGCCGTAACGGGAGATTCGGCCCGTACAACCTTAAGAACCCTGTTACCTTTCCCTTTACCATGTGCACTTGGATTCTTTTTCAGTTTCTGCGGTGCTATCATCTTTATCTCTATAGCTGTCGTGTCAGTTTCGTCGGTTACGGAATTTAATTGTGGTCATCGTAGGCCTAGGCAAACATTGGCTCAATATCAGTTAACTCTACTCGCAGCCGCAGCCCAGTCCCGGATCCCCATCCCGATCCCAGTCCCACACTGTACAGATTCTGAGATTCAGAAAGCAGGAAACAGGACTATTGGGCCTATCTCTCATTCTCTCTCGATCTCTTCCTTCTCTATACACACAAATCTAAAACAAAAGCTATGCCCCAAAAATGCAAAAAAAAATGTTCGATGAGTGTGTAGTGGGTGTAGGTATGGTGTGTGTCTGTGTGAGTAAGTGATTAGTGTGGTCTGCCGTTGTTTGTAACAAAAAATCAAGAATACAAATAAGAAGAGTCTAGATTAAAAACGAAAAACGTACAGGCTATATTTAAAAGTTGATAATAATAATATTATAATAATAGTAATAATGATTATTACACGCACAAAAACGCAAGGTAAACATTGTGTTTTTTGCCTTCATTTAGTTACTTATTTAAGCTGCTCAATATATATGCTCAACAGAAAAATTAAGTCTACAACTCGTGTATATTTTGCTTTTGCTTTTGCCTCCATCATCCTCGTCTTCCGTCTTCTCTTGTTATGTACTCATGTGTTTATGTGTGTATATAGTTCATAGATGCAGAACATCATACACTTATTCTTGTAGTTTAATTTAAATTTAAAAAATTTACGCAAAAGTTGTAATTTTTCGTTTTGTTTTTGTTAACATAGTTTCAACATTTTTTTTGAAGATTTTTTTGTTGTTGCTGTAGAACATTTTCTTGTAGAACGTTTTTGTTGGTGTTTTTCGGTTTTGTTGGTTGTTGTTTTTTTTTTTTTGTGTTGTTTTTCGTCATTTTTATAAGATTGTAGTGTTTGTTGTAATAGTCTCTTCCACGTTTTTTTTTTTTTTTTTTTGTTTAGTTTTTATTTGCCTTTTTACATTGCGGGGATCAGTGTATCTTGGAGCTGCAAAGTATAAAAGTTTTCGATACTTGGATGTTTTTCCAGCTCTAGAGTGTATGTATATTGAGTGTCATCGGGTCATCGAAGCAGTTCCAGCAGGATCAATAGCGGCGGGCCTCATCGTCATCTGTATTGGAGTTGGAATCATCGCAGTCCTCTTCGTCATCATCATCGTTGGAATCAGAGCTGTTCGAGCTGTCATCAGAATCGCTATCGTGCTGCTGCTGCTGGGGATGCTGCGGATGGTGTTGCTCCTGTGAGTGATGCTGTTGGGGATGATGGCGTTGTTGCTCTTGCTGCTGCTGGTGTTCTATCGTCTCAGCCGCATGGTGTTGCCTTCGCTGCTGCTCCGCCAATCTGTCGGCTGCCTCGGCCACCGCTGGATTCGGTGGCACCATCGCCGTTGTCGTCGCCGCCACATTATTGGAGGCTGCACTCATTAAAGTCTTGTCATAATCCGTCACCAGCTGCTTGATGTGCGCCAGCTTGGCATGCAGGTAGTCGAACCTTTGCTTGTCCTCGCAAACAGTGCGATCGTTCTTGATCCTTTGATATTCGCACACTATCTGGTGCTTGATGTGATCGTAGTCGCCATACCCAGAGTCACTGATCCGGGCGCTTTCCAAGCGCTCGGACAAGTCCTGGAACCGATTGCGTACATCCTCAACGCGGGTCAACAACTTGCAGTACTCATCGTAGTCGCTCTCGAACTCAGTCTTGTACCTACGCCGCCCCTCGACCGACTGGATGGGAACGAACTGGCTAAAGTCGTAGCGGGGCATGGACGAGGCATCCGTGTCCGCCGTGGCATGCGCGTAGGCATGTGCGGCAGCTGCCAATTGTTGCGTGGGCGATGGATGCTGCTTGGCCTGCTGATGATGGTAATGATGCTGCTGCTGTTGTTGCGCCTGTTGCTGCTGTTGCTGTTGATGATGCACTTGCTGCTGTTGCTGGAGGGAGGATCGCGAGTTGGAGGACGAGGAAGAGTTTGGTGGTGGCACTTGCTGATACCCCGAGTTGGAGGAACTGGAATTCCTTTGACGCTGACCACTGGGATTACCACTACTACTACTCGTCCGTTTCTTGCTGTTGGAGGCAGCATGTTGCTGCGTGTTGTTACCATTGCTGTACGACGAATTGTATTCACTCTGCTGGGGTGGCATTCGCTGCTTGCTGGGTCCGGATGCTGCAGCGGGCACAAAGCTAGCCGCTAGCTTGGGAGGCGTTGTCGCGGTAGAGGAGGAGGCTGAGGCGGATGATGACTTGTTACTGCTGCGGCTAGCCGACATCGTTGATGCCGTTGCCCGCTGCTGCCTTTCCTGTTGCGTTTCATAGCCACTGGAGCTGCTCGAATTGCTGCCTGTGGAGTTGCGCTTGTCCTTGTTTCCATTGACCCCATTGCTGGCCGCGCCTCCATTGCCAATTGAGGAGCTGCCTCGCCGGCTGCTGCTGCTACTGCTCCTTGGATGAATATGCGTTTGCTGCTGATGCTGCTGTTCCATCGATGCTTGGTGCTGCGTGACTGCTGCTGCTGCCGTCGAGCTCATAAACTCCTCCATGTTGTCCAGCACATTGTAGCTAAGATCACTGGTGCTGTGATCATCCAACGGTCCAGGTTGGCGCTGAGGCGGCGTATAACGATTCCGGCTAGAGTTCATTGAGGAACCCAGCATCGACATCGAACCGGAGGCTGAGGAGCTTGAGTACGAGGTCCCCGATGGCGGAGTGTCCTTTTTGTAGTGACTGATGCGCTGCTTCTTGGGCTGAACAGTGCTAAACATGGTCTCGTCGTACTCGAGGCTGGTGCGCTTCATGCTGCCTCCGGCTCCCCCAGGCCCAGCTCCGCCTGCGCCGCTGTTCGAGGGCGGCGGCGGACTGCCGGTGTGCGTCGATGTGGGACTCTGACCAGACGTCGAGCTACCCGCATCCGAGCTCATCGGAGGCGTTAGATTCTGGGGCTTGCGGCGCTTCAATTGCTGCAGCTCCTGCTCGCTGAAGAACTGCCAGTTCTCGTCCACATCATTCCACATCTGACGACGCAGATTGTACGTATTGTGCGACATGGTGCTAATGTCCATGAGTATGTTAGTAATCTGGTTACGCTCCCGATCGCGGATGCCCTCATTCTTCAGTCGGGCAAACAGTTCGGGCTTCTTAAACGCCTTAAGGGCTAGCAAATGGATTAGGCGCTCGCGTATGTTGCGCCTAGACACATCCGACATCTTGTTGGCGCCCGAAGACTTGTTGTTGGCACTCCTGGAGGACGAAGACGAGGTGAGACCTCCCCCTTGCTGCATTTTGCTGCGTCCGTTCGCCGAGGAAGAGGAATTAATGGCTGATGCTGCTGACGACGCCGCCGCTGGCATTGCATCCCTTGGCGAGCTGCCGCTCAGGTTATATCCATGCGAGATGCCGTTGGCAAACGTAGAGGCCAGCGATGTGGCGGCTCCACCACCAACACCACTGCTGCTGCTGCTAGTGCCGCTGTGGTAGCGACCATTGACTGTGCCGCTGGCGCCCAGCGTGCTGGGATTGGGCGAACGTGAGGCATATGCGGCGGCGGCGGAGGAGGAGCCGCCGTTGCCTCCCAAACCTACGCCTAGGCCATTAAATGGCGATGAACCTAACTTACGACTATGGTTGTTGTTGCTATTAAAACTATTGCTGCTGCTGCTGTTGTTCCCACTGTTGTTGCTGTTGCTGTGATGGTGAAATGCCGTCGTCGTCGAACCAGAATTGGAGCTTGAGGAGGAGAATGCTGAAGCTGCGGCTGAGGCGGAGGAGGATGAGGATGACACTGAGGACGTTGGCTTTTTCACCTTACGCCCAATATCCGACTGATTTGGCTTAATCTCCCGAATGCACTTGCTCTTCTCCGTCTCCTCGGCTTTGGCCATTTTTGTGCGTGTCGTGTCGTAGACATCGTCGTTCGCATGAATTCGCATCCGCAGGGTGACGGCACCGAGGACTCCCAGGTTTTGTTGCTGCTGCTGGACGCATTCCAGCGTTCCCTCCATGTTGTTGATGGTGAAGCCAAATTTTCGTCCACCGCCGCCGTTGCCGCCGCTGTCATTGCCATTAGCATTGCCATTAGGATCCGTCGCTGCTGGACGCGACGGGAAGTGTATGAAACCGTCGTTGCCAACAAACTGGATCTTAGCCCTTTGGTTGGGCTGCAAACGCTTGGCATTGTCATCGCGCTGATACTCCTCGATCGCACGGAAGGCGGAATCGGTGAGCTTGACAATGATGTACTCCTTGCTATCATCGTTGTTGTAGCGGTGGCTCTGGGACATTCCATAGTTGCCGGTCGATAAAACATTGGGCGGCAGGCATTTCGTTGACGCAATCGAATTGGTCATAACGTGCGCGCAGCTAGCCGCCAATTGGGTCGCAATAAATGTCGTCCACTTTCCTCTGCTCGATCGGTTAACTTCTTGTGATCTTGCTAATTGCTTCAGTTGCTCCTGCTCCTGTTCTTCCAAGATTTCTTTATTTGTGGTTTCTCTTCTTCTAGCTGTGGTTTGGCCAGCTTGAAAAATGTTGAAGGTAGCGGTTCTTGGCTGGAAGTGTACACTTTTGAGTAGGAAGGGGGAAGCACACGTTGTGTGGAAGGAAGTCTATCGCGGAGGTGACCCTGGTCCTGGAAGCTGCCTGGAAGTTCTGCTCTCCTGCGTCTGTTGTGGTTGTTGTTGTTGGTTCTGTGCAAATAATGCCTGAATTTAGTATGTTGTAATCGTAAACGCGAAATGTACGTTGTTGCTAAGACGTGACACACACATATGCACAGCTCTATTTGCTCTCTCACACGCACACCCACCAACACCTGAACACGGTATTGTAAATGTCTTTCTTTTGCTTTTCTTTCGTTTTTCAAGCTGAGCTTACAACAAATAAATATTTTTTGAATTTCAAATGCAGGCTGGCAATACACAACACTCTCTTTGTATTTGTATTTCTTCACGGTTTCGAGAATTTCACTTCCGTAATTTGTAAATTTTTTTATACTTTCAAAAAGTATTGCGCTCTCTTTGCCTCTGCCTCTCTAAATCTCGATCTCACTGTCTCTTGCTCTCTTTGCCGTTGGCATGTGTATGTGTGCGCTGATTGCAAATAACACAATTTCTTTTGTTAAATAATATGGTATTTTAATTGGGTTAAGGTAGGCAGCATGTATGCTCGCTCTGTCCCTGTTTCGGTTTCACGAGGGAGAGAGACGGGGCGGCGGAAGGCTGGCTGTTGCCTTTGCCACTGCTCTTATCCGTTCCTTGTTGTTGCTTCCACTTTTTTTTTGTCTTATTCAAAGTGCCGCAAGCAGCAGCGACTCCTGCGCCAGGTGCCAAAGCGCTGTCTCAGTGGGTGCGTGCCTGCCTGCTCACTCACTCACTTGCATATAGGTATGTACAAATATTTGTATGTAAGAGAGCACCTCAGGTCAGTCGGCGGCCATAAGCAAAATCAAAGACAGCAAAAGCAAGCAATCAAATCAATGCTGCTGGCTGCTCGCACACGTCCGTGACTGCTCTCGCTCTCGCTCTGGCCCACTCTCTCGTCGATCGTGGTCGAGCGCGTTGAAGCGAGACAACTGCTGTTTTGATTGGCTTCTCCGCAATTGTTGTTGTTATTATTGTTTTTGCTTCTGCTGCTTGATCATTTTTCTTTTCGTTTTTTCGCTAAAAATCATCTGAGTTTGTACGTTGATTTTTATATATTTTACTGCTGCTGCTACTTTGGCTCTGTTGCTTATTATATTATTTTTTGTCCACAGCTAGTATATTAGTTGCACATAGATACACATAAGTACGTTTTTGTCAATCAAAGTGTGTTTTTGTGTGTGCGCACACTCACTTGTAGGCACATATCGTCGTTTCTTTGCACACAAGCACACGAAATTGTTGTTCAGTTTTCAGCACTTGAAATGTTGTTAAATTTTTGTAATATGCCTTTTTTAACCACTTTACTTTTGGTGCTTCGGATGCACTGGTATTGGGGTGCGCTCGCACACACTCACACAACTTACGCTTTACGCGTTTTTCGACTCTTTAACTCAAGACATTTTTGGATATTTGTGGAATATTTTATTATTTATTTTTTTGGCACTGGTTTTGTTTATTTTATTGTACGTTCTTTGCAATTGCAGTTTGTTTGCTGCTGTTTCTTTTGTGTGGGGGACACTTTTGCAGTGTGTCTGTCTGTGAGTCCCAAGGTATCTTAATCAACGTACAAAAGGTATCTGCTAAATGAAATCGAAACGAGTTGCTTTCAAGTGGTTGCCCGTTGCTTGCTCTTGGTCTTGTTGTTGTTGCTGCTGCTCTCTTTGCTCTCTGGGGTGCACTCGTTTGTTACAAGTGCGACAGAGCAGCGAGTGAGTGATCGTTCTCTTTTTCGGTCACACTCTGGTGTGTGCTGCTGTGCGACTCTCTTAGCCTCTCGTCGCATTCGGAATGTACGTGCCTTGTATCACTTGCTGTGTTTTTCCTAATTGTTGTTGTTCTTTTTGTAAGTGAGCGAGATCGAAGAAATGAAAACAAGTTTGCAATTTTATGTGCGCACTTGGCAGTCGTCGACGTCTCATTCCGTTGTTAATCTCTCTTTTAGGTTGTGTGGCTCTTCTGAGATGTGCGTGTCGAAAAAAAAGTAACCTGCAGCCCTGCACGTCTAAGCATATACATTTGAACATATAGGAAAATACATATAAATCGCTTACGTTATATATTTGTGTATGTGTTGGTTGGCTGGAAAAACTGCAGACGGCACTACAAAAAATAGTTGGGCTTAATAGTGTGATTAACAAGCAAACAAGCGCGGAGTACTTACGATTATTGTATTTCTACATAAAACCGATTTTCTCGAGGCTGTTCTTTGTTGTTCTTGCTGTTGAAACAGCTGTTTTACCACCTGTATGCCCCCACCACGTCACACGTTGTAGTTTCTGCTCTTTATCTCTGGTCTCTTTTCCTTTCTCTTCTATCCCTTTCACGCTCGCTCCGCTACGGGGCAGCGAAAAAGTTTCCTCGGCCCAATAAACCAAGCACAGCTACTGCAACAACAACAGGCCGCCCGTCTCAATCAGCTGTTTTCGCTCACTCGCTCGCCGAGCAGTGTTGGTTAGTGACAGTTATCGATTGGCGGAGGGTGGTTTTTGCTATCGGAGGGGCAGCAATCGATAAAGGAAGCAACACCAAAATGAACTTTAAATTGGACGTTGACTTCTTGTTGGCATATATACATTTACGTAGCTGCACTAAAGGTGTTGTTGTTACTGCTACAGATGCTGCAAAATGTTGACCAATTTTAGTATAAAATCACGTTTATGGCATTGTTGGCATACTTGGTAGGTTGATTGTTGCTTTTCTGTGTAAGTGTTGTATTGGTGATTTCTGCTCTGGTGCGTTCTAGTTTTGACTTATTTTCTCTTTTACTTTTCACTCTACACTTTTGATAAAAAAAAAGAAAGGAAGCACTTGAGTATTTTGTTTTTGCATTTTCCACTCTCCCATTCAAACGCGAAACCGTTACTTAGGCGTTTTGTTTGTTTTGCGTTACGCGGCCGCTGCGATCATACGTTTTCCCGCTCAGCTGTTTTGTGTTTACGTTACTACGTAGGGTTACTCGCTCGTTGTGTTCATTTGCACTCTCATGGTAACTCTCTTATTTTAGATCACTCTCTTAAGATCGCTCTCTCGATAGAAAGAGAATCCCATGCCGAGCTAAGAGTACGCTCCCTGTCGCTCCATCATATTTCTGCCATTTGTTGTTGTTTTTTTGGTTCACTTTTGACATTTTTGCATATGAAAATTTTCCGCTTTCAGGTAGATTTACCGTAGCGCTGATCTTCTAACTCGCCAAAGCGCGCGCCCGTGTGTGTGCGTGTGATTTTGTTTTGAGTGTTGTTCACATTTTCGCCGTGCCTGCTTTTCAGTCTACCGTTTTTGCCTGGCTTATCTCTGTTTGTTTTGTTTTTGTTGTTTTTTGCTAGGAATTTGAGCCGCACACAAACACACACTAATGCAAACCCGAGCGTACGTACGGTAAGGTAAGAGCGGATGTATTCAACAATGAAACTACAAAAATATATTTCTATTTCGTTTTGCCCAACTGCCAGTGGGTAAAACAGTTAAACAGTCAAGGGCGCACACCTGCCCGTGGGAGTGAGGGAGAAAGCATCAAGTCCATGGAATAAACGAAACGGAGGAACGGGAAGATGAGAAGAAAACCCCCGACGACGACGAATAAAACTCCCCCTCCCCACGTACATTTCAAAATATCCAAAAAGTAGCCTAGAAAAAGAGTCAAATATAAAAGCCAAACTTCGCCAAGGTTAAAAAAAACTCTATTAATAATACACAGCTGTGGTCATAAAAATAATAATAATTCTATGGCAAAAACTTGATTTTAAACTAAGAGGATTTTTTTTAGAACGTGTTTATTCCATTCAATCAATCTGACCGCAAACGCGAGTTTTGCAATATCTGGTAAATTAAGCAAGTGTCATAAAATAACAGATTGTTGTAAGAGGCACAAAATTTTAAACTTCTTAAAATGCGCTCTAAGGCTCACTGAGAGGGTTGGTTTTGATAAAAATCTCTTCCTTTTCCCTCATCTGGTGTTTCCAGAATGTTTTCTTCCTCAACAATGTAGATACAAAACAACAACTGCTACGCTGAAGGGTAACTTAAAAGATTCAATCAATATATTAATACTAAATGCACTTTCAAGTGCTATTTAACTCTCCTACATAGTAAATAGACAGCTCTCAGTCTCTGCTGATTCTGTGGTCGGTGGTGTGTGCGTGTGCCTCGGTAACAACAAATTCGCAGTCAACTTTAAACAAATTAGCTGAAATACATACATACAAACGTATACATTCAACCGTGCATATTGTGTGCATGTATATACATAGGTAAAACCATAAAACCTCGCAGACACCAAAAGAGAAATAATACAATTTCAAGTTTCGTTTTTGTTCAAATAGCATTGAGGGGAAAAACGGCGAGAGGCCAATGCACTGATATATACAGCATAAAGAGTGACGACGAGGTGATGTGAAGAGCAGGAGAGGTAAAGGAAGAGGTGGATCAGGGTCATGGGACAGACACGGACAGGGGTAGGGACAGGATAAGGAAACGCGAGGATCTCGGCAACAGCTGGCCGCAGGCATCAGGAGTCGTCAACCGCTCAAGCAACCACCAAAAATATGAAACAAAGAACGGACAAAAGTAAAAGGATAAGACTATATGATACCCAGAATTCATAAAAATGTTTAATGGATATAGTAGGGAAAGATAAATGGTCTGATAATAGCTTGGACACAGATTTTTAAGGGAGAGCCTGACAACGAAAACTATCTAGAGACCAAATAAATGTGAATGTTTTGTAGTTTTTAGTTCTGAGGGATTGTCCTTTGATGATGTCTCTATTAGATTTAATCTATTTAAACAAATGATCCTTATTTAAACAGGAACTTTCTTTGAAATATTACTTAAATTTTAATTCACTCCAAAAATAATAAAATAAATCACATCTTTAAAATACGGTCTTCTTCATAATTCAAGTTGCATATAAGAAGTAGTCGCTTCACCAAAAAAAACCAAAATACCCTCGGTTATCTACGAGGTATTACAAATGGAAACTTTTGGAAAAAAAAGAAAAGGAAGAAAAACGTGTGCAATGGAATGCTCAAAAGAAAAGGCAAACACACACGTTCTTAGCGAGCACACACCCCTACCAGCTAGGTGACTATGTAAAAATGTATAATCTCACGGGGTGAAAAATAGATGACACACTCGTCTCCGCCTCTCTATGTTGTGTTGTTGGTTCTTTTCTCATTTCTCAATGTACGAATGTAGTTGTGTTTGTAGAGCGATGCAGCTGTCAGCTGTGCACGAGCAGTTTTCTTTGTGCTACAGTTGTTCTTCGTAAGAGCAACAACAACAAGAAGAGCCCAGTGATAACAATAACCAATGAGGAAGTGGGGCATCAAAAGCAACAACAAAAGCACTGCGAAGACGGGCCTCTCAACCAACTACGTATATAAGTTAAATAGTTTCTTGGGAAATCTTTGCAAAACCACATAGTTGCAACCCCCTATAATCGTATACCAGAGCGATCGACCGATTGATCGATAGAAAAATGCAAGCAAAACCTTTGAACAGTTAATTAAACACAGAGGTTCTTATCTGGAAGATTGTAAATAAATAACTTAGACTCTAGGTCCTAGAGAGATCATATAAGAAAGAGTCTATAGCAAACCATTAGTACTTTCCAGTGCTAACTAGTAGACATTTCAATTAGAAAAAGCTCAATGTTATCTTATCAAAATTGAATTAATATATTATATGTATAAATGTAGACACATAAGCTTGTGGTCATTTCAGAACTCTCAGAAATTAAGCTCAAAATTAAGCAGAAATTAAGAAACTGAAATTAAACCTAATCCACATATACATACATATATGTTAATAATCCCTAGATAGATAGATCCAAGACGAATGCGTCGTGCCCCATCCAATTTACTAACAGGCACCTACACCTTAAAATCGATGAAAAAATTGAGGAAAACAACAAGCGTACTTGAAATGCAACCGACTGAGAGCAATAACGGCTGCGACACTTGGTTCGCTATACATACATAGTAAGTAAACGTCAAAGTAGTATATACGGTCGGCGGTGTACAAGTGTGTGGAGTGAATAATCAATTGCCGAAGCCGCCGCGCCGATAATGATGATGGCAAACCAACTTGGGGGGGTCGGGGAAGAGATCTGTGGGACTGGGGACCGGGTATAGCGATTCCGGCAAATCGACGCATGCCTTATTGGTAATTACCCACACGGGAATCCCAAAATGCCATTGGACATTGAACATGTACGGCCAAAGTAGCGAAAATATATTTCGTATTGTTTTTCCCCCATCATTTCGGTGCATTTTCAATATCGGGAGAGTCAGGCAAACAAACCCACTCTCTCGCACACACACGCACACATCTATTTTATATAATAAAAATGGCAATATTTTAAATTTTATCTTCAGCGCTGGGCTATTTATAGTCCGAAAACGACGACAACAGCAACAACGGCAGCAGCACCCACAACACAAATGCTCTCTCTCAGTGCCTGTATTTATTTGCCCCGAGAGTGTGAGTCATACATCAAGTGGGAAATATTTTACGATAAAAGGAAAACAATAAAAAATAAAAAAGGTGCTAAATGCACATCAAGTTCAAAAAGTTCAAGCCTTGTTGTGCTCACAAATTCGCTTTAATAAAAGTAATTTAGAATTACAATTCGACATTTATTTGCAAAGCAAGCAATTCTTTTTCCTGTTACTTAAAAAGTTAATTCTATAGTTTTTACAAGTATAATATCAGGTAATTAATATATCAAATCCTATTATTTTTTATTTTAAGTTTATAGTAAGAACGATATAAAAGATATCCGATTGTTGCTTTGCTAAGAGATTTTAAATCATATATAACGTGTAATCAAAATAAACGTCAACTTGTAATAATAACCTTTACACTGACTAATTGTGCAATTAACTAAAAGTAAGCACTGACGTAAAATGTGAGCTTGTATCGTAAACAGTTTCAGCGAAACCAAAGTTTACTTCCATGTGGGGAAAATAATCAAAGTCAGTTTCTAGGGTACAATTAATTAAATATGGCTCCAATAATAACACAAGCTATGAGGCACACAATAATTCATCCTAAGCTTATCTGAAGGCACTGAACTCGCCGGTATAAGCATCAGTCACAAAAATATATCGAAAGCAAATATATAAGAGAGAAAAAAAACCACAAAAAGTGCGTACAATGAACTTGTAGCCAGTACAAATTCTCGATTCAGAATGACTGAAGGAAAAGGAGCTCACAGCCGAAGAGTCGAACTGTTCGTTCAACGACCGATCATTGCATAATTCAGATTGGGCGGCTTGCTTAACAGCGAAAAAGTGAAACGGAAATGCGTAAAGCTTTCTTACTGGTATATGTGTGTACCTAAGAGTGAAGCAATTGATTCGGAGGATCGGGAAAACATTGACCGTGAATTGGCATAAATCGAATTTCAACATATAGGGGACACGGACACGGACAGGCGCAACCGAAAAGATTAGATTAGGGGCCTATGTGAGAGCTTATTTACGTGACAGCGTCGTTATCAGTTTGCTGAAAAGCAACCAAAACTACAAAATTAACGCGCCGGAATCGCTGGATAAAGAAAGCTTTTAGCAGCTGTTGTGTTTGATGTCCAGAAAAATTGTATTCAAACAAAACGAACAACAAAACAACTTTGAAATGTGTTTTCTACGAAGCCTGTATTAATGAGCCCCCGCCCCATCCTCTCTCTCACCCATAGAATCTGGTTTTGGGTCGAGCGTTGAAGCCAATGAAAACAAATACAACTCAACCCCCGACAATAAAAAGCAATTTAAATTTAAT